TGCTAGTCGTACATGGCCAGCTCGACCAAGTGGTGCTGTCCTCAAGGACGTAAATCGACAGGTGGATGAATTGGATTTCGATATTCAGGATCTGGAAAGATGGCGTGATCGTATCTTTGAGGCGATTCATACAGGATCTGTAATCAACACCAGAGGTGAAAGAATACCATTGACAGAGAAAAATGGAATTGATGTGCTTGGGAACATAATGGAAGCTAGTATCCTCTCTCCTAATCAAAACGTCTATGGTGATCTTCATAATTTTGGTCATGTTGCTATTTCTTATTGTCACGATCCGGACCACCGTTATCTAGTAAGTTAAAGGGGCTCTTAGATGATCAATATGACATTGTAATTTAATAATTCATTCCTTTCTTTGTAGGAGAGTTTTGGTATCATGGGTGATTCAGCAACTGCCATGAGGGATCCTGTGTTCTACAGATGGCATGCTTTCGTTGATGACGTTTTCCAGGAGCATAAAAACACTTTACCTAACTACACTGTACAACAGGTAAAAATGTTCAAAGGATGATAGTACATCATTGCATCCAATGCCGGTGTTGGGGGGGCGGTCGGGCAATCGTTCAGGGCGCTAGATCTGTGGGCGGCACCGCAGCCCGGTGTCCCTAGTTATATCCGTTTGGATTAGTAAAGCTGCTATGTAGTTTAACAATTTTTACAATCTGACTACAGATTTATCGCTTCATATTATTACCTTGTCTTTTTTTCTTAAAAATTTTGAGTCCCTGAATGGGCGCCACGATAATCTTGCCCAGGGTGCCAATATTGCTAAAACCGGCACTGATTGCATCCTATGTCAAACTTTAAAAGAAATCTCACTTTGATAACCAGGTGCTTTACATAATCTTTGAGACAACCTCTATAACTTAATTGTTCTTTACAGTTGGACTTCCCAGGTATTGAAATAGCTGATGTTGGACTGACAACTAATCAACAACGCAACGTGCTGAACACTTTCTGGACCAAGAGCGACGTAGATCTATCGCGTGGACTTGATTTCACTCCTCGTGGTCCAGTACTCGCTAGATTCACTCATTTAAATCACGCAGACTTCTCGTACAAGATTGTCGTCAATAATCGTAACAATACACCACAAAGGGGCACAGTTCGTATCTTTATCGCTCCCAAGGAAGATGAGCGTGGACTGCCTTACTCATTCAGACAACAAAAGAACCTAATGATCGAAATGGACAAATTCCCTGTAACAAGTAAGTACAGGGTGTTCGACAACAGGTGGAAGATTTTTTAAGGGGTGATTCTAGGGATCAAAATAGGACGAAGATCAAGAGTAACGAAACAGCGTTTGCGACTTTGTTTCCCAGTAATTAACGTTTAAAAATTCGAATAAAAAGCACCTAAAATCTGCAACCTGCCCAGCACCGACGACTGAACGTCAGGTCAGCAGGGGTGGGTACAGTCATAACCAAGAAGAGAAAGCCGAATGCTGCAGTACCGAGAACGAGAATAGCACGTGGTAAGTTTCTACTATTCAATGATTCATGGTTGTACCTACCCCAGCTGACCTGACGTTCAGTCGTCGGTGTTGGGCAGATTGCAGGTTTTAGGCGCTTTTTACTGGAAACTTTTAAACGTTAATTACTGAAAAACAAAGCCGCAAACGCTATTTCGTCATTCTTGATTTTCGTCTTATTTTGATCCTTAGAATCACCCCTTTAAAAATCTCCCACCTGTTATCGAACACCCTGTATATTCTACATGACAAAATGAATCAAATACGCAATACATACAGGGTGTCCGCGCTAAAGTGTGACGGAAGTTTTATTTCGTAACTATTGATGATACGAAAAATTGTTTATATAGAAATTGCACGGTACAATGGGGCCTATGTTTTGGCGTGAACGAAAATTTATTTAAATTATTAGTTTAAAATATATTTTTTTTCAGATCATGTGATAGTGCTTTTCAAGACGAATTCATTAAGCTTTAATATATACACCCGATTTTAATTAGTTTTCAGGATATATCGTTTACAAATTTCCTGATTTTCAGTAGATACGTCTTGGTTTGAGTAGCAAGTCGTAAAAGTGGCCCTATTGTAGCGGTGCCACAGCGGGGGTCTCCGCTAGGAACGGCAGACCCAAAGAATAAGAAACCGCAACAATAGGGCCGCTTTTACGACTTGCTACTCAAACCGAGACGTATTCATTGAAAATTGGGAAATTTGTAAACGTTATATCTTGAAAACTAATTAAAATCGGGTGTATACATTACAGCTTAATGAATACGTCTTGAAAAGCACTATCACATGATCTGAAAAAATATATATAATATATAATTCCATTTAAAAAACGAAACTTGACCATCATATCTTTTAAACTAATAATGTAAATAAATTTTCGTTTACGCCAAAACATAGGCTCCACTGTACCGTGCAATTTCCATATAAACAATTTTTCGTGTCATCAATAGTTACGAAATAAAACGCCTGTCACACTTTAGTGCAAACACCCTGTATAGCGTAATAATTTCTATTAATTTATCTTCATGGCATTTTTATATTTTGTTAATTCATATGTGGGAATTCTAATGTACATCGATTTGACCTTGCAGTTAAACCTGGTCAAAATACATTTGAACATCGATCATCGGAATCCTCTGTAACTATACCCTTCGAAAGAACTTTCCGCAATTTAGATGAAAATAGACCTAGCGCAAACGGAACATTGGAACCGTTCAATTTCTGTGGATGTGGATGGCCACAACACATGTTGGTGCCTAAAGGAAACAAAGAAGGCTTCCCAATGGAACTGTTTGTTATGGTGTCTGATTACAAGGGTGATGCTGTAAGTGCAATCTATAATAAAATTCTTTTCAATTGTAGCTCTTTTCTTCGAAAGTCATAGATGTGTAAATTAATTCAGTGCTTTTTTTCTCGTCCGTACTTACTTCCTTGTTGAATTAATTTATTTTACAACGTTCATGTTTAGGTCCAACAAGACGAACCAACTGGTTGCAAAGATGCTTCGAGTTTTTGTGGATTAAGAGATAAGAAATATCCGGATGCGCGATCCATGGGATACCCATTCGATCGTCAACCACGTGCTGGTGTTGAAAATTTGTCCCAATTTCTTACCGGAAACATGGCAGTTACTGAAATAACAGTTCGGTTTTCGGACACTGTTGTACCGAGATCTAGAACTGGAGGCGTAGGAAACACGTTAACTTTTGGCTAACAATATACGTTTTATGTTCTTTTGTGGATTGTTAGATAAATAATGACATATAACTGCCTAAAATTAAAATAAGTAAAAGAACAAAAAAAACTTATAAAAATAAAATTATAATAATTAATATGCATAATGTAAAATACAAAAAAATAAATGATTGAAGGAAAAATGATGTGATTATATTTTACATCAGGCCGTCATGAAACAATAACTTTATTATTACTTGATCTAACAAAACTATTTTCTGTTCTTTAAATTGAGCAAGGATAGTAGGTTCTAAGTTAGGCTCTGCCGTAATGTAGAAAGAAATAATCAAACTTTTATTATGTACTAGATAATTTATTTCCAATGACTAAAATTATTATTTTAAAGAACATTAAATTTAAATGAACACTATCAGTATTACATATTAAAATATATTAACAACGTGCTGCAATCACACGCGCACGACGTTCATCTACACAAGAAGAGAATTCTTCAACCAGATCAGAACACTTCAAAATTTCTTTAGGGTTATCTTGATAACATTTGAGTACTTTTTCAGAACTATTTTTGCATGGTTGTACAGTATCTTGAATATTTAAATTCTTACTATCTGTAAAAAGTAATATCAAAAGTAACATCATTGCTATCAATCTATATTACGTGTATAAGTTATAAGTTATAATAGCAGATCAAGCTTTAAACATAAATAACTCTTATATTATACATACCATTTTTTTGTAATTCATTTACAGCTTTTTTATATTCTACATCTATAATATGATTAATTTTTGCATGCCTGTGTTGCAAATTTTCCAAACGTTTTTGCCAATATTGGTCTTGGTTACGAAGTTCCTGTTCTTTCTGTTGCTGTATTTTAAGGGCAGTTATTGTTAATTGTGGATAAGATGTGACATATCCAGAAGTCACTGCTGTATCACCACTTTGAGAGAACTGTGGAGATACATTTTGGCTAGAAGATGGTGCTTTAAAAGTATTAGATCTTACTTCAGTCCCCAAATCACTTTTTTCATTTGCTTTTTGAGTTAATCTTTCTACAACTGATTCTGATATTCCAATAACACCTATTTCTTCATTATTTATAGTCAGTTTACGAGCACTTTGTCCAGAACCCATTTCAGTGATTTAAATTTACTTTCAAATAATATATAGTTGTTCATATAGTTCTGACTTTCAATAATCAGCAATTAAATCTGTCAAATTGCTTGCCTGCAAAATACACCAAAAAATTGTGGAACAGATAATATCACACAGAATTATTTGCATGTATAATATATTATATGTTAATATTTGATCGTGCTATAAATAAATCAAATTCAATGATAGTACAATATTTCATATTCTTAAAACTGTATTATTTACTATTACATAACCTTAATTATCAAAGTTTTCATCAAAAAACAAATAGATTTTTAATTTCATTTTTCTTGTTAATTTATACTTTCATAATTTTCAATAGATAAAATATATATACATGCATTAGCAATTTAACGTTTTTGTTTCTATTGTTGGGTACTAATAGAACAATTTGACGTACCATTTACCAATTTTTAGGTGTACATACTGATTTAGCTGCTACCAACATAGCAATCCTTTGAACTATTTACACCGGCCAATAATGTTATTATACAAGGTGTTAAAAAATACCCTGAAGACCTCTACACCGTTGGATAGACCACGAAAAATTGAAACAAAAAATTCTGTAGCATTTTTCGATGGGATCAGTAGTTTAGTCACATTTCGTTGTTGAACATTGAAAAATTGACCAATCAGCAGCGCGCAGCTTGAGTGGCAAGAAGCCGCTGACAGCCCCTGAGCGTCGCGCTTATATACGCATGCGCCGAGAGTCTAATGGAGATAGAGACGGAATTAATTAATTATTTAAATAATTCAAACGTAATATAACATATAATCATGGAACACAAATTCAATGATATCCTTCAGGATGATAATTCATACGAGGTATATCATTCTCACTTAATTTGTTTTAATCAAGTTAATTACAAACAAAGAAACAATATGTAAGAAGTTGTTATCATTCATGTACCGATTATATTTGTAGGCTGCTTTGAAAGCATTATGTAATTTACAAAGCAATGCTCGCTATTTGAAATCAGGAGTAAAAAACAATCCTAATGATTTTAGTAAATTATCTGAAACAAAAAAATATTTACTCCGGTAATTTTTTTGTTGTCTTAGGTAATAATTTTATACATATACTTTGTGTATGAATATAATTTTTATAGATGTGGTATTACATCTGAAAAGTTGGATATTTTATCTGTTATACACGTAGCAGGTACAAAAGGAAAGGGTTCCACTTGTGCATATACAGAAGCTATCTTGCGTGAACACAACTTTAGCACAGGATTTTTCAGTTCTCCACATTTGGTTAATGTAAGAGAACGTATAAGAATAAATGGACACAACCATTAAGTGAAATATGTTTCAGCCAACACTTTTGGAAAGTTTATAAGAAACTAGAAGATAGGAAAGAACATGAATTTGATATGCCTACGTATTTTTAATTTTTTACAATTTTAATGTTTAACATATTTTTAGATGCTAATGTGGATGTTGCTATAATTGAAGTTGGAATTGGGGGGGAAAATGATTGTACAAATATTGTAAGAAATCCTGTCTGTGTGGGTATAACTAGTTTAGCATTAGATTATACATCTTAGGTAATACTATCGAGGACATAGCTTATCAAAAGTCCGGAATTTTTAAGCCAAAAACCACTGCTTTCACTGTTCCACAGCTACCTCGAGCAATGTGTGTATTAGAAAAGAGAGCTGTAGAAAAGAATTGTACGTTAGATCTTGTCCCTCCCTTTGAAGAATATAGATGGGGAAATCTTTCACTTATTCTGAAGATAACAAGTAATATCCAACAACAGAATGCATCCTTGGCTATTCAAATGGCTACTACATGGATGACTAAAACAGATAAATATTCAGATATTCTGCATAATGCTGAAAATGATAATCAATTTTACAATAAGTATAAAGAAAATACTCAGCTAAATAGAGTCATAAAGCCAAACATAATATTCATGGATAAAATTGCAGTAGGTATATCTTCTTGTAAATGGCCAGGTAGAATGCAAATTTTAGAAAGTAGTATTGCTCATTTTTTCTTAGATGGTGCGCACACGATTGAAAGTAGCGAATGTTGTATTTCTTGGTTTAACGATGCAATTAGTAAAAAAAGGGGGAAAAAGTTTCTAATTTTTAATACATCTGGGATTCGAGATTCGGAAAAATTATTAGTACCGTTAAAATCTTTACATTTTTACAAAGCATATTTTGTACCCAATTTTGCAGGGATTAAAAATATAGACGATGAAACGAACTGTTCGTCGATGGATGAACAAAGACATAAGTGTGAAATTAATGCCAATATATGGGGAACGGATTCACTAGTTAAAAATAGCGTTAATGAAGTTTTCCAGGATATAAAAAAGAACTTTGAAAAAGAAGTTAATCACAACAACGACGAAAAATATCAAATCCTTATTACGGGATCGTTACATTTAGTAGGTGCAGCTCTTACTATCTTAGATCCAAATTTAACGATGAGTTCGCAGTTTTAACGGAATGTACATAATTCTTTTTTTTTACAAACAGTAGAATTATATATTCAATAACTATAATAACAGTTGTATCGATTCATAATTTAGTAATGAGATATTGTATCATTACTTCGATGACGATCATAAAGTATTCGTTGATATTTTTTCTTAACAATTTTTATCCTTTTTTTTTGTACTTTTGTATAAATATGTTTTTCCTAAAACTACATAAACGTAATGTTATAATAATTTGTACATGTGACAAGTAAGTGTTATACACGTTCATGTATGACATACAAAATACGTGATGTTAAATTAAATTGAGAAAGTGTTTAAAACATTTTTATCTGGTAATCTAATTCTGATTTTGCTTCTGTGTCACCGGCTCTTCCCCGCATACGGCTATCGTCAGGACTCTGAAATATGCACACCCAATCGCAAAAGTATTGGTGCACCGTTTAAAACAGAATATGTACCTTGTTTAAAATTGGACCAAATGACTTCAGGTTTCTCGAGAAGATATACAAATTAATTTACTAAGATATACGCCTTTGTCGTTTTAAAAATTAAAATTTGCCGAAATCGGGAAAGAAATAGTAAAAGGCAATTTTTTAACTTTTTTATCTGAACCTGTAACGAAAATTTAAAATATGACATTTGTAAATTTAAATATGTTATGTGTATCCTTTTCATCGAGATCAGTCAACGCATTTAAAAGTTATAAGTAATTAAATGTTAATTTACAAATGTCATATTTTAAATTTTCGTTACAGGTTCAGATAAAAAAGTTAAAAAATTGCCTTTTACTATTTCTTTCCCGATTTCGGCAAATTTTAATTTTTTAAAACGACAAAGGCACATATCTTAGCAAATTAATTTGTATAGCTTCTCGAGAAATCTGAAGTCATTTGGTCCAATTTTAAACGAGGTATCCTATTCTCGGGTTTTCTACCGGTGTTGGGCGCATGCGCATTACCATAGATTATAAAGTATATATAACCGAAACACAGTCGTATGCGTAAAGTAAAAACGAGCGAAATCTCGTCATCTAGTAAGTATGGTCTCTCATGAACTGAAATATACATATGTATACAGGGTGTCCCGTAACCCCGGTAACTCCCAGAAATGGGAGGGTTGCTGGGGTGATTCTGAACAACATTTTCCTTTACCAAATTGTCGGTTGAAGCTTTGTTTTTGAGTTATTAACGAAAAACACTGGCCAATCAGAGCGCGCCTTTAGCGCGGGCCGAACCACGAGAGCGTTGGATTTCAGCCGCGCTCGGTCATGGTCGTGAACAAACGCATTGGCACAGCGTTGGTATCGAGGGAAGCGTGCAACAAATGTTACATCGTTTTAAATTAAGAACAATGTGAAACTATTCGTTATTCATGAATAATGAATGCGTTTGTGCCAATGCATTTGTTCACGACCACGACGGAGCGCAGCTGAAAACTGACGCTCTCGTGGTTCGGCCCGCACTAAAGGCGCGCTCTGATTGGCCAGTGTTTTTCGTTAATAACTCAAAAACAAAACTACAAACATTTTGGTGAAGCAAAATATTGTTCAGAATCATGGGACACCCTGTATAATAACAAACTGTGTATAATTTTTATCAATTTACATATGTAAAAAAATGATACATATACATATATACGTATTTAAAATATACAGTCATCATTTTTTATAACTTACAATTAGTGGTCAATGTCACTAACTTAATCAGAAAATTGCTGATAACTGTCAGACAAAAGTATCTAAATAGAAAGCATAGAAAGTTGATAATATATGTAACTAGACGTTGCAAATAATCTCCGGCATATTCAACTGAAACGAGAATCTAACTGTGACGTCATTAAATGAGGTTTATTTATAAAATTCTTGAGGTTACATGTACTTTGAACTGAACGTTATCTACGTCTCGTACCAATTACCGGTGTGTATTTTTACTGTTTAATTTTATTTTTAGTACACTCGTATAGCTTTTAGTTTAAATAAACTATTTGGCAAAGTATTTCTGGAATTAGCAAGTCTAGAACATTAGCATAAAACATTTCTTATTCATGTTTCCTCTAAGAATCATATCTTAATTAAAAAATGTTTAGTTAATTTTTGTATATATTGAAGTATTTATTATTAAATTATTACCATAATAGTAACAGTTTAATTTACAGTATATGGAAGCATAAATTCCGTAAATTTCTACTTGCTCATGGTAATTATCGTGTATAATTTTAAACTCTTTTATTGTATATAATCTTTGAAAACATGACTCATGAAAGATTTTGTTGAAAGTATTACTCAAAAAATGATTAGAAAATGAAAACAATAGATTACATTTTTAGTAAAATGATAATAGGTGCATATATAGGTTACATTGCTTTACATTTTACATTTAAGTTTAGCAGTTGTTATAAACATTATTAAAAATGTAAGAATTTCATAGTAATAATATCACTATTGTATTTTTTCAGGTATTTGCATAAGTTTAAAAAAAAAGAGAAAAAATGAGTCTACAGTGGACATTGATTGCTGGTTTTCTTTATACTGAAATTGCTGTAGTTTTATTATTGGTATTGCCAATATTTCCTCCAAACAGATGGCAGAAACTTTTTAAGTCTCGATTTTTGCAAAGTTTAAGTAATCAAGCATCCATCTATTTCTTAATTTTACTTTCAATATTAGTTTTATTCCTATTAGATGCTATCAGAGAAATGCGAAAGTACTCTGTAATTGAACATAATGATCATGGTGTACATTTGGATGCTGAAATGCAAAGTATATATTGGAATTTATTGGATATCATGTTCTAATTATCTGAATAAAGGTTTCAAATTTATTATTGTCTTTTACAGGTAATCTGAGATTGTTTAGAGCACAAAGAAACTATTATATGTCTGGATTTTCATTATTTTTAAGCCTTGTCATACGTCGTCTTGTGATCTTAATTTCTGCTCAAGCTACTTTATTAGCACAGAGTGAAGCTGCTATGCGACAAGCTCAGTCAGCAACTACAACAGCGAAAAGCTTATTATCTCAAAAGACGACTGGAGAAAGTGCCCAAAATGACTCAAACGAAGCGCATGATAAAGTGCTATCAGAATTGAAAGGTCAAATTAAGGAATTACAAGCAAAAAACCAAGAATTAGAAAATCAGCTTACAAAAGAGAAACAGGATAAAGAAGTCATAAAATCACAAGCTGCATCTCTTGCTAAGGAATATGATCGTTTAACTGATGAACATGGTAAAATACTTCAGTCAGCTGGTGATAAAAAGAGTGATTAAATTATACATTTTCTTTTTTGTTCCTTTTTTATTTTTTGTTTTCTTAATTATTTTATAATGGTTAATCCCTATTTCTGGGTTGATATTTTATATTATTAAAAGTTAAAGTTCTACAGAATTGAATTTACATAATGTAGACAATAAGTTATGTAATAGAGTATTTAACAAGTACCATTATGGTGAAGACATATATAATAAGTTTGTATTCTATAAATATTTAAATATATAAAATTAATACAGTATTTTTGAAAATATTGTTATGGTACAACAGCAATTACTGTATGCACCTGTGATGTTAACTAAAATTACTTAAATTATATATGCATAATTTTTGTATTTCTTTCGGTGATTTTGTATTTAAAGATTTTATTTATCAAATTTGTTGATTCTTTATTGATAAAATAATAAATGATTATAATTTGAAATCGTTTCATAACATTATCTTAGCATAAAAGAAAGAAAAATTATAATGATATTAATTTATATAGTGCATGTAGCAGAATTATAAATAAAATATATGTACTATTATGTAGAAATAATTTTTGCTCCTTGCATATTACAAATTCCCGCCATTTAAGTACCTACTGTGAAAAATACTTTTAGTTCATGTTACATCCACCAGTAGTGCTACTCGTACTCGTTTTGATTCATACAGCATACAGCAGTGACTATAAAGTCATTGCATATAGTTCTTTATTATGGCAGAAATCGACCATATAGCTTGTGTTGGTTTCTGTTTTATTCGTGAAATTTGTAATTAAATATGGTTGCTACAATTAAATTAGGACCTCAGGATTTACCACCCGAGGGAGGATATTCACCTATTCAAATTGAAAGAATTAAACTACGTAGGGTTATTGGAGGTATAAATACCTGAATCTGTAGTTTTATTATTCTATTATCTAATAACAAATGATCGTAATTAAGAACTTCTAGATATTGACCTAGATTAAATCTAGATATTAATATTGTTTAAATGTAAATAAATTAAAAATATATATATGCAATGTATTTTATGATAAGTATAAAATTAATTTTAGGTCGTCTTGGTATTGCACTCTTCTATACTGTTTCTATTGGTGCATCTTATTTATATTATTTAAATCTTAGAGATGTTAGAAGAAGTGAAATTGAAATGAGAAGTTCAAGATTGGCAATTTATCCCTTATTAGAAGCAGAAAGGGATAGAGCGTAAGATCTCTTTTTGATAATTTCATGTTGGAAACAATATTATTTTATGATTCAATGATACATTGATTAGTTAATTATGTTGATATTTAAAAAACATGTTTATATTCAAAATGTATTAAAGATTAAGAATATTTTTCATTACAGGTTGCTGAAGCATATGCGACGTTTAAGGGATGAAGAAGCTGACTTGATGAAAAATTATCCAAACTGGGAAGTTGGAACATTTTTTGGTGAACCAGTGTTCTATAAAGATAGACCAGAATGTTTTGAACCCAGATTTTTTGATACTGTTGTATTTTCAAATCCTAAGGATTATCTAAAACGTGCATACCGTCATTGGTATACATAAACAATTTTTTATGCAACCATTGTATAGTAGTATATTAAATAATAGAGAAGTATAAGTAAACCGTATTATTATTACTATATTAAATTATTACCTATATTGAATTTTACAGTATCTTAAAATATATATTAAAATAACACTATCAGTAATTCATATATATCACCAAACTCCTACTCTTATACATCTTTAAGATAGGAGAACGTGCTTAATACTTTAACAGTTTTTATCACGTGTCTGTCACTTTGATATGTAAGTTTTTGTAGCAGTATTTTTTACAAACGTTTTGTTTAGTAGATAATACAGATTTCTTCTATACCAACTTTAAATACACCCTATTTTTAAAATAAAACCATCATTAACAAATAAAATTACAATGATTATCGTACTGTTGCTATAAATAATTATTAAATACGGAAACAAATTTCCTAATAATGAAAATGAAATGCGTATAGGAGTGATAAAAGTCCATTTAAGTTGGGTCCTCGCCCTGTCTCTCTCGGTTTCTCCTAACTCTCCCGGCTCTCCCTAATTTCTCTTAAGATCGATAGCAATCAGCTATTTTTTTTAAACAATTCTGAGTTAAAAACTAAATTGGGTATACCATATTACTATCATTCTCTGTATTCCTAACATAAGGGCTGCTCAATTCAAGTGTACCACAAGTAACGTAAACATGTCTAAATATTTATATGTTCCCTTTATGGTGTCTATCGGATAATCCTGATACTCAACAGTTGTCCAATTATACGGACGTCCCTTGCATTCCATCTGCTCCATTCAAATCATTGCATAAGGGGATGCATCCATGCTTAAACTAATCTTTTCTCTTCTCTCCCTACAAGAGTATCAATTACATTGTTATTAGAGGACACCGATCGATACTTCCATGGATAATGTGTTCTAGATTACATGATACTTTCGAGTAGTACCAGTCAACCAGTGTTTATCAACCCAATTTTTCAATCTTAGAATCTACCCCCTTCATCGCCCCTATCGGAAATTTTTTTATTTGGCTAGAAGTACTCGTATGAGCTACTTATAACCATGGCTAGTAAAAATAACAAAATATTGTGAAAACTAAACATTGTACTTGATTGAATTTTCAACCCCTCTAATACAGCAGCTAACATGTTAAAGTAAAGGATAATTAAAAATGGTAGAAGAAAGGGAAAGGAGAAGATGTTAAGTATGAGATTGGAGCACAGGAAGAGTAATTTTACGTTTAGCTGAAAAAAAGTATGTTATGTGCAAAGAAAGTTAAGGTTGAAAGTCACTGTAGGTCGTAACACTGGTCGGACAAGATAGCATCAAAAGTTCAACTATGCGTTTAATTCGAAACCGAACCTCAGCGACCGCAAGTTGGCAAAATTTGGGGTTGTTATGGTAGAACGTACTTTAGGGTGATATATAAAGAGGAGTTTATTTAGCAGCTACAGTTGAAGTTTCGACATGAAGCCGGTAAGCAAAACGAGGGACTTCAGTATCGAGAGTATTTTGGCAGATAAACGCATACCCATTCAAAATGACCGCGAAGAGTACCAAGAATTATTAAGTGTAAATGATGATTCTTCTGTAAAAAATTCGAGAAAATATTTTGAAGAAGAGTGTACAATTCGTAATCGGAGAATAAATCATGAACTTATAATTAGTGAAGCAGAAAATTGTGATTTAAATTTCCAAAGGAAAAGTGAAGTTATAGAAGAAAAATATAAAATAAATTCTGGGGAAGTTTTAAACGAATATCGTAATGATTCGTTAGATGTGGAAAGCTTTGAATATAACCAGAATAAAAATAAATTGCAAATTAATAGTATTGATAAATGTATCATCGATTCGAAATCAAATTTGATAACTGAAGTTGAAGAAGGAAATAGGATAAGTGATAAAACCTTCATATCAAGAGACCAGAACGGGAAATTGAATAAAGAACGGAAGAAACAATTAAAACAATATCAAAGTGATAGTCATTTTAAATGTTCAAATAAGGATTCCAATGATTCGTTAAAAAAACAATACAAGAATTTAAGGAACAATGTCGAAACAACACAAAATAAATATTCATTGTTTGAAAATGAAATTAAAGAAGAAAATGAATCTTCCAGAGGTAAACTGGACGTAGTACGAGATGTAGAGAAATTAGAATGGCTTCACTGTACAAGATATAAACCTCCCAAAATACCCAGAAAACCAACAATTGGTAAAAGTAAAAGAAAGCCAAGCTTCTATCCTCGAATACCATTTTCAATGTTTCAACTCGAGTATCTTGAACAAAAATTTCAAACTTCCGCTTATTTAATGAGACATGACGTTATGGAAATGTCTGATGTGTTAAAAATTCCGCCTAATAGGGTATATTTGCATTTTATGAGTTTTTTCTTTGTTTGTATGAGGTTTCATTTTTAAATAAATTGATACCGAAAATTCATCGAAATTTTTCGATTTTAAAAAGACCGGTATAGCGGGAAAAGAGTCCTCTATTGGTGAAATCGAAAGGTTCATTTTCAGATGGCGCCACATATTTTTTCGAGGTCTTTTTAAAATAGAGAACTATTATTCGTACTTTTAAATACATTCTGTATACATTTATAACTTTGTTTCTTTCAGATAAAGATCTGGTTTCAAAACCGACGTGCTAAGGAACGCCGTGAGTTTTGTACTAATATATAAGGAAAGATACGTTTATCATGTAATATATATTTATAATAGGAATAACATAGCTGGAATAATATTTTCATGATATTATTTTTGTATTTTAAATAAATAATCTCAGGCAATTATGAATGAATATTATTTTTATAAACTGTATTTAATATTGAGATTTAAATTTATATTGATCTAGGATTGTTCTAAATGAGTCTTATTTTACTATAGTCATTGTCTAATCTTTCAATGTTTAGTTTTCCCTCCCCAGATGTCCTTTCATTCGACGGATAAATATAAGGCAAGTTAAACGGTCATACCACTCTATGTTTGAGCAGTCGCGCGGCGATTCCTGTGTTATATGCGCGCGCGCAGTTTATTCAATCCCTCGAAAACTTACGAATATTTTCGTACACAAAGATGCAGCGTTCCGTCCAGCAAGCAAACGGGGATGGTGTTCTTGCTTCTCCGAGAAAAAAACAATGTATGTTAAGTACTTCGACTAAAATTACTGTCGTTCTTGGAGCGCAATGGGGAGACGAGGGTAAAGGCAAGGTCGTCGATATGCTTGCCACGGATGCTGACGTCGTCTGCAGGTGTCAGGTGAGTCCGCCATTTTTTCATTTTCGTCCGCCTTTTTTTAGATAGAAACGTCTAAATGCTTACTTATTCGTAATTAAAAAGTTGTTACTTTACTATTAAAATTGCTACATTACACGGCTGTTTCTTTACCCAGAAGCTTTTATTATGTTTCTCTCATCATATTATCTTATTTTGAATTATAGAAAAAACATTCCTACTTCCCTATTTTTTTCCGCTATGTCACGTGATTATTAGTGTTTTTCTATTTTAATATTTTATTTTCTGTTCCTTTTTGACTATTTTAATTTAAGTATTAAAATCATAAGTTTCATAGGTTAAAGTATCATTTCTAAATTGATATGTTTTTATTCAACATTTTTCATATTTCAATACTATTTATTATTCCATCATATAAAGTTTGATCATTATGTTTTACCGTCTTACATTCATCTATAAAGAGTTAAATATTAACACTCTTCTGTTGCAATAAAAATAATAATAGTTTATGTTTCATCTTTTCTATTTGTTTATCTATTTATACGTGTCTTCTTATTTAAATATTGATCCCTTTTGAACAGTGTTTCATGATTTTTAATTAAAAATTAATCATGTAATGAGAGTATACTAAGTACATTTTGTGTTATAATGGCTATATTTCATTGTAAAACAAATATATGAAACAATATGCAAACTGTATATACCTGCATTGATATATATGATTCTTAGAAACATATATATTATTATGTAACAGCTATTTCAATTGACATTGAAATATATAATCTTTTTGATGCAATATATCAGTGAAAAGAGTATTGCATCTTTCACGTGTGTATATGTATACACACAAGTATTGTATTTATTTGATCAAGTATATTATGTTTTAATGCTTGTTAAATTTTAAATATAAATGATATGAATTATTAATACTTCAAACTTTATGGTTTGAGCATATCAGTAAACTATATGTGTAATTACAATACGTTGTAATTATGTTGTATGAGTATCTATGTACTTATATCTATTGTGATATTGCATATCGAAATTGAACTATTAGATACGCTACAATTTTTCAATTGTTAACTATGATATTTGTGACCTAATTAATCTAATTTATATTTTGTATAAAATAGTTTGCATTTAAATTTAATTCATTAAAGAACAAGCATTAACAACATAAGTTGACTGCAAGTAAAGATTTCAAATAAAACGTTGCGTTAACGCAACGTTGCTCTGTAATGGATTAAAATATCTCTCAAATTGTTTATTTTTTAACATTATATCCTAGTACTTTTTTACGTAAAATATTTCGAAGAATCGATCTACGTAAAAAGAAAAAAAGATATGCAATTTCATTTTTAAAAAAATAGTGAAATTGTTGATGCATACGTATCGTTGTATTTGCAAAACAATCATAAAACTTAAATTCAAAAACAATACGGTATATCATCTTTGCAGCCGCAATTAATAATAAAGAATTATGAAAAGAAACAATATTATTGTTTCCAATAGCACGATTGTAATGAATGTCTGGTACAAAGTTTTGTCTTCGACGAGAATTGATCCAACAATCTCTTGGATATGTAAACTGGTTATAAACCAGTACATTATGCGCATTGCAGTCTCGTTTAAATAGTTCTTTTTGGCGCATTAATTATCGTTGTCTTCGATTAGCAATGAATTGTTGAGGAGAATTCATGTCTCATTAGTAGAGCGATTAAAGCTCATTATTACGTTATAACGTTGCAAAAATAATTAGCAAGTAATTAAAAACAAGTTCACGTAAATTATAAGCCGAATCCAAAAATTAATTAACGTGTTTCCATTCGGTAACATAATTAGAAACTTTGGTGTTCTTTTCCATTGAATCTCTGATTCAACGATTAATTTACTTCAGCGGATGAAACGAGTCATTTCACATACATATATTCATTTAGTCTTATCACTGCAATAAATACTTGCACTTCTTATTCGAAATTTACTCGTTGCGCAGAAGGATAATGTTACCATAGCAAAAGCGTTGACTTAATTGCGTGGGATAATGAGATTTTCATTCTCGTTTCTCCTTGAAGTGTAATTAACTGCGTTACTCGCTAACAGCCACCTCTTATCATCGAATCTGATGTAGGCTGGAAATTTTTCCAAACTTTTGAATATTATTTACGATATCCGTGAGCCTTTTATTATTTATTGACGGACCTTGCATTTTGGGAAAAATTTCCTTTTTACTTGTAAACCTTTGAACCCTGATAAAGGGAATTAATTAATTCTCTGGCAATTAAAATAGGTACCTGATTTATTTTATGTTTCAAGAGGAAATAATTATGGAATTAAATACTTTAACTGGGACATCCGTATGTTATTGAAATCTTTCTTAGAATTTATAAATGTATATTAATAATTGTGAGTCACTGGATAATGGAACGTTTAGACGGTAAATAACACGTCGTAATTTTTCTCATAATTCTTTTAAATGGTTTAACAGTTACTTATGTTTGACAAATTGAAGTAATCCACTTAATCAAACTGAATGTACCTACATAATTGGTGCAGAGAAAGTAGTAGGCTAAACGAAAATTACCTTAAGTATATTTTAATAGAGACAGAAATAAAATAATTATAGAATATTAGGATGTAATAGTAAAATAAGTTTTATTTTAAATTAAGATTTGAAAATTGCTAATAGAAATTTCCTTAATAAAAAAGAAAAAAAAAATGACGAAACCCATTAATTTTATGAAATGGCCAGGAAAATATTAAAATTTATTAGCAATAACTGACGTTTTGCATTGTTCTGTCAATGTTCACATAAAAAGAAATATTTTATTTCAAGCAATTCCAATATATCAAGTCTTTTGTACCTCTTGGCACTAGTTGGCAATTATTGCATAAGCCCGAAATCAGGTGCTGCTTCCAGTTTTATAATTTCACATTTAGTATGCAACGATATAATACATTTCTATTTTCAATTCGAGAGGAAGCAATTTCATGCACGTGTATCCTTTAGAGTAAGGAAAGAAGATCCGGTTTTCTTTCTCTTATTTCTTCCTTAAGCGAAACGATATTTTGCGTCTCGCTTTTCCCTGATACAATTTTAAATTTCATTCCAAGAATATTTCTGTTCGAATAGAACGGATCGTCGATGAATAAAATACTTACGTATAGACTTACAGGCTGACTCAGCGTTTGAAATCTATGGTGTCTGATTATACGGAGTCGGTGAATTAAAAGCAATTAGAAAAAAGAGTAAGATTAATGTTTCATGGGTCATTTGAATGTATTGTTGGGTATAGTCAGCATTTACGTAGTTATATAAGAATACCAGCGTCGCAAATTCTTTCGGAATTTCAGTTGCTAAGTCCCCACTGATTTAGCGTAGTCTTCTGTTATTAATTATTTATCGATCCTCTTATTAATTACTTGGGTTTCTACTATGGCACAAAGGAGATCCGCATTTTTCATTTCAGGAAAACCATAAATTTAACATACATGACGTTTTGTATTCATTTATATTATAATAACCACTTTTATTGAAAGTTCACGGGGTAATAATTGATAACAAATTTCCTTGACAAAAATTTCTTTCCCTCTATACTTGTTTCCCTTCGTTTAAAATTCAAAAATCAAAGCTTATTTTGAAAATTATGTATCCGAATAAGGATTGAAAAATAAAAATGAGAAGCTCCCTAGGAATCTAGCTTTCAGATAGAAAAACTATAAATTGAAATATTGCCAAAGAATCGTCAAATGTGCAATAATGAGAAGGCCTTGCAGAGCTTTATCACGGGCAATAAAAGTAGCATGCAAAAAGGAAAAGAATTGAAAAGCGTAGAGTATCGAAGACTGTGAAAAACAAGCAGTAAAAATAATAATAATAAAAGAAAGCGTCTGTTTTAAATTATCAGTTTATAGGAAAATAAATTCTTCAATATCTCAATCGCTCTATTATAGATAAGATATTACTGTATCTATAGAAAAGATATACGAAGGGTGTAGTAAAATTAAAGAAAATCTTAAATACATTTTTTGTTTTATTCTGTACAATGATTCAAAATGTACAATCAGACGTTTTAAATATTTCTTTATTTAATTTTATTTTTCAACATTGCATCAGTTACATAAGATAGTTATTAATGAATTGGCTGTTGCTTCAATTTAGAAATTGGCACGAGACAGTATATTTAAGTTTTTTTTTTTTTTTTTTCTATTCATTGTCTAAATTGGCAAAAGAATACCGGAATACACGAATTAAAGATAAAGCAAAAAAAAAGTGTCTGCACAGGGAGCAAAAGAAAAATTTTAATTTTTGCAGGGAGGAAGCAATGCCGGGCATACTGTAGTAGTAGACGGTGCGGAGTTCCATTTCCATCTTCTGCCCAGTGGAATAATGAATCCTAGATGCACGTCTGTAATAGGTAATTATTTTTCGATCATGATGGTCTGCAATAATTTGTTCAATAGTTCTGATAAGATCGAGCCTGGTCAAACAAAGCACTCAAACTTCTTTTTTGAATTTACATTTTGCTTTCCTTTTTATTTCATTGAAAAACTATTTGTTTTGTTGAAAATATAGTGGAGAGGTAAAATAAACCGATAAATGGCTCACTAATCTTAAATTTTTTAATTCTTCGTTATTTAAGTTTCTTAATGAAGATGATATTTTTTATATTTTTACAAAAAAAATGATAATACATAAAATAAATAATTTTTCTATAAAATAAAACAGCGAGCATCGAAGATACTGAAAAAGATTTATAGGACATGATTTAAATAATTATCAAGAATAAGATTGATCTTTTTCAATGCAATTTCGAAGTTTCGAATATTCATTTAATTTGATTAAAAAATAAATGACATCGTTGTCTCAGCTTCTTTTATTACCATTTTACACGTTTCCGTTAAATCCATGTACTTCTTCTTATTTATTCTTCAATAACGATTGACGTATCGTAAATTTGTGACGTAAAGCTTTAATAAATTTTCAAGGATAATTTAACGTACATTCTGACACATGGTTAAATTGGTATTTATGTAAGCTGCACCGTGGAAGGGATGCGAACATGATGTACCATTTAACGAAATATCAATCAAATTCAGAAGAGAAGTGGTATCTACTTTTGCTTGGCAATTATTGAAATTATGTCCTAAACATACTTTTTTGTATCTTTTAATTCAAAAAAGTTCATTTGAGCGTTCTGATTTTCATACGTATATGTGTATCTTACAAATCAACAAAATTTATGTTTAACACTTTCATTAATTTTCGTATACTCTATCTTTATATGTTTCGTTTTGCTTATGAACATAAATAAAAAGGTGCAATTTTAGTCTAATTATGTTAAATAAAGAATCATTAGTCAATGGAATTATTTAATTTTGTATAATTATAAAAGAAAAATTAGAAATTCTTTATTGTTTAGTTATTGAATGTTGTTTAATCTATGTTGAAAATAAATGAAATTTTAGCCGTATACAGTAATAGATATTAACTGCACCGTTTTCTACACAGTTTGTCTCGGGTATGTATAAATTCAATGTAAAATAAATTAAATAATAGACTATTTAATAAGACCCAAGTCTGAATACGCGTAGTTTTAATCTTTTCTTGATATTTAACTATGTAGAACATCGTTACGTATCTCTCGAGGATTTCTCTGACATTCACCTACTTTTATAAGCATATCCACTGAATTATTCAAATTATCCTTGATTCGATTCTTATCGATTAATCTAAGCTTTATGAATGTCAAATAAAAGGTGTAACCACTTGTTGTTTACCTTTTGATTGCACTTGATTTATGGAAGTGCTCTGGGCAGTAACATAAATACATGACAAAGTATTTACACATTCAATTTTTACACGGAAATAAATTTAACGAAGTTAATATTTAAATTTTCTGTAAAAGATTAATTATTTTTATGAGTAAAAAGTTAGACATGATTTGATAACATAAAAGTGTTACAAAATGCCACTTATGATATATCAATTTCAAGCTTAAAGTTTGTTAAAAATAATTACATAAACTTTTCATTAAAATTTTTAATATAGAATATTTATTTTCCAGTTACAAACAAACAATGGTTGATTTCGAAGCATGTAAAGTTTTGCATGATTTGATGGCATGGAAGTACCATAAAATAGTTTTTGTGGTACATTAATTTACATAGTTCTTTTTATTAAATCTTAAGCTTTAAATTGGTATAGTGTAAGTGTTATTTTGCGATATTTTTATGTCATGAAATCAAGGTAGTCAATGAAAGGGGCGACTCTTACAAATAATAACGTTTAGATAGGCGTAAACATATGCAGCAAACATCACTGACAGAAAAAGGTCATTCACCTTTGACTTTTTATTTTAACACAACAAACGCTAGTGGAATGATCTTTTACTGTTTGATAATATTTGCTGAGTGTTCACTATCTACACGCGTTCTTCTGTGTAAGTATCGTTTATGGTAACGTGATCAGCTGTTCACTAGTCATCCAAGAATTTTCTTAAGAATTTCTACTGATACATGAAACACTATAAACTAGTAACATACAAAAATATGGTAGGACAATTAAACGAAACATCGAAGAACAAAGCTTTTAATCTTATTTATTTTTTACATTAACTTTGGTTCATATTATTTCCCCCATAACACTTCTATTATCTTTTTGATAAAATATGTACAAACGATACAAAGATCACGAATATACATATATATATATACATATAAAAATATATACCTACATATTACATAATATTTGTACACAGAACACTGTTGTATAATAATTGCATGGATGTTGATGTGTACAGAGAAGATGGAATGTTTCATGTCCTGACTTTTTTAATAAGCATTAGAACCTCGCATCTGAATTCTATTTTCTGTTCGATATTGAATGACCGCACTAAAGGAAGTATGGAATTAAAGAACGATTTATCATCGTCAATTTCATCAACGCTACAAGGAACTGGTGTTTGTAAATGATCAATTAAACATGGGTCTAGATCCCTCTGTTGTTTTATCGATGGCTCCTCCTTCATGCTTGTGACAAAAGGCATATTCATTTGATCATCATCAGTAGCCACTGCTTCCTCAGCTTCTTCGCCATCCAAACTGGATGCTGTAGCTGCAGCTTTATCCAGTTCTTGTAGAAAGGACAGTCGACGTGCATAGATATATTGTCTGTTATGGTTGCTGTACCTCCTCTTCTTGCGAACAGTCCTCAGATATTGATCACGTATATTTCTCCATCTGTTCATATGTTTTTTAACTGAAAAAAGAAATAACATTTTCCGTTAGGATCTTGTAGTGGTAAAAGGCTATGTAGTAGTAGAGTTATTCTACTAACTTGCTATTACACTCTATTCTACAGTGCTAGGAAAAAATAATTTACTCTACTTGTGTAAATGATTGAGTAAGTATAAAGTTAGTGGAGTACTAAAACTAATTGGTAAAGTGGGATAGCATCGTGTTAAATTAATTCTATCACTGGTTTACCAGTTAGCACTGGTAAACTAAGCTTTATTAACTATAACACTTGCTCAATCGTTTCCATAAGTATAGTAAATGAATTTTTCCAAGCCTTACTCACTCTGCCATTAAATTAGACTTAACAGCTGCTTTCAAATAGTTTCCTTTTGCGCGCGCGCACATTAAGTACCTTTTAAACTATTGATCGTCTACGTCCAAAAGCATACAAAGGGTGATTCATAATAACATATCAAATATTCAATTTTCAATTTATATTTTAAAAAGGAAACTGCGAAATTGAAAAATGATTCAGGTCCTTATGATTTACTATGCAAATATACTGTTCTCAATTATTGATATTGATTTATTATTTAATGAATATTTAAGCATATTAAAATTATAAAAATACCCGCGTGAATATTTGAAATACTTTGTATAAAATCTAATCTCATCGTGTGATAAGGCAGAGTTCCTAATGGTACCATCAGTGGTGCCACCGGTAATGCTGTCAGTGATCCTATCGTGATCCTCAATACGAGCAAATAGCTTAAAAATAAGTTTTATATAAAGAATAAATAGAATATTATTTTACAAATCACAGTTTCTGTGATTAGACGACGGTTTTTGAACAAATATAATAAATCATATGATAACAGTGACAAATGTTATGCTGCAATAAGCTGAAACAATTCCGTGCATGATGCAACTATATGCATTACATTGGCATTCAGCACCACTGACAGTGTCGCACATGCGTCGAACGCTGTTAATTCTGCTCTATAATTTTCTTGGCTCAAGTTGATTCGGATTATAATTTTTTATTTCAATTTCTAATTGTTCCGTATTTCAAAACTTAAGTTTTAAAAAGACTCTTGGAAAGCATGCCCTAGTTTCGATATAAAATAGGACGAATATAAATTTGAAAATATGCTAACTCTAGAATTTGAAAATTTTAAAAATCTCGAAATTCGTTTAATTATATACGTGGTTTTACGGCGAACTAAAATAGAAACAAGTAAACTAATTATTTTATAAATCATATTCGCAAGCTATTATGACAAAATAAGCTTTATATGATGTGTAATGATTAATTATACATTACATTACCAAGATCTTGTTTCTCTTCTTCGGTCTTTTCTCCAAAATTCGCACAGAATTTTTCACATATTTTCTCCCATGCCGCATTCTTTTTCTTTTTATCCCTATTTTCCTCGGAGTTCAGGTCCCATATTTCGGGAAATTTTTTTACCTCTTCAATAAATAACTCGGCGTCAAGTTCTTCGAGAATCACTCTTGTGGAATTACGGTTGTCTGTATTCGACATGGTTAGTAACGCCTCTGCTCAACGCCCGTTATAGACCAGCGGCCAGCGTCACACGCCCGTCTGCGGGCATCCGCCGGATGCACACGAGTATTGTCGATGCCTCTCGAAGCAACTCGTACTTCGCCCGCCAGGTGCCCGCAAGCAAACGTATCCGCTTCGAAACCGCTTGAAAATAAATTTAAATTATGCAAAGAAAAACATGTTTATAGCCTTTGAATATTTTTAAATATTATAATAAACATACCCCATATCAAATAAAACAAATGTTGTGATAAAAAATTGAATTTTATATATTTCTTTTTATTATAGCTTTATACCCTGTTTTATATATGAAAATAAACTGAGATTATGATATTATTTATCTTTCTTTTAATATCTAATACTATGTTTATCATAATTGTTTCAGGAAATGGGGTAGTAATACATCTGCCAGGTCTCTTTGAAGAATTGGAGAGCAATGAAGCAAAAGGTTTAAAAAATTGGCAAGAACGATTGGTAATTTCCGATCGAGCACATATAGTATTTGATTTTCATCAACAAGTGGATGGCCTTCAAGAATTAGAAAAAGGTAATCAGTCTCTTGGTACCACTAAAAAGGGGATTGGGCCAACATACTCAAGCAAAGCTGCCAGAAATGGACTTAGGATCGGTGATCTTCTTGGAGATTTTGATAAATTTTCACAAAAGTTTGATACGTTGGTGACGTCCTATCAAAAAATGTTCCCGGCACTTCACGTCGACGTGAAATCAGAACTTCAACGGTATAAAGAGTGAGTATACTTCCCCATCCGTTACTTCATAGTTGGCATCTAAACAATTAAACTAACAAATGTTGTATTTATTTTTAGGTATGCAGAAAGAATAAGACCTCTGGTAAGGGAGACAGTTCAGTATTTACACCATGCATTACGTGAAGGAAAAAAAGTATTAGTTGAAGGTGCAAATGCTGCAATGCTGGACATAGATTTTGGGACCTATCCCTATGTTACCAGTTCTAACTGTAGTATAGGTGGTGTTTGTACTGGTCTTGGACTTCCACCATCTTATATCGGAGAAGTTGTTGGTGTTGTTAAAGCATACACTACAAGAGTTGGTGATGGTCCATTTCCTACTGAACTTTTAGATGCTACAGGCGAATTTTTACAAAAGAAAGGTCACGAAGTTGGAGTTACCACAAATAGGAAAAGGCGTTGTGGTTGGCTAGATTTAACTCTTCTCAAATTTACTGCAATGGTTAACGGGTAAGGAATATTTTCTTAGTAATGTTTAACATCATAAAAAACGCATAAAAGTAATATTCATTCGTTATTCAAATTATTGTAGGTACACATCGATATGTCTGACGAAATTAGATATTCTAGATACACTACCAAAAATTAAAATCGGTGTAGCATATCGATTAAACGGTAAAGAAATAGATTATTTTCCAAGTAGCACTTCTGATTTAGGAAAAGTCGAAGTAATTTACGAAACTATGGATGGTTGGCAATCAATGACCGAGGGTGTACGGTCTTTAGAAAAATTGCCTTCTAATGCCAGGAAATATATACAATTAATAGAAGATTATCTTAGTGTACCAGGTAATATATTTATTAATTTTATTATCTGTTGTTCCACAATGTTACAAATAAGTTCAAGTTAAATACTACGTTTATTAATTGTTAATGTTTCAGTTAAATGGATTGGAGTGGGAGCAGGTCGTGAAAGTGTGATCACACTCTGACGTTATATTTATTGGTTACAACAATGGAAATATGTTTATTTGTCCACTCAGTTCGCTATTCTTTTGGTAATAATTGTAGTTTACCGAAAGAGTTGATGAAACAAACGCACAGAGAGTACACGACGAAAAAAAAAATAATAGCATTAAGCTTTTGAATTTTAGTAGTATACAACAATTTAAGAAGAGAACAGAAGTCTCGTTTTTTCGAGTTCCTTCTTCTTATTGGATAATTCATAATAATTGTCTTATCCATTGTTCGAATGTAAAATAAGATATGTTAATTAAAATGTATTTATTTGAAAGTTATTTATTTACTAATCAGTCACATAAACTTGAGGCTGATCTCAAAGTATAATTTAATTCTGAATGGTTTATTTCTTTATAAAATGTAATCTGCAATAATTGTTTCGATACATATCACTAAAGACAATAATCAAATGAAATGTTTATTCAAAATTGAAAATAATTGAATTCAATTGATGCATGTTATATTTTAATTAACTGTATGTATGCCTTTTGAGCGCGTGAATATATTTGACCCTCCAAACTCTACTCTTATAAATTTAACAGTAGTCATTGGTGTATTATGGCTACTAAGTATTAGTAGTCTTGTGTTATATTATTGGTGGCGTGTTAACGTTAATTATAGTTCAATTACAAAATTTAATTGCTCAGAAGGAACATTCACTTCAGGAATTTCAAATTTGACCCTTGCGCCATCTATTCAAAAACGGCGGAAACTACTCGACAATTACCGATCAATTTTCCGAAACGGAGCAAACCGGCGGCGGGGAATGGTGTGGCGTTATTGTTTCGTTGTTGTTCTTTATATTATACATGTTGTGAAAACCCTAAAAGTTTGCTTTAATTCTTTGACTATACCGAGAACTGTGGAACTGCCGTGTATGAATTATATCACCAACGCGAGATCGTCGGTAATTATATGCGCGTAGTGAGGTGAAGATAAAAGGAGCACGTCTTTATCGACAGTGGGAATCTTACCGACACATGACCTGTATTACCATCACCCCACACGAATGTGGCGTCGTTGAGCGTTTCCGCTTCCGGCGCTCGATTTTAAATTGTTTATAATTTTATTCAATCGTTCTGATATTCAATTGTTCTTCCTCCTCCGGCATTGAACGCGTCGTTTAACGTTGCCACGAGATTTTTGAATGCTTGTGTTAGATGAAACAACTGAAGTAGGGGAGTCACTGGGAAGTCGTGGAGAGGCTAAAGATTTGGTCCAAGACGTACAGTTCTGGCATCACTGATAGTCCAGTACATATTCTTGTATCTGTAGTCACTGCACTGAGTCACTAATATATGCAAGAAAAAATGGATAAATTGCTGGGTTTATTACACGAAAAAATACTTGCTGTAGATAAGTATGAAGATGTATTTAATGAATTCAAAACTTTACACGCAGATGAGGAACGTGTAAGGTTTTTTCTTAAGCTTATGCTAGAATATGGTATGATTTCTCAAGTATGTCCAGATAGAAAAAATGCAAAGAAATCTACAGAATTAAAAAAACAAGGAAATGAAAAATATATGTCAAAATCATTAACAAGCTCTCTGTGTATCGATGCACTAAAACTGTATACAAAAAGTATAGCATATGCTCCTTGTACATCTGAACAACTTGCTTTGGCGTATGCGAATAGATCTGCTGTTCTAAAAAAAATACACAAATACAAAGAATGTATTCAAGACATAGATAGAGCCTTAGCCTTACCATATCCAAATAATTCAAGAAGTATATTATATTTAAGAAAAATTGAGTGTTTAAGTATATTAAAATATCCCAACACAGAAGATACTATTAAGGAAGCGCAAAATTGGCTAGACAGGCTGTCCTTGGATGATGTCGGTCATAAAAAAATGAATAATATGTTCATTTCTGCCAAAAAAATATCTGTATCAAATATATCAAAAAAACAAAGTATCGTAAAACAATCACCTTTGCCTGAATTAAAGATATGCAACACTGAAGTTCCTTGTGCCTCCAATGCGATAACTATAAAATATAATGAAAAATATGGCAGACACATTGTAGCTACTCGTGACATAAATATTGGTGAAATAATTGCTATAGAAAAGCCTTATTCGCTAATATTAAGTCATAACAATTTACAGACGCATTGTTCAAATTGCTTGGAAGTATGCTGGGCTAATATACCTTGTAACTATTGTACATATGCTATGTATTGTTCAGAAGAATGTAAAGCTTCGGACTGGAAAAAATATCATGACATAGAATGTAAGGTATTTCCTTACTTTTTTAAAATGAATTTTATGGAACGTCATCAGTTTTGCGTAAGACTTGCTATTCAGGCAGTAAGAGAGAGTAATAATATACAGAACTTAAGAGAAGAACTAAAAGAAGTTGAAAATTGTGATAGTAAGTATCTGGGATAATTTTGTAAAAAGTTATCAGTCATAATTACGTATTATTTTAGATCCCCGTACAAAGGGTTTTTCAAAGAATGGAACATTTGAAAGTGATGCTTACAGAAGTGTATTAAGTTTGGTTACTAACGTTGAAAAACTGTCATTAGAAGATCTCTTTACAAGATCCGCAGAAGCTAGTTTCATATTGTATTACTTAGCAACATGTACTGATATATTTGGCAGTTCACTGAAAGATTTATTTGAATTAATAAAAAACAATGATGCTATCTTTGTTGGGGGGCTCATTCTAAGGCATCTGCAATTGATCCCTCTTAATACTCATTCGGTAATATATACATATAATAAATTTGCGGCAAAGATTATGTTTATTATTTAACAATTAAATTAATATTTATAGTTTACGGAAGAATATAAAATCGCTTCGGAAGACCGTGGTGTAGCACTTATGCCATTTCTTAGTCTGTTTAATCACAGTTGTAACCCAAACATTCTAAGAGTTTCAAGGACTGCGCATATAATTGCTTATGCAATGTATCCTATCAAAAAGGATGAACAGGTACAAAAACGTATTGTGTGAACGATTATTTACGATGAGTTTCATTTTTTTATTGATAAAACAATTTTTACAAGATATTTGATCACTACGGTCCATTATATTCAATGGTACCAAAATTCACGAGGCGCTTGGAACTTCGAATACGCTACTTCTTCACTTGCGATTGTGTAGCTTGTGTGGAGGACTGGCCAGTATTTTATGAATTAATGTTATCTAAGGTGAGTTAATTAATGATTAAGTACGTATCGAAAGACTTTCTTATATTTGCTATTTATTTCCACAATATTTCCCTATTTAACAGGAATCCAGTTTAGGAATAGCCCTTCGCACGTTGCCAAATTATCCTAAATATCGCCGTATGGCGGAAGAAGGAAATGTATTTAACAAAGATATGATAGATGACTTGTTACAAATGTTTCAACGAGTATATAACGCGGTACGAATGCCTCACTGCACAGTAACCGAGATATCAGCAATTCTTAAACGTGTCTATTGCTTAAGTGGAAACAGATTTGATATTCCTGAACTATAATATGCATCAAACGCGCCCACGTAATGTCATGTTAATTTCTTTCTTTATGTTTTTTTTTTTAATTTTTGTTTCTGATTCATTAACAGTTAACATTTTTCTTTCATAACTGAATTTGAAGTAGTGACAAAGGTAAAGTATATATAAAAAACTTTTTGTATAAAATCTGTAGATTTAAATACTGAAAATTGATTATTCAACGTATATTCTATTGTTTCTATCTTACAAATAAACAGCTGATTATTAATAACAAAGTATCACATTGCGTTTGCAGAATTTGAATTTAGACAGAAACTTGATTACACGTTTCTCTTTTACAATTATTAATTTGTAAGTTTTAAAACATTTTATCATTAAAATTCTATTATTTGCAAATGTTCTCATACAAATTACCTCCTGATTAATAATCCTACAGACACAAATTCAAGACACTGATTCAAGTAGCCAGTGATAAAGTGGAACGTCATGGCTGATTTGGCGCCATTATCAACCGTTCGACCTAGAGACCTAGAACGAAGTAAAATCGCCTCAGTCTTATACCGACCGCCGAGAGGTGCGGATTAACCAATCAAAGATACATATACTTCCAATTTATATCACTGGATCCCTTATGTCCCTGCATTTCTTATATCCCCGCATTCCTTACATGTCTGCTTTCTTTATATCCCTGCATTTCATCCATTATATTGCATCCATTATATCCTTGCTTCTTTTATATCCCCGCATTCTATACATCCCTTAGATCTTTGCATCCCTTACATCTCTGCAATCCAGATATCATTGCATTGCTCTCCCTGGGAGCAAAAAAAGGAATTAAATTTTTCATAAATTTTGGCCTTCTAGCGGCAAAAGTTTCGAATAAAATTGAAACGCTGAATCAGCGCCCTCTGACGGTAAAAAGGGAACTAAATGGTGCATAAATTTTGGCCCTCTGGCGGCAAAAATTTAAACTAAAATTGAGGCATCGAATCACTGCTGACATAACAAATGGTTACGACAAATTCAGTTGACAACTGAATTTGTTGCGTAATTTAATTTGTTATGGTGTATAAATCGTAGTTTTTATATTTTTATTCGTTAATTAATGATTTTGATCTATTTTAGTTAGAAATTTGTTAATTTAGATAATCTTTGAACAAGTGAGTGGCAAATTTTCTAACTACGAGGCAGTAATGGTAAGAGAAGTACTATAAAGTTTGACCGATCACTTATTTAGATATTCCATTGTTTTGGAACAAATCATTGCACAGTAATTGTAATACTGAGTATGTTTTAAATTTTTCTATAGCAAATTGACATATATGTGTAGTATGCATGTACGCATATGTGGATAAATATGTTACATATAATTGTAACCTAGATTAAATCATTGATTAATCATTATAATTTGTTGTATAAGTGTAACATATTATTATTGTTTTATCCAACTGAATGCAAGAGATATAATTATGATTGTATGAGATTGTATGGTGACATACATTTGTTTATGTTTAAATACAAGAAGTACATATACACAGTGAGTATCTAATTTTATTTTTACTTATTTTTAGTACTTACTTTTATTGAATTTTCTTTTATCTTGTTTACCCAATAGACTATAATAATAAAAAGGCATAGTGTATAAGAAACAATTAACATGAAATATATGACAATTTATTCAATTTATATTTTGCTTCAAGTTTTATTTTATATATATCTGTACGTGTTTGTTATTAATATTTTAGAGTGAAAGATGCCAGGAGAACCATCTGTGACTACTGGAAACAAGAGCGCTGGAAAAATTAAACGTATTTCCATTCCAAGAGTACAAAGTAGCACAGATACAGAATTGCAATCACAAAGTGGATCTACTCCATTGCAACCAAACGCACAGCATTATGCAGCTTTCCGTACAGATCTTGATGACAGTATATTACCACCAGCTTTGCGATGTCGATTGTTTGACTTATTTCAGCAGATAGAGAAAGAATTTGAAGCTCTCTATACTGAAAATTTAGGATGTATGGATTTAATATCATTAATACTACATTATGGGATCAATTCTTATGTATGAAAAATAATATTTATGATTGTAGTGCACGAGAAAATAGACACTCTTAATGAGAGACTTGAAAGAGAATGTTATGGTTCTGGGGAACGAAGCTTACCTGTTGGAGATGTTGCAGATTTTCCAGATACAAAAATCTTTTCCAAACAGAAATGTAAGAATGTTTATAATTAACTTCATTTTATCTTGTAGTTTATATATTACAATGTTACATTTTATTTTGCAGCTATGGCAGGGAATACAGCACCAAAGACAAAAACAACTTCTAATAAGTTGAAAGCTCAAACCAGTAAAATAGTTTCCAGCTTTAAAACACCAACAATGACTTGTAGCATGCAAAGAGAATATTCTGGGCACCGAGACGGTGTTTGGGAAGTTACTGTTGGAAGATCGGGTCAAATTATTGCAACAGCTTCTGCTGATCACAGTGCCAGGGTTTGGGGTGTGGATAGCGGTCGTTGTCTTTTACAATATATTGGTATATACTTTGTTTGCTTAATTACACAGCTCCTTAATGTTCATAAAATATAATAAGATTATTTTGATAGGTCATTCTGGTTCTGTTAACTCCGTGCGTTTTCATCCGACAAAGGAATTGGCACTTACATCCAGCGGAGATAATTCCGCTCATGTGTGGCAAGCTGCCGTTGATTGGGACTTTCCTAAACGACAGAATTCATCCGAAGATCTTTCAGGATTGAATACTGACAGAAATCTTAGTAGTGCAATCACCACAAATGAAGAACAGGAAGAACCACCCACTCTGAGGTAGTTTGCTTTTCCATTTGATCATTTTTATTTAAAAACTAATCTATTAACCCTTTAACACGTTCGCGACGGGGCCTGAATTTAGTGTTCCCGCCGTGGGGCGGGGTTAAAAAAAATTTGTTAATTACAGTAATCAGTTATTTAAATGCTATGACGCGACAATAGTTCATGCATTGTTCCGACCCCATGGGACAGATAAGTACAGCGTTAAATTTTTGAATTGTTACAGAACTCCGGTACGAGAATTATTAGGTCACATAGGTGTCGTAATGGCAGCAGATTGGTTACCCGACGCGGAACAAGTGGTGACTGCTTCTTGGGACAGAACCGCAAATTTGTATGATGTAGAAACTGGAGAGATTATTCATACGTTGTGCGGACATGATCAAGAACTTTCTCACGTTTCAACTCATCATACTCAAAGACTTTGTGTTACTTCGAGCAAAGATAGTACTTTCCGCTTGTGGGATTTCAGAGAACCTATTCACTCGGTTTCTGTTTTCCAAGCACATACCGAGTAAGTTAATTCTCTATTTATATTTCAAAGTTGTAAAGATAGTTTTAATCTAAGTATTTAAAATAAATGTTTGTTGACATAGGACGGTAACATCAGCTGTTTTTACGCGCGAAGATAAAATCGTCTCAGGATCGGATGATCGAAGTGTAAAGATATGGGAATTACGAAATATACGAAGTCCTTTGGCTACAATTAGAGGTGATAGCGCTGCTAATCGACTAGCAGTCTCAAGCACTGGCATTGTGGCAATTCCACATGATAATAGACAAATTAGATTGTTTGACCTTAGCGGTCAACGGTTAGCTAGATTACCTAGAACAAGTAGACAGGTAAGGCAAAATTTAATAAAGACTGCAATCCAATTCACTGTATTGCTGCATAGTCATAAGGGGCCCAATGATAAAAGATCTTGGTTGCAAAACATTAAATATGAAAAATTATATTTATTTCTAATTTAATTTTAGGGTCACCGGCGAATGGTTTCATCGGTGGCTTGGGCAGAAGACAGTGGAGTCTGTAACTTGTTCTCTTCAGGTTTTGATAGATTAATCCTTGGATGGAGTATTGTACCTCTTAAAGAATGTTAAATATATATTACAAATATAATGTATTTATTTAGTTTAACTTAATGTTATTTCAATATAAATATGATTATAAAACCAACTGAATGAAAAATAAATAACTAGACTAATTGTAAAGATTCTAATGTTGCAGTGAAGAAGTTAAACGAGTAGTTGTAAATTACTATTCCCAGTTCCAAAATGATCAACGATTCCATCTTCCCGCTGTTGGTAATCACTGAAATTATATAAAATGCAGATAAATCATTTGTCCAAGTTATGAAGTATACTGCATTTTTTTACCTGAATAAGCAGTGAGCATACACAGAAGAGTATATCCCAAGATGAGGAAATAATGAGGTGCCAGAAAGATGTGACCCCAAGTGATTTCTAATAACCCTAATAATTTACCGGATCCACCTATCACTAAGGCTTTTGTTAAATGGATCATGCTACATTTATCTGAACTCTTTGAATAGAAGTACCACTTGATTTTTGTTAGAAGAATCACAACAAAAATAAAAGAAGCGAAACAGAAAGCAGTCTGTAGCAGAATTAAATAAAGATTGCAATGCCTTTCAAGACTAGATGGGTACATCCTCGATGTTTCAATAGATTTTTTATTGTTATTGCATAAAGAAAGGCTTCGAAAGGATTCGACGAGCCAAAGTATTATCAGAAGTTTCCAGCATGACTTAAGATCGCAATTGTAAAGCAGATGCCTGTATGCTCGTTTCTCGAGCAATATTAGATCGACTAAGATTATAACTGGGTCATATTCTATGTATTTGTCGGCCAGATGGCCACATGCATCCTGAAACGTAAGATTGCACATTTATAAAGAAATATAAAATTACAAGAGCTTTTAATTTTATAAATTATGCGACTGTTAAAGTGTACAATATTTTGCTCCATTCTTTTTAAACCTTGAAGATTTATTCTCTGGAAAATCATTCAAGCTTGAAGGCCAAAATTCTACAGAGAATTTCTTGGTATTGTTGTTAAATGTGGCGAGTTTGAAAAAGAATAGAGTAGTTTCAATTAAATGTACAAATTAATTTATATAACATATTACATACACATTTCAAAAGTTTTAAAACATTTGGACAATATCTTCTATAAAGTTCTTCCACTTCAGCTCCACAATTTACGCAGTGATACATATGTATCACTTAATATACTTTCCTTTTTAAATTTTATTTTTATGTAGTTATATTCATATTTACATACGTTCTGGAATTAAATAAATTCTGACTTAAAAATAATGTGATATTATAATATTAATTTTTTTAAAAGTCAGTACATTTATTATAAAACAAGTACTCTATCAATTAATACTCTTATATACTAAAAGGTGTGCAGAATAGATAATAAAATTTATGCTTTTTGTTCTTATCAATACACCTATCATGTTGTGTAACATTGTATCGACAATAACATGCTAACATTATTTATAGGATACCAGTTTGAGTAATTAAGTCACCCAAGAAAACTTGAAAAAACTCTTTGATCATTCTACCTCAGCAGACGACTGAAGAAACGACCATCGCAACCATCTTGACCGATAAAGGGTTAACGGCATTTAAAATTCCTTATATTTCTGACATACTTAAACAGGTATTACAATAGTGTGAATGTTTAATAAAGCGTAAGTACATTTTACCGAAGTGTTATTTAAATTTAAATTGATATGTAATCGATATGGAATTGATGTTAGTATTGATACATAAATAAAAATCGAAATCGATATATTGTATAATAAATTTTTAATGAAGGATTATAATTTTTATAAGAGTTTTTCGTGTTCTTCTAAGAAAAACAAAACCTTGAAATCATGTTAGAATGAACTATCCGTATAGAAAGCTTGGAAATTGTCCTAGTTACTGAACATGTTAAAAATAAGAAACAAGTGAATGTCTCGGAGGAATTGTACCGCCCTTGAAGGTAAGTCAACACTTCTCTCAGTCTCAGTTATCTGTTGACATTCTTACAGGATAGACACGATGGATAAGATCAACGCTATTTTGCTTTCAAATGAACAATACATGCCGATACTTGGTTTTGGCACCTGGCGGGTAAGATTATTCAAATCAACTTATATACGCGGGTTTAATCAGTTAACTGGGGAATTTAGTTTTAGAAATCCCTCACGGGATGCGTTATTAAATCAAGCAATGACGAGTATACACGTCGAACGCAGCGCAGATACTCTTATTATAAATTTTACGAAAAGAGTAAAACGAGAAAGGATTATATTTTTTATTTTACATGACGAGTGTACGCGTCGACCGCACCGAAATAAAGTTTTGGATTGACGTGTATACGCGTCAAACGCAGTTAACTGGTTAAATAAAAATTTAGATAAATCCTTCTGCGAATCCGTAAAAAAATTGATTTTAACTTAGCATTACATTTGAAATTATTTTAAACGCGCATCTTAAATGTGTATGTTAAGAATTTGTATCAGCGGAATAAAAAATGTTGAATATGTTGAAGTTTGCTATTTTATAAAAATTAAAACAGAACTAAGTCAAATGTGAAACTAATATAAAAAATTGAATTCCAATGGAATTGTATGTTTTAATTATTTGTTATTAGTTACATATTCTTAATTTAATATACTGCAAACATTTTAACTGGTTCTCATGATTTTGAAAATCCATTATCTGTATAAGAATACATCGCTTCATTTAGTTTCTAACCTTACATATTTAGATGCAATCTTCTATTATTTATTAATAATTTTTGAATGTGTGTTTTTCAAAATTAATGTAATTTCTGTATTTTTACATCAAAATCTAAAACCTTATGAATATTTAGCTTTTTAACCTTTAGTACTTAACATGTATACGAAGAAATAAAACCTTGCAATAGGTTATTTTCTTTCACTACTTTAAACTTATGAATTTTCTACTATAATTTACATATTCTTTTTTGTACGAATTATATTGTTATAATAAAATATAACAGTAAAACTTTACTAAAAAAACACATTAATTACATACCTACATGAAAAATGATGTCGAATACACGTGATATGCTGATTCCGGAAGTGGAGGCGTTTCAAAAATTTCAATATCTTAACAGTGGTATTACATATTGAAGTATCTTTTATGTATACTTACCACATAAACCTTGAAATTGTGATTAGAAAGAGAATTTATTTATTAAATAATTTGTGTTGTTTAAGGCCAGTGAAGAGGAACTTATGACGACATTGGATATTGCTTTAGAAGCAGGATATAGACATATTGATACAGCACCAGTATACTTCAATGAAAAAGCAATCGGTAAAGTTCTTAAAAAATGGTTCGATTCTGGAAAACTTAAACGATCAGACATATTTATTGCTACAAAGGTAATTTCTACTTAAATAAAATGGCGAAGTTTTCGAAAACCTGTCAAACTCGATTTAGCTGAGATTTTACAAATAGCTTCATTTTGCATAAAAACATTATTTGCGAGAAGGATTTTTGGCGATTCAAAGGCTAAGACTCAAAATTTTGCGGAAAATGTTTTACCATGTTAGTGTAACTTCCTGCATTACAGACACGCGTAGAATAAGGTTACAACAGTATTCTGTATACGTTCTTCATTAGTTTTCATTATATGTATACATGTTTAATGTCTTCCTATAATTGATAAAATTATTTTTTTTTTCTGTCGTCCTCAAGAAAGCTCGGCATTCCCGTTTCCCGGTATTGACACGGTATCGGTAAAGCAGAGAATGACATTACCGTAGTAATAGTAATATTACAACAGCACTTCAAATATTTTCCGTACTGTTGCACAATTTGATTGTCCAACAAACGGGCGGGGGAGGGGCTCCGCCCCGCACCCCTGCCCCGTAAAATATAGCATAACCTAACTTATTTTGTTTTTGAAGTACACCGGTAATGTAGGAAATAATATTAAAATAATAAAAAAATTTTTTTCAAATTGCCAAAAATCCTTCTCATAAACATTGTTTTTATGCAAAAAGAAGCTATTTGCAAAATTTCAGCCAAATCGGATTTGACAGGTTTTTGGAAAAACAACCAATAAGGCGTCGACCCCACCGACCAAAATTATATTGAAATCTGTTTTTTGTTCTACTTCAATATTAAACTATTCTAAAATGTTTAATTATATTTACAGCTTCCTCCAACGGGAAACAGACCAGAATGCGTTGAAAGATGGATCAAAAAGTCTTTGGAAGATTTGCAACTAGATTATCTGGATCTTTATTTAATTCATACTCCATTTGCTTTTAAGGAAGTTGGGGATGATTTACACCCTTGTGATAAAGATGGACAAATTATGTTTGATCCAACCACTGATCACGTTAAAGTTTGGGCTGAAATGGAGAAACAAGTAGAATGTGGACGCGCTAAAGCAATCGGATTGTCGAATTTTAATATCAAACAGATTGAACGAGTTTTAAAGAGTGCAAAAGTAAACATTTCAATGTTGCAGATTGAGTTGCATATTTATTTTCAACAACAAGAATTAGTAAGTCATCTTTCTTGGGTCTGTATGGCCAGAAATTCATTTACATTTTCCATTTACTTATTAATAAATTTTCATATATTTATCTTACGTTAAATGTAATATATTTTACAGGTAAATTATTGCAAAAGTAAAAAGATCGCGATAACAGCTTATTCTCCACTTGGATCACGCAGTTTCGTAAAAGCGACGAACAAAACAGAAGAAATTCCTGATATGCTCCAGAGTGACGTAGTATTAGAAATAGCAAAGCGTTATAATAAATCACCCGCACAGATTTTATTACGATACATTATACAAAACGGAATTGCAGTTATTCCAAAAAGTACTAATCTCCAGAGAATTAAAGAAAATACCCAGTTATTTGATTGGAAACTTGAACCACAAGATATGAAAAAATTAAAAAATCTTGATCGTGGGGAATCGGGCAGGATTTGTGATTTTGGTTTCTTTAAAGGGATTCGACGTCATCCAGAATTTCCCTTCTGAACATTTTATGAGATAATTTAATATATTGTTGTTACTAAAAATATATGTATTACAGGAATAATTGTTTTATAATTGAAACAAATATTTTTATGAATAATCTAATCCTGTTTTATACTTACAACTATTATTATCTACTGCTATTATTTCCAATACTTACAGTTCTATATGTTTCATAAAATGTTGTAATAATTGTTATTGCTTATATTATGTATATTATAAAACGAACTAAAACAGAAAATGTTAAATATTGAAACTTTAATGTAAACCTGAGGATGTTTAAAAATAGACATTTAAATAGCGGATGTGACGTTTCGATGTATCGAATTGTCTTCGATTCGATAATTTCAAGAGACATGATCATTCTTTCTTCCGTTTCTGTAGGTAGAGGAAGGAATTAACGTAAGTATGTTATGAACTATTTCTGTTTAATTTCATTATAAAATTGATCATCTGATATGTTTCTTAAATGTTATTGAACGCGTAAAAAATATTTGTAAAAGTAAATTTGATATTTCGTAATTAAAGTATATATATAAATCTATGCATGTAGCAGTTGATAAAGCCACGTGTTCAAAGCATAGCATTGTTGTTTAAAAATAAATACTAAATTATTTTACAGATAATTTACATTGTTATTTAAAAAAAAGTGTCAGTAGCAGTATTTGCCAGTGACAAATGACTTTTTTAATGAATTTTAAATATTTTTCCTAACCTCTATAATCTGTAGAAAGACTAATATTTTTTAAAACATTACAGAATGGCGGACAATGCTCCAGCCAACCGTGGAGGTTTCAGAGGTGGATTTGGTTCTCGTGGAGGTGATCGTGGAGGTCTAAGAGGCAGAGGACGTGGAGGTAGAGGAAGAGGTCGTGGCCGTGGACGTGGTAAAGAAGATAGCAAGGAATGGATTCCAGTGACAAAGCTTGGCCGTCTTGTTAGAGATGGAAAAATTGATTCACTGGAACATATTTATCTATTTTCATTACCAATCAAAGAGTTCGAAATAATTGATAAATTTCTTGGACCTGAATTGAAAGATGAAGTTTTGAAAATTATGCCTGTACAGAAACAAACTCGAGCTGGTCAACGTACACGTTTTAAGGCAAATAATGCATTATTATATCATTTGATATAAGTTTTATTATAAAGAGAATATGTTAACAGTTTTTATTAATGTTATAGGCATTTGTAGCCATTGGTGACTATAAGGGTCACATTGGCCTGGGTGTGAAATGTTCTAAAGAAGTAGCCACTGCCATCCGTGGTGCCATAATTCTGGCTAAACTTTCGGTGATACCAGTACGTCGTGGTTATTGGGGAAATAAAATTGGAGATCCTCATACAGTACCTTGCAAGGTTACTGGCAAATGTGGGTCTGTACAAGTACGTTTAATCCCGGCACCGAGAGGTACAGGCATTGTCTCTGCACCTGTGCCTAAGAAACTTTTGCAGATGGCTGGTATAGAGGACTGTTATACCTCAGCGAGAGGATCTACATGTACTCTTGGTAACTTTGCTAAAGCTACATATGCGGCAATTGCCAAAACCTATGCATATCTGACACCAGATCTCTGGCATGATCAGGCACTAAGGAAAGCACCGTATCAAGAATTTGCTGATTATTTGTCTAAAAACCATAAACCCGTGGGAGGACAAAGACCTGCTGAGGTTGTGTAAATAATAAACCTCTATTTGAAATATATCTACATGTAGTTTTCTTTCCTGTTCATATGTTTATATTGGATCTATGCAAAAGATTAGATCTATGCTAACAAAGAGCGCTTACCCAGGGATTTTGCGATCAACTTATAACAGAGTAGAAATCTGTAAACGGCATTTAAATTAGCATATACACGAACCTACGGACATCCATTGTAGCACATACAAGGCATTTTTAACCGACTTCGAAAAGGAGGTTACTCAATTCGATCAGTATGTAATTTTTTTTTTCTCTGTGTGTGTTCACTGATTACTCCGAGATGGATGGACCAATCGGAGCGAAACCTTTTGCATCTTGTAGGCCCTATCCTCCTATGTAGGGTATATCTTCCGATTGATCCCATTAAAAAAAAATTTTCATTTTTTCATTGTTATTGCAAAATACAGGAAGTTTTTAATCTCATGATTGGACGATTTCAATGACCTTTTAATATGTTGTCGGGGGCATGATTCTGAACAACTTTTTCATTATGCATAATTAACGGAAAGCTTTAGTTTCCGAGATATTCGTGAAAAACTATTGTTACTACTACATTCAATTCTGAGTATGCCTACGTGTCTTTACCGGTGTATGAGTCAGCATGCAGTCGCCGATTCCCTACTCATTGTCAATTGTCAGTAGTGTCTACTGTTTCTACAGGGTGTCCCGTAACTCCTGTAACTCCCGGAAATGGGGGGTTGCTGGGGTGATTCTGAACAACATTTTCCTTTACCAAAATGTCGTTTGAAGCTTCGTTTTTGAGTTATTAACGAAAAACACTGGCCAATCAGAGCGTGCCTTTAGCTCGGGCCGAACCACGAGAGCGTTGGCTTTCAGCCGCGCTCGGTCGTGGTCGTGAACAAATGCATTGGTACAGCGCGGGTATCAAGGGAAGCGTGCGATAAATGTTACATCGTCTTAAATTAAGAACAATGTGGAATTATTCGTTATTCATAAATAATCGACCACGACCGTGGCTGAAAGCCAACGCTCTCGTGGTTCGGCCCGCGCTAAAGGCACGCTCTGATTGGCCAGTGTTTTTCGTTAATAACTCAAAAACGAAGCTTCAAACGACATTTTGGTCAAAGAAAATTTTGTTCAGAATCACCCCAGCAACTCCCCATTTCCGGGAGTTACTGGAGTTTCGGGACACCCTGTATATGTATACTAGCTTCCTCCAACTCCAACCTCCTAACACCATTATGAGTAATTTTTGCGAATTATGCTTAGGGATTAGTGTTATTTTTATAATAAATCCTTGATTTTTACTATAAGTGATGCATTAGGCTTGACAAAATAATAGTACTTGAAAGCAAATAAGATTTTGTATGTAATTGAAGGTGTATAGCATTTGTAACTTAACATATTAAAAGTCATTTGAAAAATAAATAATTACCTTGCTTATGTTTTTGATATTTTCATATTAAAAACAATATTAATACTAATTTAGTGTTATACATATAATACTATTAAGGAAACAGTATAAACAAACATAATATTCCTACACTGTTTTCTCAGTAACTTTATGAATCATAGTTAACCAAATACTATAATAATAGTTTGAAGAGGAATTAAATACTAATAATAATAGTATAATCACATTTAATAGGATGATATGATACAAAGAAAATCATAATGATACATAAATTAGTACGTCAAAAATGTATTTTTCAAAACAAAAAGACTTTACCTTTTATACATACTAGTATACAAAATCAACTACAATGGGGAAGAAACACAGAAAAAAATAAAGTATCTAACATCAAGAAGTATTGGTTTGATAGATATATAAATTACATTAAGAATTATGAACAAGTATTGGAGAGAAACTTTCCACGAACGATGCATGTTTATCGTATATTCAGTATTGGAACCAAAGATTTTATTAATGATGTAAAGAAATATATTTTGATATTGAAAAAGCAAGCTATTTCTGATGCAAACAGTTTAACTGTTGAGGAATTACGGTTGAGTTATACAATGCCAAAAGATTTAATAAAAATTTGTCCTGTTTTGTTAATATCAGCTGTTCCTTTTACAAATTACGTAATTTTTCCTTTGGCATATTATTTTCCAAGACATCTTCTAACTTACCATTATTGGACATTACAACAAAGGCTTGATTTTATGCTATTGAGCCATAAGAGACGATTAAAACACAACAGACCATTATTCAGATGCATGCAAGCAGAACTTAATAATATTAAAAATCAAACATTGAGAATAAAATGGAATGGTATTATTGCATGCCTTGGTAGTGGCACACATCCTAATGTGAAAGATATTATTGCTTGCTCTGAATTATTTGCTGGTCATCCATATTCGCTAAATAATCTTAAAAGGAAACACATAGTATGTTGAATTAATTAATTTTGAAAGGAAAATAAGAATTTATTAAAAATAATAATATTAAACTTCTGGATTATATTTTTAGAAAGAATTACTTGGTATTCATGATATACCCTCTTGGAGACTTTTTAAAATACAGAAACTTATAGAAAGAGGTATGCTAATAAAACGAATGGATCAAGCTATACAAAAAGAGGGTGGAAGTATAAAGTTGCCAAATGATGAAATACGCTGGGTGTGCATAAAAGATTATTAAATAATACCTTTAATACAATAAATAAATTCATATTATATTATGATTACTATATATATTTAAATTATAAAATGTTTTAGGCACTTTCATTTAGGGGCGTGAATCCTGCAAATATGTCATTAAAAAGCATGAGAAATTGGCTTGACCAGTGGTTTATTATATCAAATACTGTTAATGAAAACACGATTTCATTGTTATTACACAGTCCAATATTATTAGCATACAATCATCCCACTAACTGGATCCTTATATACAATTAAAATATTCCCAAAAATTTGTCACTCTTTGGTTGTAAAAAGGTTGTATAAAGATATTATAACAATTCAATATTTAAGTAGTGATTTATGTTCAAAGTATTTGTACAAATTGCTTCATCTGACCTCGTTTAACTTTATATACTATGCTGTAAATATTGTGTGTATACATGTGAAAAGACAAAGAAATATAAGAAATTTTCATCATTTTCTGATAACACGTATGTAAATATTTTAATTCTTCATTATGTTTTCTTTTTTACATACATAAACTTTATTTTCGTAGAATTATATTATTTTAGGGAAAAGAGAAACGAGGTAAAATAATGATAACATTTATGTATACATAAAATACTTTTATTTTACTAAATATACATCCTTCATTTACATAATTGTATATATGTTACAAAATATAATTCTTAGTTTTTTTGTGTATATTTAAACATAACACTATAGAAATTCAATCTTCAATAACTATAAATGTAATGTCAAAACATAAGCTGTTTTATCAAATGACAAGAACATGATATATTAGCCAAAATAGATATACACAAATGTACAGAGAACTATAAAAAGTCTAGAACTTTATAAATGTATTATCTACATTAATTGATAGGTATATAAGCAGGCAGAATTCCAATAGGAGGTCGTTTTAATACCTTCGAATCAGAAATTATTTCTAATTCGTCAATATTTTCACTTATTTCTACATCTGCATTACCATTAGATGTTTCAGTTGATGTATTAGAACAAGCTGTAGATTCTACTCTTTTCATAAGTTTAATTTTTTTCATAACACTTTCTCTTTTTTTGTCAAGAGATTTGTTTAAAGTATCCGCTTGTTCATAATACCTAACTCTGTTTTCATTATTAGAAGAGGAAGTATCCTTTGTGGGAGAAACTACTTGATGATTACTTACGTCATACTTCCTTTTTAAATGATTTTGTGTGTTAGAAGAAGATTGTAATTTGTGTGGATAAGGACAATGCTTACCTTTACTGCACTTCTTTGTCTTCTCAAATTCAGGGCACAAATTTTCGTGACGCTGTTTACACTGTAAAAAAAAGATACTTCCACGTGTTTTGAAATATTGTCTTTTATGCATTATTAATATACGATAAAAGCTATGTAATAAGAGTCATATAAAATTTCATAACTAAGATTATCATACAATAAAAGTATATTATAACATGCATATAATCATCATAAGTAAAAAAATATTGCACTTACTTCACTACCTTTAGCACAGTATCCTTGTAAAAATTCAATACAAATGGGAGTGTTGGACGAAACTTTAACGTGACGGTACGGACAAGCATCTCGCGTGCAGCATCCTTCTAAAAAGTATTTGCAAGTAGGCATTTTTTCTGGACCTACATCGTGAGACAGTGGGCATTTATCCAATAAACAGTTCCCTTGAAGAAATCTGGAAAAAATATTTATCTTTTTGCATTAATATGAATAACGTTGAAGTGAAGCTATAGAGACAACAATTTTACTTTTTGCAAAGAGAAATTTGTTTTTTATCGTGACGTTTTACACAAGTCCCTTTTGCATGATTTGAACAGTATCCAAATCTTTGAAATATCAAACATGGTTGATTATTCTTTTGCATTTTATTACGCAATATCTGGATACTTTTTTGCTTGACTTTATTGCTGTAAATAAAAAAAGCAATTGTTATTTAATTATATTTCCTATACATATTAATTACTTACCTTATATTAGTTTTGTAATTTGTTTTCGATATGTTGGATGACAATTTGAAGCTGTTTGCATGAAATACTTTCATACTAGGATTTTCTGATGTTTCTTTTGCAGATTTTATTCTACGTAATTTTTTCCCATTGGTGGTTATAACAAATTTATCAGCTTTTAAATTTATTATTCGTTTTCCTAAATTCAGAATATAACTATAACTTTAGTTATAACTGATGAAAATGAAAAGTTGTTGAAAATATAACTTACTTTTTATTCCATAACTATTACGTACTAATTGATTCTTGGAAGATTTGTAAACAACTCCCCCAATTGTTATCAATTCCATTTTGTTGTTCCTACAAAAAATTAATAAAACAAAATCATAGATTGTAATTTGTTAACACAGTTGCAATTATAAAAATATATCAACTATTTTACAATACATACATAGTCTTTTTTCTACTAACAACTGTATGTTCTTTGTTGCTTGTTTTTGGCATAGTTCTATCAATTCTATATTTGTTTATTTTAGGTTTCATGATTGATGATTTCATAAGATAAAGATTCTTACTAATTGACTGCTGGGAAGAATTTAATAACTTTGTTTTTATAATTTTTTGAGATACTGGTTTAACACATTTCATTGACGAAGTTAAGGACTTTTTAATTTTGCACAGTTCTATTTGTGAAGTACTTATAGATTTTCTTGATCCTCGTCTTACACGTATAAGTTTTCTCCTTGACAAAATTACAATGTTATTATTACTAATTTTCTTTTGACTACAAGTAACCTTTGGAGAATTTGTACTTTTAACAAGTTTTAATCTTGAACACATTGGATGAGTAATATTTTGTATTACTATATCCTTCTGTTCTGCTGGTTTAGGTTGCACTGAGGAAGACAATTTTTTCATTAATTTTGGATTAACATGCACTGATTTTTTTATAGAACTTTGATTTTGCACAGTATTTTGTTTAACATTTGTTACTCTGTTTACAGAACTACATTGTGTGCTTTCATTAGAACTTATGACATTTTTCATCATTTTTGGGTTAATGTGTACCAATGATTTTATGCGTAGTTTTGGATTGATATGTATAGCAGAATTTTGAGGTTTAAAGTTTGGATTAATATAGACATTGGTACTTGTAAATTCATTGTTTGAAACATTATTAGAAATTTTAGAAAGCTGATGAGATTTGTAAAGCAGACTTGTACATTTCTCTGGCTTTGTAGGGCTTAAGTTTTGATTTGTAATAACTTTTTCTACACAGCATAACTTTTCTGATGATTTTTTCTTATGATTTTCTATTAAACCTAAAACACAAAAAGATTAAATTGTACTGTTTTTGTTAATTATCTGGTCAAGACTTAATTACACAAAATTATAAACTCACGTGTCAAATATTGTATTTCTTTCAACAGATTATCATTCATATTTAAATATCTGGAACTTCACTCTTCAGTTACCGTTTATTTAAAATAATAAGTTCACGATCCAACAAATTTATTTCACAAATTACTGTAATGTGTTGACATTCATCACACCATTTCCAGTGACTACAGACGTTATATAGATGTCACTTGCAACTTGCAACTTGTACCATCTGTGAAACATCAGGAGAACTAATTTTTATTATGGCTGAATAGCGGTATATTTTAAATTGTATTCTTATCTTTTTATTTTACGCATTTACTCTATAAATAAATATTGCAAAGTTCGTGAACATTAGAAGCTACTGAATAAAAGATAAAAAACATAGCAATTATCTTAAGTAAGAGTACGTACAAGATAACGGAATATACCCCAAAGCGCTAAGATTCAAACCAAGATTATAAATATGTAAATTACATCATGAATTACCGCACCTATCAATACATCTTTAAATACGTCAAGACATGACGTCTAACACCACTACCCATGCTCGATTTTTGGAACACCCTCAAAGAAAAACATCTCGTGTATATAAAGAATGAAACGAAAATAAAAAGTGTTATTTCAAGTTTTAGTTTATAAACGCTCGTTTGTATATGTGGTAACATTAAGCTTTTAAAATTGACTTGAAATATCAGTTTAATTAAAAGTGAAATATTCTTCGAGATCCATGAATGAGGAGAAGTGTATTCAAATTTTTCTAAATAATGAAAATTCTAATAATATGCGTAAAATTCAGAATCCTACATCTTCACTTCATTCATAAGTTGTAATGAATTTATAAATTGAAAGAAATGCTAATATATTTTGCATAAAAAGCCCAGGAGAGCCGGGAGAGCTAGGGAGAGGCAATAAACTAGTATTGTACCTATTTATTATGAAAATTGAATTTAAAATGTCTTTTGAACTAATCAATTTTCCACCAGAGTACCTTAATACCTTTTTTATACCAAGATAATTTTGAAATCATTAAATCTCCACTTTTGAAGCTGACCCATGCATTCAAGTGATGCTTAATTTGACACCATTTAATTTTCTATAATGAAAATTACCATTTTAGAGCTATAGCTTGACCCAGTTACCCGGGTCACCCTATATAATTACATTCAGGTAAATTCGATGCAAAGAAGAATCGTCCTTTTTTTCATAAGCTTGACAAATAAATTCATTTTAATAGTCGGGTCAAAGTGACCCTTGTGACCGGTGTGCAAGGATTAAAATGAATATAAATAAAAAAGAGGAAAGGACAGAAGCGCGCAGCATCAGAAGAGCGCAGGCCTCGTTCTTCCAGCATCATCGGGGACAATCTCCATATCAGTACCGAAAATTTTCACGGTGCAAGGTGGAAGTTGAGGGATCCTCAACGCCCGTCGCACGATCGTTAACCGAGTTTGTTTCCTTCTGTTCTTCCTATCCCTACGTCTCCCCTTGTCGGTGGTGTTTTATGTCAGTGCGTACTTATGTATCTATCACGCTACACAAGGGACTACAATTTGCTCGCGACTACGGACGGGATAAACTTTAGCACGATCTTCTGTTGTTTGCTTTCTTAATTCAACAGAAGCATCGGAACATCGATCCCCTTCCCCGATGGCAGATCACGATAACATTTACGACGACGAGGTAATTAATTGATATGTTTTCACTTACCCCTGATGGTTTTTTTATTTTTTCCCCCTCGAGAGACACTTTGAAAGTGGAATGAAAAATTATCCTATAATCGCTAATGATATGCGATTATTTGCTTTGTAATCGTTAATTGATTATTTAGTGAAAGAAAGTATCATTTTTATGTGATGGAAATCTGTTCCTCTTTCATAGGGGTTGATTTGTTTTCCTTCATTTGAAGGGATCAATTTTTTTTTTAAATATAAATGATAATTCTTTATGATAGAATATAACGATTTTACTTAAGCGTATCTATATTTATGATGATCTCAGAGAAAATTTCAATTGCAAAGTTATTCGCTTTAGCGAAACGTATTTTGTTAATAAAGTGTTAAATTAGAGCAAGAATTATTGATCGTAATTTTGGTTTTTAGATTTTAATAAATGCATTTTTTTATCATTATAACATGTACATATAATTAAATTTAAAAAAACTAGGAATATTTTTTAAATACGATCGAATGATCACAGAGAAACTTAAAATAAACATAAATTTTAGAAGTTTAGAAAAAGAGAATTTAAAACAATTAATAAACGTAACATCACTATTGACTTTTTCCGATACGAAAATTAAATTAAATCATTAATTAGTGAGAGAAATGAAGGAGCCGAAAGTTTTGAATATCCTATTCTATAATATTTAAATTTATTTTTATATAATTAATTATTTCAACTATAAATACACAATTTTGGTTTTATTATTATTTATTTAATATTTCGTATACTTAATGTTTTAATTTCGTAAATGATATTCAGTATAGTAAATAAAATCAACGAAATAGAATGTTTAATGAAGCGGAAAGGACACTTTTGTATTTATTTCTAAAGTAATAATGTAAATGGACTCACCGACTTTGATTTTAATATTTTTCCGCATATTTACGCGCAGATTATCATCAATGAGCTATTGTTTTTGCATTCGTTAAAATTTGTTTTAATCATTTCGTTTATTTAATGGCTCTTTATAATTTGCATTTCCAGAAATACTGTTAATAGTTATATTTAATTATATTTTATTAAAAATAAAATTCGGAAGTCAAATTGAAAATGAATTCCTATACTTGCAGCTATATACTTTCAGATATCTTTTTATATTTAAATCATAATGGAATAAATATCATCTTTTGTTTATCATATTAAAAATTCAAATTTTAAAATCGCTGTTGTTATAGCACAAAATCGATAATTACCAGATCCATAAATATAAAAAGTTAACATTGACCCATTAATCTATAATTAATCGCATTAATCAATTATTGAATTACATTATGTAAATTAACCAATATACTGCTAAATAAATTATAGTTGCTCTTGGATGAATCATATAGCCCTTTTATGCGTTTAACTTAAATTGATTTGCTACCTTCATTTTTTTTTAAATGGTTCATTTTTACGAAAAAGTAACAGAGCTTTATTTGTCCTAGAATCAGTAACTTAGCTAAAGTGAAGCTTCTTGTTGTGGTATTTTTCCTTAATTGTACTAGAATTTAAGTGCTTTTCAAGCACTCGGTACTTGGCGACATTCGAGCATTAAGAACTAGAACACGAAAATTTTATATTTAAGTTCTGCAAAGAAATTTATTTTTTCATTATTTATTCACTGTTTTTATTTTCTGTTGTTCCATACACAACATGAAATAATATGTATTTTTTAAAACTATATTTTATGCAGAATACAATATAGTTTTAATATCTATGTAAGGCTATTAAAAGGTTTTCACTATTATATATCAAATCACTCAATTATGTGTATGTACATGTTATAATTACTTGACATTGGCGTTAGTAAGTACCTTTGTGATAGGAGCTAGTATCAGCAAATCCAAATCAGCGGAATTGGCGTGGAATTTTGATAGCCCTGCTTGTGATTGTTGCGGTCCTAGCTTTGATTGTAACATCAGTTGCCTTATTAACACCACCAGATGAAGGACCTAGGGTACAAGGTGCTAGGCTGAGACTTTCTGAGGTACGTAGTGTATTATGTTATAAGGATACAATATGAGTAACTCCAAGCAATTACTTTACAGGTACTTTCTGGAGAATTAACACCACTCCTTTTTAATGGATCATGGGTAAGCGGACAGCACATTTGCTACAGAGATGTATGGGGTGGAATTTCATTGTTGCACATTTCTCAAAAGAACATCACTACTCGCAGTTTAATGCCGAATGAAACTTTTGTAAGTTTATGTTAACTGTAGTCTAACATCATTTTAATAATATAAAGTAGGTATATGAGTTTAATGTATTCAAAGACTTATGTTTAGTAGCAAATTTCCATATACTTATATTTAGGTCTTTTAGTAAAACACAACACTAACAGATATTTTGTATACAGAGGATATTGAATCCTGCCAAGTTCTCGTTGTCACCGGATCGTAAATACTTACTTCTTGCACGCGATGTGAAGAAACTCTTCCGATATTCATATTCAGCGCAATATACAATTTATGATGTAAATACACGGTTAGTAAAAATAATTTATAAGAAAAATACATTCAGTTTAATTTATTCAACATATTTTCCAAATACACTTAACTACAAGTAGATGACATTTTTTAAGTTATTTTTACAGCAGATACATGTACATACACAATTTGTTACAAAAGAGCTATTTCTAAAACTGAAAATTTATCATAGTTAAGATATTCTAAGGATTATACACTTATTATGTCATTGTTACAGGGAAATTATACCATTGACACCACATCCAGAGAAAGAAGAACATCCTTATCTTCTGCTAGCACAATGGACTCCACGTGGTCATGGATTAGTCATGGTTCAAAATTATGACATTTATTACTTAACAGGTCCTACAAGTAACACTGGATATCGAGTTACTAACACAGCAGTTCCTGGTATATTATCAAATGGATTACCAGATTGGCTTTATGAAGGTACTTTAATACTGCTTCATTTTAACATTAGATTACTGAGGAATACATATTAGTTATTTATTTTTTATTTCGCAGAGGAGATTTTGCATTGCGCAGAAGCAATTTGGATGTCACCAGATGGTCATTTGATGTTATATGCTTCTTTTAATGATTCACTTGTTGAACAAATGCATATATTTTGGTTTGGTGAAGGCAACAAAGCTCTTTATCCTGATATACGATCTCTGCGTTATCCTAAAGTAATTTTACTTTTGTATATTACATTACGCTTTATCAAACAACTGAATTAATTATTACTCTATAGCCAGGGACACCAAACCCTGTGGTACGACTTTATGTAGCAGACCTGGCAGATCCGAAGAATATTCATACGAAGGTAGTGAAACCACCACCTATCATCGAGCATGTGTAAGTCTATTTATAAATTTTGGAGTATGGAGTGCTTGAACAAAGTTTCTCTCATTAATTTTTCCTCATTAGGTGTATTTATTCATCTTAATAAAAAAAAAAAAACAAAAATGAACAAAATTGAATAGCGATTGCACTTTGTCGTTTTTTACAAGAAACGTTTAGATGTTTGTATGGTGACACTCTCAAGGTACTTCAGAAAAAGGAAGCAAATTTTGTTGGCAAGATATTTTTAAAATATACATGAGGCGTAGTTTTTCCGGTTTGAAATGAGGTAGTTAAATAGATATTTGCCAAACAGTAAAAGTAATACTGCAAGAAGAAGGAAGACCTTTAAATATTGTATACTAAAGTATTATTGTATGCATCTTTTGTCATTTATTTTTGATGAAGAAGACAGTTTTATAAGGGCCCATAAGACATTAACATATCTTTTTTAAATTAAAAATTAGCATATTAATGGGATAGAAGTATACACTAAATTATATCAACTAATTTTTTGAGGAATTTTAAAAAAATTCTTTTTTTATATAATAGAAATATTTTATATAAATTTTGCGTTTTTTAAATGTAATATCTGTATAAATATGTTTTTGAACTTTTGTAATAACTAGTAAAATTACCTCGTTTTAATCCTGAACATATGATATTTGTAGACAATATTTAATTTCAAGATTTATCTAGTACGAAAATAATTATTTAATTATAAAATTGTTTAGTTAGTACGCATCATAGAAATACCTTTCCCTTTTATTTGCTTTATTTATTGTTTTTAAACATACAATATAGCTTCCTTTTTACACTCAGAACAGTAATGGGGGAAGTTAGACCATTAAAATAAGAAATGAAATGAAATAATTATTCAAAGGTCATGTACATTTCATTATCACATAAATAGTTCATTTTCACTAGTTTGCCTAGATATAATAAGCTACTAGCAGTAATACATTAAGTTGCATTCTTATAGACTTAATTGCTACTGAATATTGTGTAAGTCTGTTTCAGTTAAAATATTCTAAAATCTAATTATTAAATTTAATGTTTATGCCCAATAATAGTGAACATTACTTCACAAAGGCTTCCTGGATATCGTTGACAGAAGTGTGTATAACATGGCTCACACGTGCACAAAATCTATCTGTTGTAACCATTTGTAAGAGTCCGATGTGGCATTGTCAGGTATAGTGTTGCTGTTAAGCTTGACTTAAAATAATTCATTACATATAAATTTACTTCCAATATTTCCTGTAGGAAATACAAAGAATAGTAGCTGAAGACCGTGGCTGGGTAGATACTCCTCTTGAGGCACCAATTTTCTCAGCAAATGGTAGTAGTTACATTGCAATAAGTCCAGTTAAGGATGGTCCAGCTGGTTATTTTAAACACATTGTTTGGGTGAACGTCGCTAGGAAATTGGTTGTTCCTCTCACTCATGGAAAATTTGAGGTCGCCAAAATAGTGGCATGGGATCAAATGAATAATACCATGTGAGCAATACTTCTCAAAATTCTTTTTCATATATCAGAATACATCCTCTGAACTTATTCCTATAAAGTATTGCTTTGAAGACAATTGAGTGTTGCTTGAATCTAATGTAATTCTTCTACATAGATACTTTATAGGTATTCCACCTATGAAGCCAGGTCAGAGACATCTTTATTATGTGAGTTCATTATTACCACACGTGGGATCATCTTTACATCCTGCTGTTTGTATTACTTGTACTGAAACAACAGAGGTATATCAAAATCAACATCGAACACTTTCCTCTGGTCATTATAGTTCTTGGCCAGAAAATAGTTATATACATGAGCATTATGAAACACAAACAGAGAGTGCACAAAATGCTGATCAAGGGCAGCTTAAAGAAAATGCTACAAAAAAACAGAAATCAAAAGTACATGTTCCACCAAGTAAGTTCAATGTATTTTTTGGAAACTAAATAGTAAAATCTTCTGATGAATGTTTGTTTTTATTTGCAGAATTCACTGATCTGCCTTGCCAGTACCACAATGTTATTTTTCCTCCAGTTGGTACTGATTACTTTGTCTTAGAATGTTATGGACCGAGTATACCGACTGTTGCTTTATATAAAACCGACTTTCCCATGCCACGTCTCATTTATGTTTTGCAGAATAATACATTATTACGTGTATGTTTTTCATTTATTTCGTTAAGAACACAGATGGAAAATATATTTTTAAAATTGAAATCTTGTCGTAGGAAAGAATTTCCAAACTTGCGCTTCCACAAGTAAAAACATTTCCTGTTCAAATAAGCGGTGGCTATAATGCACAAGTAAAATTGCATTTACCACCTGGATTACGGGAAGATGAGATTACTCGGTATCCTTTAATTGTACAAGTGTAAGTGCATTGAATAATTAAACATCATTTGTCTTGATAATTTTTTACTACCCTATGTTATTGCAGATACGGTGCACCAGGCTCCCAATTGGTAACAGAGATGTTCAAGATTGACTGGAACACCTATTTAGCTAGTAGAAAAAATATGATCGTTGTACAGATCGACGGTAGAGGAAGTGGAGGCCAAGGCTATAAATTTCTTCATGAAGTCTACTACAGACTTGGTTCTGTGGAAGTTGCTGACCAACTAGAAGTTACTGAGTAAATTATGAAGCTATTTATTTCTTGATACACATACATAGACATATATAGCATGAATTTCATTAAAATTTTGATGGTGACATTTATAGATATTTACGGGATTCATTGCACTTTGTGGATAAACAACGTGTTGCTATTTGGGGGTGGAGTTATGGAGGTTTTGTAGCTGCTCTCGCGCTGGCGCATCCTGGGCAAGATATCTTTCAATGTGGTATAAGTGTAGCACCGGTTGTTTCGTGGAAATTATATGGTACAGTACAGTTTAATATCATTTTAAATTGTTATTTTTCCATTTAACTTATACATGATTATACAGATTCAGCATACGCTGAAAGGTACATGGGTCTACCGACTGTTGTATCAAATTATAAAGGCTATGCCGAGTCGGACGTGTATGATAAAGTGGAACATTTGCGAAATAAGATGTTTTATTTAGTACATGGTACTGCGGATGATAATGTTCAGTTCCAACAATCTATGGCACTCGCACACCATCTTGCAAAGAAGGGTATACTTTTCCGGCAACAGGTACTGTTATTAATTACATATTATTTTTATACAGATCACATTAATTATGTAGTTTTTGATGAGTCAAATGAAAATTAAAAAATAGAGATTTTATGTGAATTACATACTATGCCAGGTATACCCAGATGTGAGTCATACATTAGCAGGGGTAAAAGGTCATCTCTATCTATCAATGGCTCAATTTTTGGATGACTGCTTTCAAAAGCAAGTACCTATGGATACAAAAGCTGGTCTTATCAGCGGTGGATCTAGCTTTTAGTTGTAAATAATGTGATTCCAATGAAAAAACAATCTAACGTTTGTGAAGGAATTCCATACACAAAAATTCCATCTAAACATCTCCAAATTGTGTTCCGTTTATTACCTTTAAGAGAAAAATATTTTCGCGTTACTTCATATATTAAGGGATGGTACAATGGTTGAAATTATGTTTTTGTTATATCTTTAATTAGAAATCAAATCTAAATGAATAAAAGCAATAGTAATCTAACAGCTTTTATTTATTTAGGTTTTCTTCTTTTACATTCAGGTATGAAAGAATAAAAACCATTTTAAACATCAAATGACTTTATTGAAGGAGTATATTCGTGACTTGTCATAATTGGCAAACAAACATTATCGGAACGAGGTAAAAATAAGACGGTAATTACATCTCTTCATCGAGTCGAACGATGAAAAATTCATGAACTCGTGAGTAAGGGTAACTTATTTCTTCTTTCGTTTGAATTCTTGTAGTTAGTCGCACGTGTGTGCAGGCAACATAGAGCGTCTAAGCTTATTTCTCAATATACTTCTTTTCTTCGATCTCTCGTATCATAAGAAACATCTGTTTCACTGGAAATTCATTGTTATTTCTCTCACAACGGTTCGCTCTAACGAGAACACGTTCCTCATTAATGATTAACGTAATAACATTGTAAACAGTATTAACCAAACTCGAGGAACAATAAAGAAATTTTCTAACACTTACATCTCATTAATTGAACTAAATAAAAATATAGAATACATTTGCGGCAATAAGTCTCGAAATATAATAATAATATTAATAATAATGTACATTATGTTATCTGAATGTGAAAAATGATTAAAAACAAAATAATCACAAGATTGTATGATATTAATATTTAATTGTAACTGTGAATCATTGAATGAGAACTTTGTGTATGACTTTCTTCAAACATGTAGAGGGATAATTTTTTAATTTCTGTTGAAAAATGGTCCGATATTATTAAGTCAGTAGTCTGATATAGATTTGACGATTTTCTTATTGGAACATCTGCCAAGATGCAGTAGCATGTGGTTTTTGAGATTGGTAGGTTTACTGAAACCACGGCTACAAATATGGCACCTGAATGGCCATAGTCCATTATGCACATACATATGACTTTTAAGATCTCCGGGCGTAGGGAACGACTTGGAGCATTGTGAACACTTGTGTGGCTTTTCCTGAAAAGAAAAATGAGAGAAAAGAATATAAAAAATGTCTTTCAATAGAAACTTCAAGAATTACTTAAAGTCTTTCAGTAGGAATTTTAATTGAAGAAAATATACTATTTTGAATGAACTATTGCAATCTTATAAACGCACCACTATTTAAATAATGCAGCTTTAAAAGTGTACTATAAATTAATTGTTTTCTTTATTGTAAATATATTAACTTGTTATTATATTTTATATATATGTATATATATCATGAAGATTTATTTCTTAAACTATTTATCGTTTTAGTGTAAAGTGACTATTTATTATTAGTATAATATTTATTAATATAAAGTATTGATATGTTTAAAAAAAAAAATAATTGATATGTATTCTTGGATATTGTAAATTATATTTTGGATCGTCGAAGAAAATTTTGAATAAGAATGAACAATATTAATATAATTGAAAAAAAGATATTTCTTCTATAGTACAAAATAAGAATAAAATTCTAAATTTATTTTTACTTCTTCAATATAAAGGAAATGTAAAATCTTTATAGAATATTGTATTGATCTAATAGTAAAATAATAATATAAGAACAACAATCATCGCAAGTAAATTTATTGAAAATAAATGCAGCTCGTTGATGTATAAATTACATATAAGAATGTTAAATTTGAAAGAATAAAATGGACAACTTATCCCTATAAATGCAACGTATCTTTATAAATAATTAATGTTCTAAATTTTTCCATTTTTAATTTTCCAAGCTTACAGTATTTTTCCATTTTATTATCGGTACATCAATTTGAGTTTTATCGAGATAATATAATTTTAGATTATTTATTTTAGAAATTTGAGCAATATGCTTACTTAAACTCCCCCTAAAAAAATATTATAATTGATTTGAATTTTTAATTTTTTTTTCTTATTTCTTGGGATTTTGTGCATCATCAGCCACGTTTATTATCGATCATCGGTTTGATCAGGAGCAAAGGGAAGCGTGTTCGCGAAAAGGTAGCAGGGTTGAAGGAAGAAAGGAAGAGGAGACGAATGGAAGTCAGTAGGAATGAAAGAGGATGGCAGGGAGGATAGTATGCGGGTAAAGGTAGACGAGATAAAGGCGGAAAGCGATGTTAACGTAAGATCGAAAGAGAACCCATGAAGAGACTGCCTCTGGGTATATTCTCCGTCTCCCTAATTGGATTGCATTCCAAGCAGTAGCGAGTAATGGACCAATTACAGTAGCTGATGGCAGAGCAACCTATATGGCTCCCGAGATATCATTACTTCGGCTGGATTAGAGAAACTCATAGGGGGTTTCCGCTCTGATAAAGAAAAACTTCGACTGCTCTTTTAACCAACTCGCGCCTCGTATTACGCCTGGTGTACCGGTTTCCTTACGTTTTCCGATCGCTACCAGCCTTTACTTCAACCAGATACATATAACTTTGCGAATAAAATAAAATGAAATTCCGTGAGGGCCTTCATCTTGACGCCATCAGATCCCTCGGAGTTTCATTATATTTTATATTTTTTGAAATTTTGCTTAATTATCGAGGGATCAATTTAAATTTAATCATTCAACCGGTATCCATTTTTATTAGGATGGTCAATGTGTTAAAGTATTTTAACACATTAATATTTTTAAATTTTGCTCAATTATCGAGGTATCAATTTGACTTTAATAATTAGAATTTCAACGCTTATCCATTTTTATTATGGTAGTCAACGTGTTAAATAAATTTCAAAATGGAATTAAATAAAAATCTGATCTTTCAGTAGGTGGAGCCTATTAGATAAAATACTTGTAACAATAGGTAATTGTAATATCGATGTTTTCGTTAAAAGCAACTTGTCTGAAGCTTACCTTTATGTGAGTCATCCGATGATAATAGAGATTGGAGGAGGCCGTAAACTTCTTACCGCAAACAAGGCATTGATGGGGTTTTTCACCGCTGTGGATTCTCTTGTGCGTATTCAAGGAACTTGATGTGGAGAAGCCCTTGTTGCACACCATACAAACATGTGGTTTCTCTCCTTCAATTGAATAATGAAACTGGATTATTAGAATAATTATTTTGGTTGGTGTGAAAATTTTAATATTCATGTTCTTAACACGTGGTATAAGGGTTGCATCAACCCTCAGATAAAAATTTATTTAAATTTTAAATATAATAATTATATTATTATATTTAATTAATTATATAATTATAGTTTTGGGACATTTTCTGTAGAAGTTTTATTGGACATATTTTTGCTTCTCATTCTTTCATCCTCATCACTTTCCCTTTCTTCGCCTTTTTTCCTTTCCAGCAAACAGAAGTTCAGTAAAAGTGTTGGGTGTGAAAGTGTATGCGATAAGCAGTGAACAGGTGAAAGAATGTTCGATTTATGAATGAACTTATTCGTCAGGTATGAATAAAAATCATTGCACAATTAAATGATGTTTTGAAATATAGAGTTTGATAATTGAAATTTACTGCAATTTTGAAAAATAGTTTAATAAATAGTCTCACAATCAGTCCTACAAAAATGATGTACTATAATTTCCAAATGAAAGCCTGAGAATAAAATAATAATATAAAATTTAGAAAATAAGAATGAGAAGAAGTTTCAAATTAAATCTAATGTCTAAGTTATACATTAGATCAGTAAAGACTCCGCTCTGCCATTTGAGAATTAAAAAGAAATATTTATCACAACATTTATAACATCATAAATTTCTTTAACTCCTTATTTGATAAAGTTGATCAGTTTTTTTCTCTATAAGAGGCTTATTTGCATATGTATTGATTATAATTTCTCATACGTATAGACGTACCTGTGTGAGTTCTCATGTGACGCTTTAAAAGCGACGGCCGATCGAAGGATTTCCCGCAGACTTCACAGGGTAACAGAACCCTTTCTCCTCTTTTAATCGTCGTCAGGATACTGCAATCTAAATGATCGCTCGTCAAGGATAATGTTGATGACGAGGACTCCTCGGATGTTGATTCGTATTCGTCCATCTCGTAATACGAATGCGAAATGGCTGATGATGAATGATGAGAGAGTAACGCCATTGATAAATCTAATGGGGATTCTTTAAACAAAATTTATTATTAGATATTATTATTTAGATTTTATTAAATATAGCATGTTATTCGTTCAATATTTTAAGGATTTCAATGTACAGGGTGTTCCATACAATCAAACTAATTAGCTGTAAAAAAGTAAAAGAAAGAGAAAAATGTGATTAGATAAAATTAAATGGCGTTAGATGGAGCATCACCTGATGTATCCGTCGGTTTCGGAAGAGGCGTTCCAAAGATTTCAAGCTTAATATAATTTTTTTTAATTAAATTATATATATTTCTATACGTTAATCGAAGCGTATTTATATTCCCTACAAAAAAATATTAAGGCACGTTGGTCGAAAAATGATTCCTTCAAAAGTTATCTTAGGGAGAGACTTCCTGTCTCTCCTTAAGATATCTTTTGAACGAATCAATTTTTTATCCAAATACCCTAATACTTTTTTATAGAGAATTAAAGTACACTTCGATGGATGTATAATAAATTATAAAATTCCATAAAAAAAAGAACGAAGGTGACTTTGAAATCTTGAAGTTTTATTGGAATTTTGTACTTTGCTATACATCAATCGAAGCGTATTTTAATTCTCTACAAGAATGTATTAAGGTACTTGGGTCGAAAAATCATCAGTTCAAAAGATATCTTAGGGAGAGACCGAGAGAGACAAACGGTCTCTCCTTAAGATAAGGATCATTTTACGATCTAAGTACTTTAATACTTTTTTGTAGAAAATAAAAAGACGCTTCGAACAACGTTCACAATTCCAAAAAAATTTTCAAATGAATTTTGTCTATCTTCTACCATTTCATTAACACTATGTGTCTTGATCTAGTGATATGGAATATTCTATATATTAGGGTTAGTCCTGTTAAATAAATAAATAAATAAATAAATAAATAAATGTTGTCGGTATTTCAGTGTTATAATTATTGAAAGTATGAGTGAATTATTAGCAGTATTAACAATATTATATTGATTTTTGTATTTTGTTTCAGATTATCCATTTTCTTGGTTTCTTTCGAGGCCAAACCTAACAAATACCCTTGCTCGCTACTGTGACCATCCCCCCCCCCCCCCCCCCCCCCCCCCCCCCCCCCCCCTCACCCCCTATGATCCTCCGGTTCTCTTCTTCGGTCGGCGAGCCCTCCTGTTCGGAATTGAAGGTTCGCTGGCATTGTACTGTCCTTTATCCCTTGGTAAGCGCGGGGGTCTACGCATTTGAATCATGAGCGAACGAACGAGCACCTTGTGATCCAGCCGACAAAAATACCGACGCATATTTGCATTTCAGATTTGTTAGCCAACTTTCTTCTTTCTTTTACGATTGGACCGCGATTGCGCCGATTAACGCGATTGCACCCGGCCAAAGATTTCGATCGCTTATTTTCGAATGGCTGCTGCCTTTGAGAAAAGTACTGACCATTTCTTTTTATACCGTTTTGCTCAAGAACCGGCATAATTGTTGAATACAATTGTTAGCAATTGATTTCTTAGCTTGTAATTAGGAGTTTGTAAAATTAGGAGTACGGATAGTGGCTATTTTAATTGATATTTATTTATAAATCATATTTTAATATAAAAATGAGAAATTCTTTTAATTTAGTCGTTAATGTAATATTTTACTATCAAACGTTGTGATTACGTTAATCAGAAGTGTAGTGGGAACAAGTTACTTAATATTAATGAAGTTTATTTAAAATTGTTAATAATCATTTTTTTAATTTTAAGTAACTTACCATCTAAAATGGAATCAATAGTACATCTGTATAGAGCCGACCTCGAGCACATATCGTGTGGAATAAGAACAAAATCTTGTTCAGCCGTAGGAAGAAACCAAGCCACTAATTCCGTATCCGGTTGAACATCTTTTATTACTTCAAAGATTGGATCCCCTGAATAACAGGAGGAAAAAATAAAAGGCATCTTGTTAATTGGTAATCATATGAAATATAATGAAATTCTATTACTATCTATTAGAAGAGCAATATTATATGTGGTGTATTATTAATTCTTATAAAGAATAGAACAAAAAATTAATAATTAATGTGAAATAAAATAAAACTGATTTAAAATCATTTATATTCAAGGGACAATTTATTATTTTTCAATAATTACTTCAATTGGGTCAAAATCACCCTGCATTAAACGTGAAAGGATTAAAGTGTTAAAGTTTGTTGTATACAGCTTACCTTTCACTTTAGTACCAACTAAATTTACTTGTTCGTTGTAAGATTGAACTATACGAAGGAATCTTATCCAGTTACACTGACGTTTGTTGAAATTGTAATTTGAAAAGAATACTTCGTCGTAGCAGCCATATTCGCGTCTGATCTGAAACGAATTAAAGTTGAGCCTAATTCATAAATTGCTCAATTACAAATTTATTTTTATTTACAAGAATTAACATGCCTTTGACCAAAAAAGTATCAACACACTTTGCTTTCTGCAATTACTTTATTCAAATAAAAACATTATATTATATTACATTTATTCTACATATAAATATTAATTATAAGAAGTTATTTATATTTCATTAGATCTAGAATATTTATATTCTTTCTATAATTTATACATATGTAGTTTGATAACAATTATTTACTTATATTTTCCTGACTCATATATTTGTAATTCATCAATAAATTATCAAATTTAATTCACCTACACTTATTTCTTTTTAATATAATTCAGTACCTAACATTTGTAATTCATCAATAAATTATTAATTTTAATTCACCTATATTTATTTATTTTTAATATAACTCAGTACCTAACAACATTCCTTTATTTCTTCTACTAATCTTCATAATTATTACAGGATACAGAGGAATGAAGAATGGATCGCGAGAAACGAATGAATCTAACGACATCGTTTTACTTACATCATTGTCATCGAGAAGAGAGTAAAGGTCGATCTTGTCGAATCGGATCGATCCCTGAAAGGGGTAAATCAGCGTTCCAGAAGGGATGAGTACATTAGACCATACGGATATCCTGACATCGGTGACTAAGTTTCCTGAATCATTCTTGAAGAGACCCTTGTAAGAGGATCGATCGTTAGCTAATGCCAAGGAAAATTCTTTGGGTATCAGAACGCAGGTTTCCATAACAGAGGCACCGCGAAGGGATGCTTTGGAAAAGTCACAGCTACCGTTCTCTCCACTGTAAACACTTTTCTATACAGGACACTCAACCAAAAGGATCCACGGATCCTTTTCATCAAACTCTTATTAATTATCACCCCGTGATCAACATCTAACGACGTGAAATAATAATTGATAGATACCAAACTGATTAACTCAAAGGAGAAGAAGTTGATAGTGTTAGAGTCTGAAGTGTATCCGAAGACTGATCAATGAATAGTCACCACGAGGTCCATAAAACGCACACGAATTCTTGGATGCGATTACAAGTGACACCGCGGCTCACTGGACACCGTCTAGACGAAATATTTCTATGGAAAGGCAGTCGAACAGGTAAATCACGGAAATTGGAGCAAATCGACGAGTAACAAGTGAAATTTCAGTTCGGACCGTGAGGGTCGTTCGTCCTCCAAGGTGCAAAGGCCTCGGCTGACTGGATAGGATTAACCGACTGATCTTGACCTTGCGACGGGTTACCAGCATTTGCTACCGAATGGGTAGCCCTTCCCCTTCTTTACCTCTTTTCCCACTCACAGTACATGGCCCGCTGTAGACTTTTTCAGTGGCGTAGTCATTGTCATCTCTAATACATCGGGATCATCTAATCATCCTATCAGTTCAATCTTAAATATACATCTAAATGAAACGTAGACTTATTTAGGCTAGAAGTAAATGTAGAAGGAGTCTGTAATTATGGAAGGATCCTAGAGGAGTCTAAATTCGGACATCTCCTCAGACATGGATAAAGAAGACTACTGATGGGAACACCCCTACCTCTACACTTCCTTTTAATTAAAAGAAGTATTCGAAAGCCATGATCGTGCCATTAGAGTGTTGCATAGAGGTAGTGTAAATGGGAAAAACAAGCTGCATACGCCAATGAATCTCACTGCCCCACTATGTTCATCCTGTGGCGAGTGCACTTGGTGTATAGAACGAGTATCGGCTGCTTCACCAGTACAAGGAAGCCGGCTCGTCGTCCTCGTCGTCATCATCGTCGTCTTCTTCACCCTTCTACCGTCTCTGCAGCACCGTAAAGAGAGAACCCACGTGGGCGATTGGGCACCTGTCGCTCCCTGTGCGCCCTTTCCTTCTCCTACCCGCATCGCGTCCACTTCTTTCTCTTCTTCCTCCCTACCATCTCCACGCCCTACCGTATATCCTTTTATCCGCCGCTCTCTTGCTCCTCGCCATTTCTTCCACCTAACAGCCTTCTGGGACTCTCTTATTTCTTTCTTTCGTCGCGTTTCCTTCAGGCCTGCACCGACGATATTCTGCGCGAGCCAGCCTCGCCCGTGAGCAGAAGCATCCCGCTCCGAACCTGCTCCCTTTTACTCTTCCATCTGTCCTACAACTCTCCTTCTTCATCCTTCATCCGCTCGTTTTCCACTTTGCTTCGTAACCTCGCCGCCTTTCTTTTCGCTCCTCTTTCTACCCGTCACCTGCAAATACTCACCTTTATTCATTCGTTACGACCGAACCGTGGAACGGTCGGGAATAAAGTTACGAAATCGATCAGGGTGCCAACCGACGCGTCCCCCTCCCCCTCGGCCATTATTTTCGCGTTCACTTTTTAGGTGAACGTCAGCGGAGGGGGGATTCGGATCATCTTCGAGGTGTTTGACGCTTTGAGATGGTAATGATGGGTGAAATTCGGCCTTTTTAACACTTTGATGGCTGGTTATGAATGATACGAGTATACGTACTATCACTTTATAAGTTCATTTTATTATTTATCATTCATCTGGATCTTCAGTGGTTTGCTCATCCGTCAATGGTTCATACTGCGTCTTTTTTGTGTCAGCTGCTTGCTTTTTCATTGTAAGGAGTGCTTTCTTTGCGCTTTCACGAACTCTAATTAAAAGAATAGGTTTATTTTTATTGCAAAAGTTTTTCTTCTTTTTTCATTTTTCATAAGTACCTTATGTAGAAAATTGAGCCTGCTAGTGTACCACCTACTAGAATTACGAAAAGGATTACTGCTAAGACACTGACGTATTCTTCGTTTGGTAACCAGCCGAAAAAGGGGCGAGTTGCCTGGTCTTCCATCAAATGGGTACGCCAGTCCGGTGGTCCTAGAACTTGTAAATGTAAGTTTAATGAAATTAGGTTCACAAATTAAGTAGATTTTGAATCAATTTGAAACGTCTAATTACCTTTAATAAGAATCATATTCGTTATCCACACGAAGCTCAAATCGTTTTGTTTCACAACACACTGCCACATTCCATCGTGTGTTCTGTTTATTACAGTAATGTGTTCAATATCAGCAGCAATAGGAAGCGTAATCCCATAATCCTTCCAGGTTTTATTTTTTATCAGCCAAGAAACTTGTAACTCTGAATAAACGTGGCCCAATATTGTACAATGGCATATCATAGTCGTACTCAATGTTTCTCTTCTTCTTTGTACACTTTGCTTTGATGGAATCACTGCTAAACTGACCACCTTGATGATTGAATACGTTCCATCGATTCTACGTAAAGTCATCGCGTAAACTCCAGAATAATTTAAAGAAGCCTTGATTATTTCTAAACAAATATTTAATATTATTTGAAAGAGTCCATGGGGAACCTAGTCTAAATATTTTCTAATTTAATTTTTAACCGACTTCGAAAAAGGAGGAGGTTACTCAATTGTATGAGTATATATATATATTTTTTTAATAAATCATAAACCATTGCCACTTACCAATATTATTATCTTTCAACTCTAATTTGCCCTCCTCTTTCTGCACAAATACGCCATTTAAGGACCATTGCAATTCCGACCGAGGAGATTCTGTGCTAATCAATTTAACGATATCAGAATCTGCTTCAATCGTCGTAGAATGGAATTCTTTTACAGTAAGTGCCGTGTACATCGTTCGAATTCTTCTATTGATCATGTTTATCGTATCTGTTTTTCACGGGACAGCATTTGTAGTTGTACCCTTTGCGGCTGTTTTTGAATTTACCTTCTGTTATATCGCCACAGAGAATCTCGTTACAACGACCAGTCATTGTACTCGGCCCTACGCATGGCTCTCCTCTGACGTTAGGTTTAGGAGAATCGCATCGTCGTTTTCGGATTCCTGTACCACCATTGCAGCTTGCACTGCATGCCCATGGTCCCCATTCTGACCATCCACCGTCAACCGGAGGTCCATCTATGTCTAAAAATTGGTTCATTCAAAATTTATTCTTCAGTTATACAAAATTTGAATCATCGACTCGATATAGCGTGATCCCTTTTCAATGGAATCAATACTTTATGAATGAGCTATTTTAGAATATGATTTTTTCTCTTAAAAAATTAGGTTTACCTGTTGGCATACAGTTCACAGACCAAGTGACCCAATTATCAGGATCTACTCCGATTGAAAAGAAATAGAATACAAGAGGACTGTTATGTCTGTAGCGAAATACATCTGTTGTATTTGAATAAACCTCGATACTATTCCCAGACCATCTGTGAATTGTTCAATTATTCTTTTTTATTTCATTTGTATTTTAAAATTCATTTACCTGACAGTAATATTGGTCCACGAATTTGTTGTATATAAAGACACTGGGGATCTCTGTTTATAAAAAATTACTACATTAGGATATGTGTTTCTTGCAAATGCTATTTGACGTTCTGCTTCGTTCAACGTGAGTAGGAAAAATCTGTTGGAAAAATGAATAATTAAAGGTATTTAAAGTTAGATATAACTTTAAAACATACCCTGGAATTGCAAGCATCAAATATAACGGTATGTAAATCTTCCCTTTTCCTCGAAGATGAAACGTCACTTCTTTTGGATATAATACTTCTGTTTGGATCCAGGCTGACAGCGATAGGATCCTCGTATATCTACTTGTTTTTGTATTTTCTATGTTACAACCTGTTTATATAAATAAAAATATTTTCTTACTGTAATAATATTTATCTTATCAATTTTCAAATATTTGACATTATTAATATTATTGCCATTACTGTCATTGATACGATTATTCTTAAATTTGTTAAGAAAAATTAAGTGCAAGTAGTAAATATACTTGAATCACGATCAAATGCGATACCAACAGCCTTTCCCATTTCACTACCATAATAATAATACATGGGCAAGAAAGCATGCGGTGGATCTGAATGAGTCCATTCAAAGATAGGCTTTGGGTCATCCTCGTAATAAAGCAACAATTGTCCACGTGGTATTCGAATTATAAATCCGGTCCATTTTCCCATATAAAGTAAATGCGCCAATGTTTTCCTTTTAACCAATGTGATAGCTGCAACAAATACAATTATAAAATTTGCAAATTATAAAATATTCAATAAATTACGTTGAGTTTCCGATTGATAGTAGAGAACAACTTTCTCATTATCCAACGTTCCTATTTTCAGGATGTAACGAGATTTGAAGCCATCGTCAGCTGTAAAGACGAAGGTGACAGAATCCGGATTATCTGGTTCCCATGCTTTCAAAGCAAAGTGTAAACCTTCAGAACGATATTCCGGTAGAACGTATAAACGTCTGCCTATACCATCTTCTCTAAAGAGAAATGTAAATTCTTCTAAAATGAAAACGTTTCGTTATATTTATTTTATAATTATTAACTCAAAGTTCAATGTTTTAATTAATTTCATGCATATTTGGAAGAAAATTAGATTTCTTTTGATTAAGGGGAATGGCAAGTGGAGTATTTTTCTAACATTTGTTTTTTATTTTAGGAGGACCCTAGAAGGACCTCGGGAGACCTGAGAGAGGCAAGAAAAATCAGGATGATCAGAAAATTCTGTATTTTCCTCATTACACTATCACCCGAGTTCACAGATTCATCTTACTAACAATTTATTATTATTTCAGGTTTGATTACAGCATAATACTTACCTGGTTTCTCGCAATCTCTAACATTGCAAAGATCTCGAGGCACCGAAGGATCAGTGGTGTAACACCAAGTGCCAGCGACGTTACGCGAAGGATTTCTGCAATAATTGCTTGCGTTTCTGGCACTGCCTTCTGGATACAAAGTGTCGTTATAATGATCTCGACCTAAGCTTTTCCAACTAAGTTTCGATGTTTCTGTTTTAGGTTGCGCTGACATGGGTGTCGTTGTTCGATACCCAGAATCAAAAAGGTTTGGTTCTCTCCACATAGGTCTTGCGTTTGGAGGTTTTACTATAGTTTGTCTTCGAGTGGGCATCGTTATCGATGGTAATGATGTTGATTTAAAGTCGGATTCAATTGGCCAAATGTCACAGGTGCGCCCTGAACGAGTTTTTGATAATGTTCCTACGTAATCATTTGCGGTCCCTGCCATTCGGCATTCTGGAAATTAAAAAATGTATTTGTTTCTAATATACAGGGTGTCTCAGCCGATTTTGACATCTTGATTTACTCGGTATTGTGGCACGTAGTGAAAAATGTTTCATAGGGAACTTAAATGGTATCGAGTGGGGCATGTTTTGGTGTTATTAGTTTTTTCGAACGTAGACGCGTCAAGGATATATGAAGGTCAACTTTGTTTTTTTAAATGGAATGGGGTACTTTTTTATGCATCAAACGATGCAGCTAGACATTGTTTATAAAAAAGTACTGACCTATGTATGTCGAAAAGCTAGTAGTTTAGGAGATATGTATTTCAATTTAAATAATTCTAAAATTCGTACTGACATTAGCGTTTATTTTCAGGTATGGTTCAACATAACGACCATTTGCATCACAGCATTTTTGAAATTGATGAAGTAAGGACTGGCCTACGTTATTTAATGTAACGGCTGATATTTTGCCACATTCGTCGATAATACGCTGCTTCATACCAGTCACTGTAGTTGAATCAAATAACCGGTCCCTACTTCATCGATTTCAAAAATGTTGCGATGCAAATGGTCATTATGTTGAACCATACCTGTAAATAGACGCTAATGTCAGTACGAATTTTAGAATTATTTAAATTGAAATACATATCTCCTAAACTACTAGCTTTTCGACATACATAGGTTTCTACATACTTTTTTATAAAAGATATCTAGCTGCATCGTTTGATGCATAAAAAAGTACCCCATTCTATTTAAAAAAACAAAGTTGACTTTCAAATCTCAGAGGCGCCTCCATGTAGAAACAAACAGTGTCCACCATTGCATGTCCCCCTTCGAACAGAGTACGTTTCGTTTAAATACTTTTTTCGAAAAATGAATATTTTTCGAGAAGATCGCGTGTAAAGATTAAAATGAGACACCCTGTATATATTTGTAAAATTGTTACCTGATGATCTGCAAGTTTGAATGTGACAATAATGTTTCGAAGTAGTCACATTTTCCCAGGGTGTAAATGCGTAACAATAAGGACCATTAGGATCATGCGAGGGATTTCTGCATTTATTTAACGCTTTTAAGGCAGATCCATCGATAAATTTTTCGTCGAGTTTATCCTCGCTGTGAACCTAATTAAATGAATTTATTATTACTATTAGTATTGTAAATTTTAAATGTGGAAAGTTTTGATTTTGTTTCAATTTCTACCTGGTGTGAAATCCATGGAATACAAGGAATTTCATGATAAGTGGTCCATTGTGAACCTTTATATTGAAAATCTTTTAAATCAGAGATACAATTTGGTGGCCAGGGATCTTCTACAGCATCTGATTCTGGTAATACAAAATAAAAATAGTTTCTATATTAAAGTCCAAAAGTCTAATTAAAAATATTACCTTCTGGAGAACAGAACAATGTCCACTGTGCTACGGTGTTTTCACTTCCAATACTAAACCATCTCAAGGTAGCGAAAAAATTCTCATTCATATATAATAATTCAATGGCACCTCTGGTTTTTTGTGAATATAAACGAAAGTGCCCTCCAAAAATGCTATATAATACAATATTATTTGCAGATTATAAAAGATAAATAAAATCTTAAGATTTCCAACCTGATAGTAAATTCTCTCCAGGACCAAAAATCAAGTAACTCTCTAGTTGCAATTTCTTTTAAATAGTGTTTAGCAGATTCTTCACTTTGTTGGTAAGTGAGAGTTGTAACTTCTTTACCTATAGTTACCTGTTAAAAATTAATACTAATCAATTACTTTTAAAAGCAGGAAGTTTTTTAAATTTGAATTTACCGCATGCTTCAAAGATAGTATAGATTGCACCATCTACTAACAAGTGGAGGGACTATAACCAACTTAGCTTAGAACAAAACCACCTAAATCGTCCAATAATAATATACCATCATTAGTTGGTTTAAGTTCAGCCGTTTGCCGTCAGGTGGCGCTACTTATTTTCTGAGAGCGCGGCGATATAAATTGAAAAAAATATATTTAAACAAAATATTTTTATTAACACTGCTTACTCAATATCGTTAGTAAAGTTGATATTAAAACTTTTACCGTTATCGAAGGATATTCTAATGCAGGTGTTTCATACAGTCGTATATGAATGTTTTGACTTGCTCGAACAAAGAAACGAATATCTTTCGTGTCGTTATTCTTTTGAACTGCCCAAACTTTTGAAAAATCGATTCCAAATGTCGTGTAAACCTCGCAGTCTGAAAATTATTAATAAGTGGTATCTATAGTTCACATAGATACAGTGTTTCTTAAACTAATAATGATCAAATTAGAGTATATTACAAATTATTATTATTACATAATAATATTATATATTATTATTATTATATAATTATATTAACATAAATTACATTATTTATATAAATAATGTTGAAGCAGTTCCGTTTGAAACTTATGAATACGAAATAGAAGGTTATGGAACGCCTTGTATTGTTATCACGTTTAAACTCGAAGGAAAACGCGCCTGTCGGTCAGTCTTACTGACTCTTATCGCGACCGCTGTAGAGGGCGTATCTACTTGCACACGGGTCTCTACAAATTAATAGTTTAAATCTTCGCGTGTATAATTATCTATCCATTATTGTGTGCAATATTGTTTATATGTAGTGTACTTTTTAACGTAATTGTGTACATGATCGGGGCCTGCTAATATGAGTCGACTGTGGGTCAGTGCTGATCGTGAGCAATTTTCGAGAGATATTCAGTAGAACAAGTCAACGAAGAGCGAGTCGCATGCTTTATATTACCTCCAGCTCCCACCATACCGGTTTGAAATGGTATAGAGACTGATTACATTTCTTTTTTGTTTTAAATCTAAACATGATGCGCACTTATCTATTTATTTAATCCAAAACATAGTTAATTGTTAAGAAAGCATTGTTAGGAAATGTTTAAACTTACGAGTTTGACAAAATGGAGAGCTCCACAATATATTTGTTCCTCGAAGTCCGTAGTAGAAAAAGGTTTCCGGATACAAATTCGTAATTCCACGTTTCTTCTTGTATTCTTGCATAACTATAGGCTTCATAGTCCCTTCGATACCCGCTGATATGAAACCGCCACCCCATGTTATCCATATACCCGTCCATTTTGTACCAACTAAGATTTCGGGAGTATTTTCGAAACTTTCTTCCTCCTATTACAATTACTTTAGTACGAAACTTTCAATTTTACATTTAGAAATGTTAAACCGAAAAATTAAGCTTTGTGTAGGGTGAATTATATGTTAAAGTATATTTTCTTCACTATTTAAGTTCTAGTGACGCCATTATGCCGTTATCAATTTTGCCATGTTTAATAAAATTTATTTATTGTTATTGCTACTAACATCGTATTTTGGAAATGTTTGACGACTGCCAAAATTTGCAAATAACAATTCAACACCTGCAGTCCATTCCTCGGCTATTTTCTCAGCAGAAGCAGGAACAGGTAAAAGGCTAAATAAAATTCTAGCTTCACCCTATTATTAAGAATTAGAATTTTTATATAATAATTTAGATAAACAAAATATGATGTTAGTAATAAACGTACCTTCTTTTCATCATTAGGGTTCCATAATTTAATCCAAAACGATGTGTTGCCACTAGGTGCGTTTAATTTTGTTAGTATACTATAAAGAGGCACATTTTTGGTGAATGCTAAGCAATCTATGGAAAAGAAATTTTAATAGAATTTAATTTTGAGAAACTGAAAAATATTTAAAGGAATTGTTACCTCTGTCGTCGCAAAATGGTACATCGCAATATTCCTTCTCAACAAATTCAAAATTCTCTTGCTCAACATAACACCATGGTCCTCCGGTATCTCCTGTGGGATTTCTGCAGAAACTTTCAGCTCTTTTTAGAGATCTATCAGGAAAATCTTTCCCTTCGAATTTTGGACTCTGTAGAATTATAATAAAATTTTTGTCCTTGTCCAAGGTGGGATTATAACTTTGTATTTTTAATTACTTTTGAATCTACAAGTTGATGGCGTTTATGCCATGGTCTACATTTTCTTCCTGATGAGGAAATTTCTTTACTACCCCCATATTCTGCTCCTGGCCCTGATATTCTGCATTCTTTAACATAATTTTGTTGGATTCTTTGAATTTTCGAAATTAAAATTCATATAACAGTTTTCTATGTATTACCTCCAAAATTACAAAGAGGTATGTCGCAAACATCATCTATAAGTGAAGGATCTGAAGTGTAACACCACGGTCCTTTATAGTCCCCCGTTGGATTTCTGCAATAACTTTTTGCAGCTTTCATTGATTTCTCGGGGAAATCTTGATCGTGTATGTCACCGCTGACCTTATATTATCCAATCGTTAATTGAATTATCAAAAAAAAGAAAATTAATTGCAGTATAAAACCTCGTGTATCGGTTCTTCCGAGCCCCAATTTTGGCACCGAATGTCACCGACTGTTTTCGATATTGAACCCCTATACTCCATTCCAATTTGTGTTAATTTGCATTTCATTAAATCGGTACGTGTCGCATTATGCACTGGCAAATAAATTTTTGATAAAAATTGTCCAATAGACAATTTGTTAGCATCCCTAAGTCTTGGCAACGTATGTAGATCTACCCCCTTAGGCACATGATTAATACGTGGACATACCTTTCTGACCCATGATTAATAATATTAAACAAAATATAATTAGAAGGTTAAATGTCAAAGTCGAAGCAGTATAACAATTTATTTTATAATAAATGTTCATCATTGATTCAATTTCTTTAAACATTCTAAATTCTTGTCTTCTTTAATACTATAACAATATACATTTTTTAAAACAACTTTTGGAATTATACCTTTTGTAATATAGGTAATATTACTGGGATATAAGATAAAATAATTGAAGATCGTAAATGAAATCGATTATATTGAAAATTGAAAATTAAAATTTTACTGGGAATAATTTTAGGAAAATTGGAATATTGGAGGTAAAATAATGTTAACAACGATTATTTAAAATTTCCAAAAATTTAATAATACTTCTTGGATTTGTAAAATAAGATGATTATAATTTTTCATTTTAACATACACGTTCACCTAAAAACTATTATTTATCGTTAATGGAAATCCATTTGTCAACACACTGAAATATTTGCAAAAAAGTCATCGCCGACATTCGCACCAAAATGTTTATACATTTAGATCGTTACACTGCTAATATCTTTTATAACTTTTAATTAACATTTCTTTTAACTTCTAGAAGAACTAACTTGCACTTATAACTATAGTAGCACTGATTTGAAAGTTGAAAGATAAACTTGCAAATTTTTTCAATTCAAATAAATTTCATTTTTTTGTAGAACTTTATGATTTCAAGTAATAGAATTAAAATATTTTGAAAATAATTAATAATTTTGTTTTGTTAAAAAGAATTTTAATATTTTCTACGAAACTGTATTACAAAAAACTATTTGTATAATTTGCAAATATGCATACAATACGAACTTTCAACCAGTATTACATATTTCATATAAATTTAATGTATAACAAATTCAAATTCAATTTACTTAAATTTTAAATCGTAGAAACATGCTAAAAAGCGCATTCGCATAATCAGAATATACCTTTACTAGCTACACTCACTATTAACGTTTCTTCATTATATAATTAAAATGAAAAATAAACGATTAAAGTATTTAGGAACCTGCTATATTTGTAAAAAAAAATTTATTATAGATGACACATACAGAATATGATTTAAATCATACATATTTTTATACTTCTTACTTTTGATTATTCATTTTTAAACACGATTGTATATATATAATAATAATAATATTTCAATATCCAGAGAAGATGCATTTGCCTCGCAAACACTCTAACTTCATCTTACCGCATAAAGAGTTTGCAACATGTATACTTAATTTTGACATTAAAAGATTTGTAAAAAGTGGAATCACCAAAAAATAGCAAGGATCAATTTATTATTTTTGTTACAGGAATATTTCATTTCCTAGATACAACATAGCTTACTAAATTGTCTTATATGCAAGTCTTGTTGTACTTTTTTCTTTCTTTTCTTTATTTTTTTTGTGTAGTACACGTATACATATATCAGCTATATATATGTATGTATGTATGTATATATATATACTATAGTATTTATACATATGTATACATATTACAATGTGTATAGAATATTGGATTTATTATTCTGCTGTAGTATAAGAAACTATAACAAAATCTTTGCATTGATCCAATATTTTATACAGGAATAAATAAATTCGTATATGATTTTCTGAAAAATGGACGTGCAACACTTGGTATCTATTCCCTGCCCTGCACTTACATTAAGCTATTACTCTCTTGTCGAATATTTAACAAAACATACTTTGTTTGCAATATACTGATTATTAAATGCATATATGTAGTATTTGAGCAGGATGTATACATTCAAAATCTAACTTAATCTTTGTCTATTAGCACAGCATTGCGATAAAAATACATTAGATAAGCACATTTTAATAAAATTGTTTTTTTATTTACCATGGTCAACATTATTGCCACATACCATAATGCTATTATATAATATTGTAATAAGAAGAAATTACTTTCTGTGTAAATACTTCTTCCATAAACTATTTCTTATACGTAGAAATTTCTTCAACATTTTCTCCAAGTTGAATCGCTGTTTCCAATATACATATTCAGTACAATGATAATCAAAATATGGAATTCGTTTATTTTTCTTTATGTAATTCAACTATGTGAAGATATTTCTACGCAATATACTTGAGAGATCATTTCTTGTTTGAACTTAAATTCTCAGAATAACTAATACTGTGGTTGATTGATGATAAATGTGTAAAATACTATGAACTAACTTTCTTGGTAACATACATCTTATTAAAAAAAAAAAAAAAAAAAAAAAACATAAATATAAGTTAATCAATAAAATTCTGCATATTACTTAAAAGTAGGCCAATAAAATTATCCTTATGATCTTACATTATGCATTTAAAAAATTCTTCAACGGTATTCGGGAACATAATATTAAAATAGATGCTTAAACACAAATCTTCATTAATCTCTTATTTACTGTGTAAAGATAAACAAGGAACAAAACATGTTACTGCATTAAATCAGTCTTAGTTCAGTCTTATATTGTGCGAATGTAACTAATATATTATTTCAGTTCGTTAATGTCAAATTAAATTAAATGCGACAGCACTTGCATCTCTTTTCAAAGACTGACACAATGGGTTTTTCTATACTGTATAAAAACTAATACTTTATGTATAGCGAATGCCATTAGATGAAGTTCGATTCTATAATCGGCGATGAAAAATTAATAATGATAACAATGTTACTAGTCATAATGGCAATGTAAAAAATCATGAAAATAATGGTAATGATAATAATCGTCATAAACATAAAACAAGTAATAATTTTTGACCATTTATACATACTCGTACTGGAATGCAAACTGAAAGTATAAATTTTAAGTATGATATGTTAAAAACATTACTACAACATTGATTTTGCATTACATTGATAAATGTGTTGCATCATTTAGAGACAACTGATACCTCTTAGTTCATTATCTCCGTGCGCTATTTTTGTTAGCTCTCTTTTCTTCTTGTCCATGCATTTCCACAATCTTTTGTGTCGTTCACATTCCTTCTCAATTACATACACTCATAAAAAACAAACTCTTAATCACAACGATTATGCACACATAAGTATGTATGTGTAACGCCAAATTGCATTTTAGTCTCCTTCCATATTTAACAGGAGACATTAACTTATACAAATAGTTAAACAGTTTTATGACGTTGGTCACAATAGTATTGTATACTGTTACTTCATTTTAATCAAACGTTGTATATTCGAAAAATTATATTTTTATATTTTATATAAAAAAAAAGGTTCATATAAAATAAAATAATTAGCTGCGCCAATTTTAGGAAATTTCAAAACAAAATAATTCAAATTGAAAAATGAAACAAAGCTAACACAAGCAGCACATAGGGATAACTTTCTCTTTTTTCATTAAATTTTCCTCGATCCTTTGTATTATTCAAAATTTTGTCAAATACCCCTTTAATAAGATAGTTACATATTTTTATTAAAAATAGTAACTATTTATCTTATATTAAATCTCCGCCACTTGTATTGCATTACTATACTTCCAATTTTAATGAGTATTTTGACCGCATACTGACATAACTTCATTTATTCAATAATATTATTTATACCTTCTGTTTGTATATTTAAAATTGTCTGGCAAAATAGTTTAAAAAACCTGGCCATCGTTTTAATATTAAAAGTAATATAGAATATAATTGCTCAGTATGAAAAACATTTTTCGACGAAATGGATTCGCTTCATTCCTTCCCTATAATTAACTGCTATCTTATAAGATAGCCAAATACTGGAATGAATCATCCCCTAATTTTTATTATTTTTCTTTTTTATTAAACTATTATACTAACATCTTTAGTTACTTTTTTTTTGCTTCTTCCACGAATTTATAGACAACGGATAACTACGTATGAATAATGTGAAAATAACATTTCTCTTCTGATGGGAACATCCATAACGATATGACTTCAGAACAAAAAGTTCATTTTTGTACTTGGTTGTTTGGCACTCAAAGTGAGAAAACCCGAAGCTTCAAAAGGAACCTTATACGGATTTCCATTATTTATATACAATCAGTAGGAAAATATTGCCTCTAACGCTTGTTTATCTGTGGGCTTAAGCGTCACACGCTTATTTCTAAAATCGAGAAAAACAGTAACGGTCGTGTCCGCAATCACTGTCGCACATTTTAACGTGTATAAAATCTTTCTCTTTCCCTCGTATTCTCTTTTCCCTTTCATTCTCTCCCTCTCTTTCTCTCTAATAAATCCAATTAAACATCTTAAATAATAAGAACTCGATTATTACCGAAATCTACAACCGCAATGCTACCGTCAGGGCACAATGCGATGCCCGAAGGTCTATCCATTTCATCTTCAGCCTTTCCGTAGCAACCGAATCTCCATTTCAATATACCAGTCGAATCGAATATCTGAATTCGATGATTCCTCGAGTCGGCTATGATAATATTACCTTCGTCATCGATCACTAGCCCTTGCGGTCTCAGGAACTGTTTTGCACCAGACGCACACTCGCACTCTAAGATCTTGGCGTGCATGAAATCAGCTTCAATGATCACTACCCTGTGATTGTTGAAATCCGTCGTGACCACGTTCCCTTCGGGATTAAAAGCAACTCCACGCGGCGAATCGAAATGCTTCCACATGTTTGGCGCCGATTCGTAGCCGTATTTTCGTAGAAATATCCCTTCGGGACTGAATAACTGTACACGATGGTTTCTCGTGTCGGACACGACTATCTGGCAGTCTGAATTCACCGCAACGTCCCACGGGTAATTGAACTGTCCACAACGACATCCTTTTTCGCCAAAACTTAGAAGAAATAGGCCTTCCATTGTCAACACCTGGAAAAATGATACGATTTTTAGAATTTTATGGTGGCTGAGTCACACCAGATTTAAGATATGATGATCTGACCCAATTGCTTACTGCAATGAGGGTTTATATATTGGGTTGCTCTATCTACGAATAAATAAATAATAAATTTTTTACCTGGATACGGTGATTATCCTTATCAGCTACAACTATACGGCGACGTGCATCGACCGCAACACCAGCAGGGCGATCGAATTGTCCTGGTCCAGTACCATGAGTACCAAACTTTCTGATAAAAGTACCATCTTGATGATATACTTGTATACGATTGTTTGATCTATCAGCTATTACAACATGACCTTCTCTATCACACGCTATTCCCCATGGTCGACATAGATTATCTTCAGTATCACCGTTGTTTCCAATGATTTTCTTTGGTTTCACCGACATATCAGAGGTACGATTTATCCTCACTACAACTGGAAACTTATTCGATGGAACTGGTCTTCCTTGGGGAATTGAAATCAACGGAATCGAAGCTGTTTGCCTGAGGAATATCTGAGGGGAATTTCCACGACCCCTAACAGCACGTCGATCACCTATGGGACCAGGATTGTTCACCACAACAGCACCAAGATTTGCTATAGCATTGAGGATAGAACCCTCTAAACCATTAAAAGAGATCCAGTTTTCCTCTTGTGAAGGGAGAGATTGACGACTTTGACGAATTTGAAAAACCTGTGATCAGTGAGAATACTGGATCAAGTACTGAAAAATGATTAAAATGGAACTCAAGCATAATTGTACAAATCTTATAAATACCTCAGCTGAAGCCATATCCTTAGTAAGTAACAAATTCAGTGGATTGCTAGACACAGTTTTGGACTCCATTGCTTCTCTAAGCTTATCAGCAGCACGCGATAGTCTGGCTATGCCATTTCTGAGTCCTTCATCTCTTGCTTTCAACGCAGCAAATTTAAGCAGCCTAGCTTTCTCGATTTTACCTAGCAATTCTTTTTCTCTTACTTCTAAAGCAGAAGCCACTCTCCTTACGCACAACATTACATCTGTAGTTGCTTGTCTTGCTTTTTGTTCCAATATTTCTGCAGCCATCTATCGAAAGAGATCATTCAATTCTAAACAGTGTTCTCACTTTTATATCATTTTATAAAGTTTCTGAGAATATACTTACTTGTACAGCATCTAATTCTTCTGAGAGAGCAGTGATACCAAGTTTAGCTTCCCTTAATACTTGATTCGCTTGAAGTCCAGCACCTTCAACAGCTTCCATTAAGTTAACTGTAATGTGACCATGGTGGTGATGAATTCCACATTCACCACATAGGGGTTTACTACAAGTTTGGCAATAAAATCTTTGAGCATCACGATGTATATCACAAAACAGTGGTAATCCTGAAGAACTTAAATGCGGTGCATTGGTTATGGGAGGGCTTGGTGTTTCCGTAGATAGAGTTTGGGTTGGATTGTGATCATCTTCATGGCCCAAGTCTGTAGGATTCTATAAAATGAGCAATAATATGTTTATAAAACGAGAATGAATTACAAAAGAAAATCAATACCATATTTCATATAGAAATACACTAACCAAAAATCGACTAGTAGAACAAGAATCGCAAACTGCGTCAACACAATCCCTGCATCTGTTAGTAGAATTTCCATTCTGTGAGAATTGAATATTGCAAGAAACTGGTCCGTTAAAACTATCGCCGTTTACTACTTGTAGTAGACTATTAATCAAAGAGTCAACACTTAGATCATCAGGTGATTGACCATAACATTGAGAATTTGTACTGCTTCCAGAGGATGCAGTACCTGGTGAACTTGAATTAGAATAGCCAGAAGTGCTAAACGACCACGGGTATCTATGCGTCATCTGTAACGTAAAATGAAATTTTTTTATTTAAAAATATCAATTTAAAAACTCATTGATCACATAGGTTTACTAGTTAGGCATTGTTACATTAATTTACGTCCATGAAAAAATTATATTTCGAAAAATATTGGAAAGATTTTATCGAAATTTATTTTTAAATTAGATTGAAGTAAATATGTTAATATTTACGCAAAATAACGATTAAATGCATTCAGTGAAAACTCGAAAACTATAATCTCGAAAATGAAAAAGTGATTTAAAATATCTTTGAAGTAAATCTAAAAACATGTGGGGTCAATTTTTTAATCCATATTTGGATGATCTATAAATCATACCGTGGATAATGGGTCTACGTTTGAGTCTTGTTCGGTTTCTTGATTATCCTGAACGTAATTTCCAAACAAGCTCGTGTTGTGATTATAATTTCTAGCATGATTCATCGTGAGGTAGGTGCGTAGTTAAAAATTCTACAGTAATTCGATGTTACGTTGTTTCGTCGTGTTATCTTCACCTGAAACAACAAAATTTATTATTCCTTTTAGACATTCTATGAGTATAAAAATTTTAAAAATTTCTTTATTACGTACACGCTATCCATAGATATGAAATTCTAATAAACCGAGGAAAAATTTTACAAATAGTTGCCCTATAAAAATCTAAAATTCTCTTGTGTAATACAAGTACATATAATACAAAAGTAACAGGTGAAAATCACGAAATAAATAATGGAACATTAGAAAGTAAACAAACAGTGCCATTATTAAAACGGTAAAAGAGAATGGTACGGTTTAACCTGAAACGATGAATAAATAATATCATCGTCAAGGTATTTTTTATATCATTTACATACCAAACTTGAATGAATCTTTTTCATTTCTTTTCCTAGTTGTTAGAATAAATCAAAATGGCTCTTGCACTATTCCGGTTTCTCTGTTTCGATGACACTGGTCAGATTACTTTATTTACTTTGTGACATTCACTTGTTTACTTTGTTCGGATTTCTTGATACAAAGGTCAGTTTCATCTTTAATTTTACCTCTCTTTTTTTTTATGCAATTGGTAAGAAGGTTTTAATGATAATAGTGGATGATCCTCGCTTTAAATTAAATTATCTTCCAAACTAATAATTCTTTTGTATAAATAGTTGAATCATTTTTTATTTAAAAGTATGTGGTTCCATTTACCAAAATCAATTAAAGCGACTCGTATTTTTGAAATAAAAATACAAAATATAGGAATATCAATTTTTTGGGGGTCTAAAAGTGTGCCTGTTGAGCACAGGTCCAATGGAGCGCTGTTGCCTAGGATATCTGTGAAATTTCAAGTCCTAGCGAAAAGAAGAATTCTGAGATAAGATCCTTATCATTAGGGTCTTTTTTCCCAGAACGTTAGCTTTACCTTTTGGTGCATGCGTTCGGAACAAGTTGGATCTATTAGCACAGTAGTAGAAAATATTAAACTAAGAAGCATATTCTTTTTAAATTTTAGAAATATTATTAAAGCAAGATATAAATTTTATTTTAAAAATAATTTAGAAAATAAGATTCAAATGGAACTTAAAATCATTCATATATCTTAGAGATCCACTGTCTGAAGTATAGAAAATGAAAATGAAATATAAATTGTTAGTGTCTCCGGGGGTTAATTGCAGACATATGAGTGAAAAAAGAGTGTTACAATATCACAGTTAGGAACTAAATCGGAATCATTCATGGGGAGTCAACGGAAAAAATATTTTGAATCGCACGGATGGCCCCTTGTTCCACTTTCAAAGACGGAACACCCCTGCACAGCTGGTTCAAGGTCATCATACGAGTCCTGAACAGGGAAGAACCGTGATACCCTTTTTAGTTCGGAGTTCGAGAGAAATGGGGTCCCGCTTCCAATGGAGGGAACCTCGCAGAAATCAATAACAGTGGGAAATTCGACGTACATACGCGCCCTTATGTGTATATACGTTTGTGTGTGTATTTGCGTACATATAATTCGAAATGTATGTTTCACTCGACTTCTAATCATGCTAAGTTGTCAGATATCAAATGGCAGATTTCGAAGCACGGAAAGATCAGATAAAAGTATCAATAAATGGCACTTATGGTATGCCAATTTAAAGCTTAAAGATTGCTGAAAATGACCCCCTCTCATAAGTTTACTTAATTCAAAATGGCTGGTGACTAAATATAGTAAGCCATGATTAATTTTGAAACATCAAAAGTGCGATAAGATTTGATGACATAAAAGTACCACAAAATGGCACTTATGGTATGTCATTTTAAAGTTTAAAGTTCAATGAAAGCGACTACACAAGTGTTTCATGAATGTACTTGACACGAATCACTTAATTCGTGGTTGAAATGCAGCAACCAATTTAAAGCTTATAATTAGTATTGTTTATTCCTGAATAGAAACATCTCAATCATTTGTATGACAAATAATAAAAAAAAATTCTTAATTTATATTGCCTTGAACAATCCAGATATTTTGTAGCACCCTATAGATGACGGAAGAGTACCAGATATACCTTATATTTTTCTTTTCTATACAGGATGTTCCAAAAGAAGTCCATCATAAATTAAAGTCTATTATTATTTTTAAATACAAGCAATTGAAAATTAACCAAGTATAAAAGGGAGGCAATACGAATGTTTAAATACTGATAATAAATTGACACAAGAAAAGGAAAAAAATAAAACTGTTTATGAAGAACGATTGCGTAGTTATCGCTAAAGTACCCTACTCACTGTGTCTCCATCGGTTCGTAAATATACAGGATGTTTCAAATTTAAATAACCAAACAACATCAGTATGGTTTGTATAAACAAGTGAAGCTACATAGAAATACAGGGTTCTATAAAATTCTGCCAAACATGGAAAAACTATTAATATATATTACTTGGTGTATGCAAAAATAAAGGCTAATTTTTCAATTATAGAATTAACAACAGTTTAATAGTTTAAGAATATTCAAAAAAATAAATTTATTTATGCTAGGAGTGTTTAGCTGCATAAGTTGGGAGGGTGAATTGAATATATACAGGGTGGCCCCATGAAATTAGACCTACAGCTTTAAGATGGTAGAATTAAAATCTCTAGGGACTTTGAGAATTAATTAGTTAGACGCCACTATGTTATTATTTATCTACAAAAAATTATATGATTGTTCTCGGCTTGATACATAAAAAAGAATTATTCCATAGATGAGATTTTTTTCTAAGAAGAAATCTAAGCATCTGGCTTTGCAACGGCTTCAAACGAAGCTTGCGTTAGCCTGCAAACTTTTCCCTTTTCCCTTTTCCGTTTTTCCAGCAGCTGGCCTGCAGCAGCTAGGGGGTGCTATCCTTGAAATCGCCATGGCGACCAAGGTTAGACCTGCTATTCTTTTCGAGGGTCAAAAAGAAAGAGAAAGTGAAGTATCTGTCATCCTATAGATGTTCCAGGAACGTATAACAACGTAGAATCTCGAGCAATTGTAAAAGAAAAGCATCTTACTAGAAATATTCTAAGATCTGTTGGTATATTGAAACGGAACTATAGTGTTTAAATATCCTATAGAAATGTATTTAAAATAAAAATATTTGAACTTTTAATAAAAATTACAATTTTAATAATCTATTTTTGGTTTACTTTTTTTTCTATAAAACTAATTAGACAGGGTTATATTTTGATGGTGTTTTAAAGCCAATATGTTTGGACAAATATTTAACCCATAACTGGTATGGTGGTCGTTTTGTCACGTAGTCACTGTGGTGGGTTCCAGAGAACCTCATAGAAATTTACAAATTATTAGGAAATATCACTTTTCAATCAAAAACATCGTTTGAAATAATCTTTGATTATAATACTAATATAATATATTTAAAAGATGATGCCGTTTGTAACATTGCCTTTTGAAAACATCTGTACTACCGGAAATGCCGGTATTTAAAACCTGAAATACATGTTCCAAATGTAATCCCAACCCGAACAAGTTAATGCAAAAAAAGATTATTTTCTATCAGTTTTCATTGAAACCACGTAACTGAGACAATTACGTGAAATTTCGAAATAGATCAATTACATAAAACGTCTATAAACAGAAGTTTTATATAAAATTTTCATTTGCAATTGCAATACCTTTAAATATTCAATCTTCTCTTGTATTTAACAGCATGATCGTTCTATGAATTTTAAAAATATAATATAATTATACCATTTTACGTAAATTAAATGTATATACAAGATTTATGTCCAACATAATTTTCAATAATACATAAGTGTATATACATTCAATTACTGCAATTGAAAGCTATTTTTATAAACGAGGAAACCTAAGAAATTTCTTTTCATCGTCGTTAAACAGCGCCGTGGTATACCTTCCCTCTCGTTCGAATTTCAATGTCGTCCAAGAAGAAACACTTAACAATACAAACATGGAAACGTAAACGAACGCGTCCCGATCTGTAAATAAACCATTTGAAAGCTATCCAATAATATACTCCGACCATTAAACGAGCAACAATGATGGTTATATTGAAATGAAAAGCATCCAAGATTCAAGAATCGATCGGAATCGCTTTCACTTTCGTTTCACGAATGTACTCCCTCTCGTTGATTCCGTGGAGCATAACGAATGAATTAATTAAATATATATAAATACCTTTAGCACGTTGAAACTTTTCGTAAAACGGTCGGTTCAATGCGTCATTGGAAGCACCAATTGAATGCACAGCTCGAAGGCGACTTTAATAATAATTCGAAAAATGAAAAATAAAGAGTTGTGAGACGCGTTCCTGGGGCCAACCACAGGGCCGGGTTAAATTTGTCTCTTTGTCCGGTAGCTTTCCGTTGGCTACATGTATTACAAACCGCGAGGCTGAATATAATTGAAAAATTTCTCGGAGCACTATTATTTCTGGTAAAGCACGTGTTCGCCGAACGAAATAGCTTGCGAACGCGTCAGGCCTCCGATCTCCACTGATCTCTCGAATTCGACTAGTCGACTGAATGCTGTTGAAACTCGAACTACGCCATCCCTCCCCTTCGTGTACGCTAAGGCAAGCTAGCTATCCTCGACCAATCGAGAGAATCCGTTTTTACCCCCTTTGCCCCTCCATTCGTATCGGTGATTCACACCCCCACACTACCCTTTCCAACTGCCCTCGAACCTCTTCTCCTCCGCCTACTACTTTCACTCGATTCACGGTCTTCCGCCCACCCACCCTCTATCCGATGGGAATTTCGAATTTACGCGAACAGAGGGATAATTTCATTGTCGAAATTTGGAAGGCGACTAGGAGGAGTGGGCTGCATACGTGCAACGAGGGAGGTCCGGTCAAACGTGTTGCTTACCAGGTGCTGGAATAAATGAATGGCCAAGCAACGAGGAAGAATCTCCCCTGAATTTGATATAACGTTTGGGAAGGGTGGAAAATGGGTAGTGGACCGAAATCACGGTCACTGTCACTCGGACCCATCATCCTTGCTGTCACTGTCAACAGAGGTAGCTTCCTGGTACTTGATACTAGTTTGAGTAACTGAGCTCGAAAATCTTCATTCGCATACCCAGTAGAGAAAGGGTTAATGTTAATCTATGAAAATTTAATAATTTGGTATCAGAGCATTCTTCTACTTCTGATAAGACCATCTGAGATTATTTTCCTATTTACACCCAGAAGTCTTTAAATATTGTTAAGCATAACAAATGAAGAGGCTGAAGACTCGACTAGCTTCCTGATGGGGGATCCTCTGTTCTTCTAACTGGTTCCCTTTTTTTTCAGGTAATCTTAGCCCCGTGCTGGCATTCCAGAATTGATCGCAACCACCTTGTCCAACATGCGTGTACACGTAGGCTACGTGGTACAGTATAGTCGGCCATCCCAAGGTGGAGGAGATCCCATGGAATAGCGCGTGCGCCGCGAAATCATGAATGGAACCACCGCTCAATGCGAGTCCGGCCACACAATCACAGTCATACAGTCACTCTACTTTTATTTATATCCCTCCAACGACGACCTTCAGCCAAGGTAGGGTTGATCAGACAAATCAGGTTCTATTCTGCGGAAGAGAGAGAGAAAAAAAAACAGGTGTTACCACGATCATCCTACATGATTCTTAGATAATCGTTTAATTCAAGGATGTTAAGAAACGATCCTTGAATTGGAACTGACGGCTTCAATTGATTAGACTGATTGGAAATTTCTTCCACTCAATGGCTTATGAAGGTCCTTCTGCTATGATGTATTAGAGAAATTGTTAGCTCCAATTAGGGTAGTTATAGATTCTCACCTTGAGGATTAGGTAAACGAATGTTTAGAGTGGTTTTGATTATTTGATATTTCTAATATATAGAAACACTATTATGTATCGTTATTTTGGGGATAGAATAATATTGAAAAGTTTAATTAATTTTATTAATTAATTTTTTATAAAATACAGAAATTTTATTGAGGATCTCTGTTTTAAGATACCATGAAAAATATAAATAAATTGGAAAATGGTGTACACAGAGAACCTGCTGGTTAATTAAATTAATTGGTAGATGGCAATTGCTTTAAAAAGACTTCATTAATGAAAACATTATCCGACGTAGGAAGAATTAGCCCAGCCTCAGGTTTATGAATGAGTATCTTGGGCGTGAGGATCACGTGGAAAAGGGAGGGGAGGGGTGGCGCTGTGGTGCTTTAACGATCGAGAACATTCTCTACCCTCCCTTCCAGTTTTATAGCACCCTCCCCTACATTGATATGACCAAATTGTACAGGGTGTATCATTTATAAGATCTGGGTCGAACCTGAAGAACCAGGATTCGAATACCAATTGTGTGATAAAAAGAAAATCGATATAGGTTCGGTTTTTAGTAGATACCATATTTTTGGACCATTCTATCGTAATAATCATCCAAGAATTGTCATTTATTACTTTTGAAAATTCTGTAAATCTGTTTGAAATTCCACTGTAATTAACAGTAACAATTAAATTTCTTGAAGTTAAGATTTTGTAGTCGTATTTTTCTTTAGTATAACGTGATAATATTCGCGATTTATCTCCTCGTGAAGAAGATATATGAATTTAAAGCATCGAAGAAAAAAGTCAATCCAAATTTTTTATCGAAGCATAAAACAATGCGTAGGCGTAAGCAGTTACATAGGTGTAGGTGGTAAATGTAGGCGGATCGGGGGTGGAAAGGATAAGATCGTTTATTATCCCGTATTTTTGGCATGTACATACGTGCATACGTATTATTTTGCAATAAAAAAAGAAAAAATATTTTCAAATAAAACTTTCCTTTTTCCAAAAGATGTTTTTTATAACAACATTATAAAAAGATTTTATAGTTGTATTATTATCTTTCGTTATTCAATTAAATACTTAAAGTTTAGTAAACGTTATTTTAATGATATAATTAGTGTAAAACTGTATCCTATTAAAGTGAATGAGATTATAAATTCTAATTGAAGTTTGATAAGGGTTTAGTAAAGTTATTCGAGCTCAATTTATGATACACGTAATTACCGTATGGTTTTGATTATATTATAGTTTAATAACGTAAGGATCAATATACAAAAATACAACATAAAATAAATTTTCAATATTTTTCATCAGTCTCTTCGGAATTCGAAATTTGTATTAATAAAATTCAGAAAATTTGAGAACTTATTCAAGTTTCTTTCTCAACAGACGCCCCAGCGCACTTTTACTTTTGAAGTTTCAGAATTTTCATTAATGACTCTTTGCCGAGGAGCTTGGAGAGTTTTCGATAAGAGGAGACTGTTCGGAGATTCTCGTCAATGGAGTACATTCGGTGAATTGAAACGGCGTGTAGCGGTAGCTAAGTACTTACGTACGTACATATTCTCCACCCACGCATTATGCGCGGGCGTCGCGACGGAGGCGTTGTAGCAGTTCGTTCTTGCAATGACCTTGGAAACACCCACGCGCCAGAAAAGGCCACCGTGCGGGGGTGTTCGTTCATCGACGTTCCAACTACTCTTCTCGATTTTCATCCCCATTCTCTCTGGCCGTATTTCCCCGTGCAATATAGAACGCGCATGCGCCCTTCAACGGTGAAAATACAACCCCTCGAGGGTTAAAATTCACGGTTACCATCTACGACGAGTGTATTATTATTCTTTGATTGAATCGCGGACGAGTTCGTTTACCGGTTTATGGGTAACGTTTGGAAAACGTCATGACGGAATATGAATTGATCGATACTTCCTTATCTTATTTAATCAATGTTTCATAGGAAAAATAAGAGGCAGAAGGATTGTTATTCATATGACATTATCTTATTTTAATAATCGCTTATTGTCACGATTTGATGTTATCATTTGACATTTACTTTGGGATACTTTAAGCTTAATGACGTTCGCCATGAAATCCACTTTCTCGTGATGCTTATTCGATTAAAACCTACATTTCAGTGAATATTATTCATTTTACATTTTTATTTTTTCCATTGTTGTTAAAGTCAGTAATATTGAAGTTATCGTTATGGGTTGATTAAAATAAGACACCCTGTATATTCATCTACCATAATGTTCTTTACAAGGCAGTTTTCCCGAAGGTCTGTTAAATCGCTGGTTACCTACTGCAAGCCTAACAATACAAAGAAACAGGGCACTCTGGATGGTAATTCGGTAAGTGGTGGGGACAGGTACAAACAGAGTTTGCTGATATTATTCGTAAACAGTACCGAACTGATCCGTTAGAACATGTGCCACTTCTAACCATTTATGTATATATTTCTTTAAAAAGAAATTGTTATATTGAAAGCAAATACTTTGATTCAATCAAATATTTTGACCAAAAAATATTTATTTATTGTTCTATACTTTTTTGAAAAATTGTATATTCATATTTTCATTGAATTTTTATAATATATTTTTATGAGTATAAAAAATTTTTGTTAGTATAAATTAAATGGATCTGTCCTTGTTGGTTGTTGTTATACAGAGTGCCCCATGCAACTGGTACAAGCTATAGCTTTAAAATGGTAAAAGATAGAGAAAAATTAAATGGCATCGAATATAGCACCTCGTGACGTATGTACGTGTTGGCATCAAAAGTGGAGTCGTTTCAAAGATTTCAAAATCATCTTCATTTTTTAAAATAGAATTTTGTACTTTGTCATACATCAATCAAAGCGTATTTTGATTCTTTACAAAAAAGTATTAAGGTACCTGGGTTGAAAATTGATTCGTTCAAAAGTTATCTTAGGGAGAGACCACTTGTCTCTCTCGGTCTCTCCCTAGAATATCTTTTGAACTGATGATTTTTCGATATAAGTACCTTAATACATTTCTGTAGAAAATCAAAATACGCTTCGATTGATGTGTAACAAGGTACAATATTTCATTTTAAGAAATTTTATCGGTGTCACCGAGTGTATGGTCAACCCTCATAAGAATATCCTGTTTAAGAAGGAGGAAAGCAATTTACCCGAACTTCCACGAAAATACCAGGTGCAGATGTTTGCTGGAGACTATTGTGCTTAAAATTTGCCTGGTATACATACAATTCATGGGTATAATTCTGAAGACCAGTTGAAAATTTACTGCTTATTTACAGATTTCGAACGAAAAATAGTAGGCATCATCAGCATAGAACCTTAATTAAACTGAATTAAAGAGTAATAATCTCAATATGGAATTCTTATTAATATTAATTAAAATTTAGCATAACTCGTTTTGGAAAATTTGAGAATCTCCTAATGTGGAGTTCAAAATTCTGTTCTATGGGTGTATCTTCAAAAAACTAATGTTCATCAGATAGAGTTTTCTAAGTTTCTAAATCATTTTTATTTCTTTCGAGTTTAAATTTCTAGTTTCTTCTTATGTTGGTAACCAGTCAAATAGAACTAAAATAATTTCCCTATGGTGTTGTATATGTACATTTCATTCAAAATCACATGTTTTGATACAATGACAAACTGTGATGAGGTTATTTGTTTATTATATGTTTATTATATGTTAAAATAACTTCTCTGTATTTTTAATTAATTTAATCTAGAATTAATCTAGGTTAATTTTATTAACCGTTATTAAAAAGAATTACATTAATTTTTATAGCACGTGCAATACAATAAAAACAAACATTTCTATAATAAACATTTAAAAAATATTCTGTGCATTATAATGCAGGATGTACTACGTGAAGTATCTATGGAAGACTGTGGACATACAGAAACATTAAATGAACCAGCTATGGTAACTATTAATATAAATATTAACATTGTTTAAATACATTTCTATATTAAATTAATATTTCAGCCAATATCAGTTGCAATTAAACAGCCACCAACATTACAAACAATAGATACAACATCACATAATTTTCATGGCGATGAAATCATAGATAAAACATTAGAGGAGCAAACTATAGAAAGATTACAAGAAACAAATAATGAGACTTTATTGGATGCAATAAAGGATAATAAAAGTATAGAAGATACACAAATATCAGTTTCATCCAATTGGCTTCATTATAACTGGAATAACACACCAAAACTATTATGTGAAGCTACAAAGGAATATCAACCAAGTGAGACATGTGAAAATTTTACAAAAGGTTGTCAGTGGTCTCCTGATGGAACTTGTTTATTAGTACCTGCTGAAGATTTTAGAATTCGAATTTATGAACTTCCTAAAGAACTATATTCAGAGAAAATTCCTTCCAATTTGACATCTACGGATCTTCCAGTAGCATTAGCTGTAAAAGAAGGAGGTCTTATATATGATACTTGCTGGTATCCTTTCATGAATTCTTGGCAACCTGAAACTTGTTGTTTTCTAAGTACAAGCAGAGAAAGTCCCATACATTTATGGGATGCGTTTAATGGTGAACTAAGAGCAACATATAGAGCTTACAATCAGTTAGTATTTTTATATTATTTATAACAAGCATTCTACTACTAGCTTGTTTTAAATATTACTTATCCAAAACTATGAATATGCATTATATTTATTTTATTACTAGAGTTGACGAAGTAGAGGCTTCAATTAGCATTCAGTTTATTGACTCAGCTAGGGAAGTATGGGCTGGTTTTAAAAATGCCTTAAAGATTTTTGATGTCGAACGTCCAGGTCGTCAAATAAATACTATTCAGTTTAAAAAAGACTTTCCAAACGTAGCAGGATTAGTTTCTTGTATAAGAGAAAATCCTATTATGCCTGGGTTAGTTGCATTTGGTACATACTCTAAATCCATTGGTAGGTATATAACGTTTATGAATGTACTAGGAATTATTGCTAATGTTAACACTATCATTGTGCATTTTAAATTAGGTTTGTATAGAGATGGACCGTTATGTACTTTCAAGACAGGAAGTGGTGTAACCCAAATCGAATTTAGTTCTTGTGGAACAAAATTATTTTCGACTGTCAGACGTAGTAATGAATTTTTATGCTGGGACCTTCGTAATCCAGGCACTGTACTCTATTCCCTTCAAGGAAGACAGTCTGACACAAATCAAAGAATACAGTTTAACGTGTCATTCAATGGAAAGCAAATAGTTTCTGGTATGTTAATGAGTAATTACAAGACAACATAAACTACTAAAACTATTTATTTTATTAGGTGGTACGAATGGGTACATTGCAGTTTGGGAATTGCCTGAAAGTACAAATTGTGAAGATCTCAGTATAACGTATAAAATAAAGTTATTTCATGATTGTATAAATGGAGTAAGTCTTCACAAGAGTTTGCCAATAATTGCTACAAGTACAGGACAAAGATTTTGTGATGATATTGTACAAAATCGAGACAATAGTGTCAGATTGTGGTCTTTGTCGTGATTATAGTTTATTAATATTATAAATGTAGATATAAATGCTATTTTATATGTAAGTAGAACTTAAAAATAAATCATAAGTAGACACGGCACGTGACCTCTTCGTTGGGAATGGTGGAGCCACTTGCGTGTTCTGTTACGAACTTGAAAGGACTAACAGTATCGAAGTAAAGTTGACGCGGAATATTAATATTTCTCAACAGTTTATATCTTAAAAAGTTACTCCCCATTTGTTCCCTCGGAATCTAAAATTGCTCCAGTCGCAAACATATTTAATGAGATATTCGCAAATAAAAAAGCAGAAATTTGTTATCTTTCAAATAGATAGTAAATGGTCTTTTTACAAAGATATTATAGCACCAAAAAATTGCTCTTGATTTGTTTTATGATTCGATGGTTAGATATATCAATAACAATTTATTAACAAAGAGCAATTGAAGATAAATATCTGACCATTGAATCTTATAAAACAAATCAGGAGCAATTTTTTGGTGCTATAATATCTTTGTGAAAAGACCATTTATGTACTATCTATTTGGAAGATAACAAATTTCTGCTTTTTTATTTGCGAATATCACATTAAATATAATGTTTGCGACTGGAGCAAATGGGGAGCAAGTTTTTAAGATATAAGTTGTTAAGAAATATTAATATTCCGCGCCAACTTTACTTCGATACTAACAGTGACTACAGATAGTAGAAAACTGGACATGCCTTTGTTACCGAAGGGTGGTGATTTTGGGGGAGTGCGGCTCCCCAGTGTAAAGAGAGGTTTCCACAGTCGGCATAACAGTCGTGTCTGTTTAAACTTTTCTTTATTGCCTGAGATATCGACCGACGCTTTCGGTAGTCCACAATGCAACAATGGCGTTCCTTCTTTTTCTTCGCTCGCGTCGGTAAGGCCAGGCTGTAAACTTCATCTTTTGTTTCTAGGGAGTAAATGGGCACGACTAGCGCAGCTAGCGCTACTCCCCACAAAATAAAGAATCCCATGAATTTAGCTGAGATGCGCGAAACAGTTGTATTCCCAATTACACACGTTTTTTCAAGTTATATCGCATTATTATTAAAGTATCGCTATAAATAAAATACACGAAAATAAACTAAATAGTTCTATTTTAATAGCCAACGTTATCATTCAATCAAAAGTGGCATAAATTTATTGGAAATGGTATATGAAGTTATGCGAATACTTTGCAAACTCGCCGACCATGTGAAGCGTTAAACTGTTGTATTTCCAGTTGTATCCCTTTTCAAAAACAAATGCGTTTTTGTTAGTTGCTTTCTGGATCAGAGCGGGAAGGAAGCGGGAAGTAAAAAGAAAAAAATAAACTGAGAAAAAGTAAACAGAGAAATAAGGAAGGAAGTAAAGTAGATAGTGTGTGCTACGTACTATTGTATTAATGCGTACTAATACTTAATAATTGTGGCTACAACCTGTTTTCTGGACTATTTATAGGGGATAATTGAAAGTATCGAATGTCTCAGAAAAAAATATACATACGTAAAAGAAATCAGTGAATGATCCTTTCTTTATGTACATATAAGCTATTAATGGGAGTGTAGAGAACGTAATTATAATTCCAAGATTTTCCTGCAATAATTGCTTGCAATGCAATGAACGAGATTGTATTGTTGTAAATCTTTGCGAAACACAGATCGGTAGAATGGCTTCTAACATGCAGTCATTCCAGCGAATGTTGAAAATGCTGCGCGAAAATAGCAGTATTAGGGAAAAACGTGAAGCTTTAACCTATTTTCGCAGGTAATGTTGATTTTTTTATCTGCGAATTTAGAACAGAGTTATCCCAAAATTATTTAATAGAATACATAATTTTATCGTATTAAATATACTATTTATTTCTTTATCTTACATATTTTCTGGTTGACATTGCATTAAAAATCTTATAACTTTGTTATTAATTATAATTACATGACTATTGATATTAGGCAATCAAATAATTGTGTAATTCCCACATGAAATATGTCTTCAACTAGTAAACAGGAATGTTTTATTTTAGCAACAGCAAAAAGTTACGATCCTCAGGAATTGTTAAAGAAGAACAGTGTAAAGAATTATGTAAATTAGTTGTAGAAACATTTGCAAATGGAAACAATGATATACAAAATGAAGCATATGCGACGTTAAGTGTTATTATTCAGGATTTTAAAGAACATACTTTAAACTTATTTGAAGCTTTGTCACAGATAAATCAAAAGAATAGGTTTGTGTATTTGTTTAAAATAATAATTGACTCTTAATTGATTTGAAGGTGAATAATCATTCTACTAATCTTGTAATTTTAGATTAAAAATTCTTAAGTTATTAGAAATAATTGGGGACAATGCTATATCAACAGTTACTAATGATCTTCATGCTGTAAAGTTTTTCACTGATTGTATGTCTACGATACAAACAGATAAAATGCCTTGGATAGCATCAACCGCATGTGTAGATAATATTCAAGCATTGATAGATGCTGAAAATAAACCATTATCAGATGACCAAAGATTAGAAGAAGAAACAGTTAATTATTGTATTATTTTATTAAGAAGATTATATAAGCTTGCTGCAATAACGTCAGATACTAACACTCAAAAGGTATATTAATAACATCTGCAATCAAATGAAAATGTAAACATCAAAGATATTAAACTTTGGATTTTTTCAGTTTGATGCTTTATTAGTGGATAAAGTAATGTTATTAGCATACATGGGACATAAGCGACAACGTAGTGGTGCTTTAAAACTTTTACAACAATCTCTTGCTACAAATATACTTTCACACGTTCGTACTAAACTACCAAATATATGGACTCAGTATAAATTAGCCTTACAAACTACATATTGTAAACGTATGTTACTTTTGGTGTCTGCCTGTGAATTAGACTGGGCTGCACAATGGAATATCAGTATCCAATTCCTTGGTGTAGACCTTCATAAAGGTGCTGGTTTAATAAACGATTTATTGAGTATCGAAGAGAAGGCATTTAAGTCTACAGATACAATTACACGCAGGTATAAACAATACTTATATCACTGATGACATTGATTAGCAGAAATAAATCATAACATGATATTTTACATTTTAGACAAGCATTCCTTTCATGGAAGTTACTGGTGGATAATTTTGCTTTAGATCCACAAGAACTTGCTACTGCAAGAAGGATAAAGTTACTATGTATTCCATTAAATGCTAAAAACAGTAAAACTGAATTGATAGCAATAACAAAATTAGAAGTTTGGTGGCATGTGATAATCAAGCTCTATAAAGACATTTCCAAATTTGTTAATCCTGTGCTTACACAGTTCTTGAACTTTTGTTTTGGACCTCTGGGAGATACACCGTTATTATCTGCGAAATGCGATGTAATAGCTTCACCAGGGAAGAGGTTTTATAAAACGAAAATTATCGCTGTGGACGCTTTATGTCAACTTCTTGTTCCCAAGCAAGAAAATCATAGTGTCTTTTCTTCTATTTTGGAAGAAAGACTTCCACATTCTATGACTGATGCCGTCTTCCAAGAGTGTTATAAAAGTATAATTCATAGTGTAGGAGAAGCTTTGCTTGTTCTCAGTCAACTTACAGATTCAGAAATGAAAAACAGATATCAGCTCGGTAAAATGTTATGGACGAGTTTAATCAATTATGTACAAGAATCAAAAATGGGAAAAAAAGTTAGCATTTCTTATTTAATTTGATACATTTAAAAAAATAGTTGTAGCTTTTAAAGTAATCATTTAATAATATTATCTTATAGGAAAATATGTACAAAGATATAATACTAGTTACTACAGAATTAGCAAATTATGTTAATAATAAGCAAATGATTAAGCAGTTGATTCTTGATATAATTTTGTTCGATATCGCGGCTCTCAGTAAAGAATTTAATTTTCAAGAAGACATATTATCAGCATTGGTGTACAAACTGCTGCAAATTCCATTATTAGATAAAGCTGAAAAGTAAGTATATATATAATATTAAAAGAACAATTAAAGATTGAAAAAATAAAGTCATTTAGAACAATTTCTTGAATAATATTTGTTCAAGCTATATATGACATATAGGATATTTAATTCTCTTGTATTATTTGTTTTAATTATTTTAACAATTCGACATCCATTGTGTTACATATTCGTAATTTTGGTATGTGCCTTTTCAGGGATCATTACAATGCACTAGAATCTCTTTTAAGGCATTGTATCAAATCTTCAAAGGAAAATACATATTATTCACATGCATTTAAATGTTTAAAGGAAACATACAATAAATTACATACATTATCAAATGTACAGTGTAAGAATGAGTAAGTAGAATAAACAACATAAGATAATAGATAATACAAATATTATAATGTTAGCACTTTGTATTTTACTTCATCGTAATTTTTAGATCTATCATTCTTAAATTGTGGCTTATTTTGATAGAAGTGTTAATAACATATATGGATGATTTACAAGAAATTAACGAGGGTAACGATACGCAGCATAATTTAAAAACTGTTGAATCAATTATAATGTTTCCATTTATGTATATGTGCCTAGAGGATAAAGATCAGGTTAATTATTTATATTGTAATCATTTTATAAAATTCAGTTTTTAAATTTACGGATCTATAATTATAATAAATATCATAATATTTATACTAGATAAAAGAAGTAACAGAAACATGGAAACGTTTATGTAAGCATTTTGAAATGCGAGTAGATCTTATAGAAAGCATAAAAATAAATGAGATTGTAATGAGTATTGCAAGTACCATGGAACATTGTTTGGTAAAAAATGAAAAATCTTATCATCTTATTATAAGTTGTTTGGATATTTTGTTAGGTTCTATTGACTATAATCTTCTACTAGGTATGTCAACAACATAATTTGAAAGACAATATTAACGTAGTATTGATCAGTATAAAAGAGAAACATTTATATTTCAGCACACACAGAAGTTCCTCCTATTATAAATCTTATTTTGAAGCTTATATATTACTTATTGTCTAACAAACTCGTTAAGGAATCTGAGGCTGCTCTCAGAGCTTTCTCAGCAGTGCTTGTTACAATTTATGGACATAATCCAAAAAAAGTAATGTCTTATTTGCTAAATTGTAAACCAGCAGTTGAAGTCATGCTTTCATCTAAATTAGAGGGATTGTACAAAGAAGTACGTACATTTATTTTAAATATTAACTTGAAGTAATTATTTTGAAATACTGTAATATTTTATTTCTTATCTGTAGATAGCGTGTACATGGGAATCTATAATAAGTATTGTAAAAGGACTTGGTATATTAGTTGAAGAATCTTTTCTTTCATCTTATAAGGAAATAATCATTCAAGCTTCAGATCATCCGAATTTTGAAATTAAAGATCAGACTCTGTCAATTTTCGAACTAAAAGATGCGATAAGTATCAAAAGCAGATTAACATTAGAAGATATAGAAAAAGAAGTAAATAAAGACAAATTGTTAACTACACCGAAAATTTCAAAGAAAACGAACGATCATATTGAAGGAACACTAAAACAAATTAAAGTAGCTGATAAGTGTTTAAAGGAATCCAGTAGTCCAAAACACTTACCCAAACAAATCGACGTAAGTGATAGAAAGGCTTTATAAAAATTGAATTCATTTTTATAATCTTAACATTTAATTTTTCTTTGTTTACAGGATTATGTTTTCATTAAAACAGATTTCAATTTTGATGTCAGTCGTTTAACAGAGCATCAAAAAGAATCTTTGAAACGTAAAAGAGAAGATATCCCAGCTTTGTACAATGATCTGTCACAATCCTGTTCTCAAGACACCCAGAATTTGCAAGAATGGTTTAACAAAAGGAATAAAGGTTTAGAAGACGTAGAGACAATACCCGCTAAAAATGATAATATTTTGCTAGAAAACGAAGCGGGCAATGATGCGAATAAAGAGAATCAAATTGAAATTGAACCAGAAGAAACTGACAAATCAGCTGTTGAAAATGACACAAAGTCAGCAGAAAGTGTTAGACAGAGTGTATCGACAGAATCTTTACAACAAGTAAACAGCGATATAGACAATGGTGAAAATTCATTGATAGATAACGAAACACCAGTAAAAGAAACAATTTGTGAAAACTCAGGGGCGAAAACTTCAAAAGACTGTATAATAAAAATTGTAAGTTTTAATGCTGAAGAAGAATCTCAAGTGGGCAAAGATAACGACCAAAGATTATCTCCCTCTATATTAAACACTGGTAAGCGATCCAATAGATCCGGTGTTTCCCAAAAATCAGAAGTTGCTAGTAGTCAATCAGACGAGCCAAGTACATTTCAAAAAAGATTAAGAATAAAATCGAAACAAACCGAGTCCCAAAACGTTTTAGATGAAACAGAAAATAAATTGCTTAAAAGAGGTGTTAAACGTAAGTCAGGTTCAGATAGTGAAAGCGAAAGAGGCAATTCACGTCAACGGCAAAAGAGTAATTTATCGGAAGCTGGCAGTGATACTGAGAGTTGTAAATCTACGGAAAGCGATACTACAGCAATGCGTGCGGAAGAAATAATTGACAGTGGCAACTTAAGTCAACGTACCAGAAATGAAATATCTCGACTGCGTATAAATATGGTATTTGATTGTCCTGTATCAACTAGCCGACGATCTAAGGGACCCGAAGATAATAAAGTAGATAAAAAAATCACTAGACGACTATTTGATGGTAGAAGTACTCGAAGTAGAAGTAGGGGCAGGATGAGGCGGAGGAGATTAGGAAGAAGTAACGAATTGAATAAAACTGATCAAACTGAATATACAAAAAAGACTCCGCAAAATAAAAGAAGTACCCAAGAAAAAGAACAAAAAATGGAGGAAGAAGGGAACAAAGAAAAAGATACATCAACAGAAGTTGCTACCACTAGTAGTAGTACATCAAATTCTGAAGATAATTTATCTGATTCTAAAGAATTTAATAAAATTGAAACTGTAGTTAACGAAGAGTTATCAAATAATGCACCACAAACAACAGATGTTGTGATGAATGAAAATTCTGTTGAAACAACTGAAAAGAGCAGTGCAAATGATCAAAATGATAAATCTACTGAAGAGAAATCTCAAACCCAAGATGATATGGAAGATATTATAGAAAGTTCCCAGAAGATATTAACATTAGAGAAAAAGTGTAATGAGAAACAATGCATTATCAAAATTAGTAACATTGAAGAAGTATTACCTACTGGTGAAGACGAAGAGGTAACTCAAATCGTTTCAAAAATTATTGATATATCTAAAAATAATACCAAGGAAACTGAGGAAACCAATGAAGCTAAACTCAATGAGCCAAGTATCTCAACTTCTGTTACTGGTACAAATTCATGTGATAATGAGAAACATGATCCAATTGAAACACCAAGAGTAAATGAAGGACAAGGATTATTTAAATATGTTGTTGAATTTTCATCACCCAAGGGTAACGCAAAAGGTCCGTTAAAATTCAAAGGTTATTCAACACAAGGCCGTGCAGCGCATATGTTAGGTTTGGTAACAAAACAGGCAAGAATGGAAGCTGGATGTAACGTCATAACTATACACGATGAATCTGTTCTTAAAAAAGCAAAATCCAAAGATACCGACACTGAAACACCCGGCAAAAAGGAGCGAGGATTTATACTGAAAGAAGCTGATAAAATAACATGCAGCAGTAGACAGGAGAAGATTTTCAATAACATGAAATCAGCAGATTATTGTTCATCGCCTCCAATAAAATTATTTTGTAATTTGAGAAACGATGGTGAAAAGAGTTTTCCAAAACCAGAGAAATCGATAGAGTACATATCAATACAACCTGATACTCAAGCTGAAAAAGGTGAAGATACTTCAGTTGAAATGGACGAATTGCCAATTTTAGAATGGTCAAGTGCAAATCCACCTTCTTTGACTGCATCTCCAAGTGTCAGTATACTTAAACGTCATCGTCAATCTCTTCCTGAACCTGATCCGGAGTGTGTAACACCAAGCAAGGTGAGTTCTAATATATTTTTTAGAGATATTTATAAAAAATTAAAGTAGTTTATACATTGTGAATGACATCCAGGTAATTCCATGTCAAATTGGAGCGATTGATTTGGCGTGGAATGATCCATAAGAACAGTCGTGCAATTTAGTTTAATTACTATTACTAGTTCATTTTAATGTTTTAAGTATTTTTAAAATTAATATTGAATTTAATCATGGAGCTGCCGTATTCAGTACAATAAATTATATTTCGTTATAGAGAAAAAGAGTAAGTTTTGCCGATCCTCCAGTTTCAAAGGAAATGGGATATGAAATTACATCTAATGATTTTGCACATAAAACTAATAAATTTGCCTCTAAAAGTGTGTTCGGACGTAAAGATACACCTTTGAGAGTAAAACAGATTAGACAAAAATTAATCCCTACTGATTCAGATAAAATGGAAAAAGATGAAGAGACAGATATAATAAGTATGTCTGAAGTAGATTTACAATGTGAAAAAGAAAATGAGTTGCTAACAAAGATGGCTGAAGAATTGGAATACTCGGAAAATGTTACAATAAATACTGATACTCAGGCTCCTTATAATGATTTAACAAATAATATCTCTGTCGAAGTTAATGGATGTAATAAAATTAATATCGATAATCTGAATACCGAATTTGAGATTTCACAAAATTCAACATTTTCTAAGCATACAGAATCATCTGCAAATAAAGAAGATAAAAATAAAGTAAATCATGAGGTAGAAGTTTCAGAAAGTCCTAATGTCAGTTCAATGAAATCTGAATTCAATGATTCAGCTACTCAGGAAGATCTATTTAATGGAACAAATGCAAAGCATAATGACAAAGTCACAGAAACTAGTGGTGATACCAATCGAAATGACACGCAGAATATCTCTGTTCAGATTCTTTTAAGTTCATTAGATTCCATTAAGATTAATGCTACTAAAGAGTCTACAACGAATCGTTCTTTTGACGGGCATGCAAATGCTGACAGCTTAGAGGATACATTAGACGCGGGGAATTTCACAAGACTAAATTCTTCAGCAAACTCGGACGAAATCTTTTGTGGAAACCTAATAAGGACTAGTACTCAGAGTACTGAAAGTACAGAAGAACAAGACACTTTGCCCGTTACAGACTCAGTATTTGGAAGTTTACCTTTGAGTCAAGACAGTCAGAGTCCAAGTGAATTTCATGCAAAAGTTCCACAACCGGAGTTACTGAATAACGTTTATCCTATATATCCTACATTAATAGTGTGTCAAGAACCAATTAGTTCTATTGTTCAACAGTTAACTAATCCACTTTGGGTACGACATTTGACTGCATATTTTGCTAATAGAAATCTTCAAACTGTTGGTGACCTTGCACGATTATCTGAGCGTGAAATAAATAGAATGCCTATAAAGGGTAACTCGAAAGTTGAATTTGTAAAAAGTGTTCTAAGGTCTTTTGAACAAGCGGATATTGTAAAAAAAGAAACGAGTAACATAGTAGAAAACTTAAATGATGTATCAAGTAATAATATGTCCCCTTCTGTAAATACTCCTGTATCTGTTTCTGAATTAACGCAAAATAAATTAGTAAATCAATTTAGTCAACCAGGTTCTTGTAAGGTTTCTGGCAGTACTGCTATAATTGACAAGAATACACCTGAAATGTCTAAGAAAGTGTCAGACTCCAATTTAGATGAATCTTTGAATGTACCTGCAATAGATGTTTCTTCAATATATTCACAGGTTTCATACAAATCTGTCAAGGGAGGAACACCATCATCATCTGTTTCTGTCTCATCTCAGAATTCATCAAACGTGACAACCAAGTATGTTAGAAATATCATACCCATTTGTATTGGTTCTTTTCCATACACTAATCATGTTAGATTATCCCTTCATTTAGTAAAATTTTTAATTTGTCTAGGCCAATGATAAATGTGCCAATATCATCTATGGTATTTCCTGCCTCTTCATCAGAAGCTTTGGGAGGTTCCAATTTTATTATTACAAGTGGAGCTACTTTAGGATGTTTAATGAAAACTGCTGAAACTAGTACTGGTAGTAGTTCCATTTCTTCAACCAAAACAGAAGGACAGAAGACGTCGAGATCGGTTGCAGCACAAATGGCTTTAGAAGATCTCTTGGATGAAATTGATGTTAATTTAGTATTGGAAAGTGCGGTCAGAAGATGCACCGCAGAAAGAATTCTTCTACAATACAAGGTAAATCATATTTTATTTTTATTGAAGATCGAACGCTACTGAAAATAAATACAATTGTTATAGAACAAAATGAAACATATGTCACAAGTAGAATTGGAAAAAGAAACCATAAGAATGCTCGGCGCTGATAACGTGAAGAATTGCAGTGAAGTAACATTGAGGGCAGCATGTCGTGCATGTGGCGTGAATAAAGTTCTACTTCGTCTACCCGACATTTTCGGCAGTGATAAACAGTTCTTTACCAAAGTATTAAATGCTTACAAAAAGAAAATACAAGTCAGTGATTGTTTGGACATTCTCGATTTTGCTGAAGTCAAGGATGCAATTTGTAAAAAATGTACATCATCAGAACTTGCTGAAATATTGTCGAAAAAGTTGAAGGAAGAAGAACAGGAGGGTATAAGAGAACCTATGACAGAGCTATCTAGCTTGAATGCTATGTTGAAAAGAATGCCAATGGATCTAATAATTAGTCATACAGTGGCAAACGAAGAACTTATTCCATCACGTGTTGTTTTAGATATAGCTTTGCAGAATAACAGTACAAGTGATATAGCCCAGGCTTTGGAATGTCAGTCCTCTCTTGTTACAAAGGACGTTTTCGAAAAACTTTGGTCTTCCCAATTTGCAGTTAATTATATCGAACAATTGAATTCTAAACAGGATTTGCTGAAGCTGTTCAAAGCAATTAGTTTGAAACTTAGTCAGCAAGATCTTCTGCAAGCGTTCTATGAATCCATGAGCGCTAAGGTAATGATAAACCAAGAGAAAATCTAAAGTTGGAACTTGTATGTGTGATATTTATTATTACTATTATTTGTGACCATAGATTCGTTCTCATCGATAGTTTTCAATATTGACACACATTGTAACTTCTTTTTTTTAAAAACATTTTTAAACAAACTTTTGTGAAAATTTTCTCAACAGCATGGCGTTCGTTTGCAGACTTAATTGGAGTGCTGTGTATTTATTCAGGTTTTCTTTTTTCTTGTGATTTTGGATTTACAATGTCTAGTTAATATTATATTTGATTCCTTATACCACTACTTTGAGGCTTTAATTCTAAAAACAAAGAAATTTTTAATTACAAAATTAAATTGTTCCAGTAACGGTTATGTAAAAAGCAACGCTTCTATTTGTTTAAAGAAGGTGAAATACTAATAATGTCATTGGTTTATTATTTCGCACTGACATAAAAGTATTTTATACCAGTTTAAGTTAACTGAGACTTTGAAATAACAATGTTAATCTTAAATGGATTAAGCACGCAACGTTCATAGTTAACTTCTAGACATACGCTATTGTAAATATATATAAGTATATGAAATGTAATTGCAGTTATACCTATAATCAACTTTCTACGTATTAGTTACTTTATTATTGTATCTATTTAATTTAGATTTTGCAATAGAAAATCAAATGTGAATCATAATTGTTTTTTCGAACTTTGTTTTTACAAGAAGGCTTGCTTAATTCAGAAGAAAAGTTGAGAAAACATTTCTTGTTTCTTTTGTTGCTTCGTTGTAAGCAATTCCTTGGAAGTATTTGTTTGCACAGACTAGTGGCCTATAGGTTAGAAATTTAAGTGTATATATATATAAAAAGATAAAAATTAAATATTTCGTACAGGATCTTTTCTAGACACAAGTTTCTTACAACTTGCCATGGAATATTTTAGAAAGTAAGGTTACAAATAAAATGAGATATCGTAGTGTATTTTCAAGTGTGACTCGACCAAATGTTAGGGGATATTAAGTTTGCATTCATTTAATGACATTTTGTAAAATGTACAAAGTTTAAACGTTAAGCCAATTAGACATATTAACTGATGTATTAAAAGTATTTTATACAACGGATTCTAGGGAATCTCCTATTGTAAAATGCATCAAATTTTCGATCGATTGCGATAAAACCAAAATTTCATAATTCTATTGTGTTATACAATACATAGGATGTTTTTGGAGAAGCGTAACGTGTCAGCGTGTAAATTATCTTGGACAAAATCTTGGTTTCTAACAAATTTACAAGATTATCAATTATATATATATTTATGTGTACGTACTAAATTTAATTTTTAAGAGGTTTTCATTATCATAGATAACAGCGTTTAGTTTAAATCAGAATCTGACTTTCTACGTTGAAATGTTACGCAATTAAAAAACATGCTGTACATAAAATGGATATTCAGAGACAGAGTAACAAATTCCCACGTTATATCCTTCTAACAATAAATAAAGTTATATACGTATTATAATTTTTTCTTTCACACAATATGTTATATGTTCTATGATAGAAATATGTTGAACGTACTGTAATTGAATACACTATAAAAGAAAAACCGTGAAGATTACTCGTAACATTGTTTTATTGTCGATCGTAAGAATTAATAAGTTTTAAACATTACATTTAAGCACTTATATGGCTTTCTTAATGTAATATAGATATATCTTAATCACGTAAGAGTGCCTCGAACGAAGAAATAATTTTGCATTTTAAGAAATTGAGGAGTTATGTTCCGTTTCTGTTTGACAACGAACTGAAGGCAAAAGTATTAGGGAAACAGGCGAGTTAATTTCAGTTATTCATTATTACTCTTTAGTATAACGTGTTTCATTGATTATGAATGCTTCAAGCTGTTTGCTCTACTGATGTTTCTGTATGCTTTTTGAATCCATTTAGTGCTTCAGATATTCCACTTTTATTAATCGCACATATTTCGCAAAATGTATAATAACAAATAAAGAAGGCGTTTAATAATAATGGATATTGTCATTGATGTCTTACAGTAGGTACTGTTTTGTTCTAGATAAGTTTTAAGTCTATTATTATATTTAATTAGATAGAAAAGAATTTATATATATTTTTGTTACACTTAATTGTAGACTCAAGTGCAAATTAGGATTCTTGATATGCTTTTAAAGTTGAAAGAACCCTGGGAGGGACAGTAGAGCTAGGGAGAGACAGGGTGAGCCTACATTCTAGAATATTTCTTCTAATCAAGAGAAATTAAAGTTGTTTTAGGCTACACACGTAAATATATACACAAGATGTTTCCCAGAGGTCAACTGGCCATCAAGAGTTTAGGAAAATTCCCAGAAAGATTCGGGCCTAATTAATTACAGTAATTCCCTGAAAGATGACTGGTCATTTAAGTAAAGAAAAGTAAGTTGAAAATGTAGAAAAATTTTTGTTTCTAAATTTCAATAGAAAAGAAGAACGTAGAAGCAAGAGAGTCTATTTTTGCCGATGATCTTCCCATTCATTTTTCTTTTCTCGTAAAAATAGTCACACTCGTTCTACTCGAGATATTACGCTTATTGGATCGAAATCAGAGATACGCTTTCAATTATATTCGACATTGTATATTCCCAATGCGACTTGTATCAAAATACGACTCTGGATGTTCGACGTTAGGGATTTGCGCGATATCCTGGTTCTTGTAGCACGTGTAATCGATACACGAAATCCAAAGCATTACGCATTTATCATAAAAGTTTCAGTTTTTTATATTAAAATTATTAGGTAAAAATGCATTTATCAGATTTCAGAGAATCTATAATTATTATACAATAATCATCATTTGTTAATTAGTGTGCCACTTAATAATAGCATTGCGATGAATATTATATAATAACATAAATATTCTATGAATTTGATTTCTATAATTGTAGGAATACTCAAATGGTCATGATATAATTAGAAGTAGTAATTTCAAATAGTAACAATCTAATTTCAAGACACTGAAAGTCTTATACAATTTGTTGATAAAATAGTACTTATAATATACCAATTTACATTTTACGGTTTGGTAAAATTGACTACATAAATGTTTTATTGATATATTCAATATAAAATGGCTAGATCCATATTGAAACCAACTATGAATGTGAAGAAATTGAAGTTTACTAATAGAAAACGCTAAGCTGTAAATTGATTCATTTATAATATTTTAACGAAGAGCCAGGATATTGGTGAAACGTTTATATAGTCATTTTCTTCAAACTTTAAGCTTTAAATTGTTAAACTTTAAGTACCAAATTATATCGGAATTTTAATCCTTCAAAAATTTATTATTTGATATGAAACAATTTAACGCAACAAACAATGATTGTTTCATGAAATTGTTAAACGATTAAACGAAAACGACAAGCAGTTTAATTACTTCTTTAATTATGGCTTTGCTTACTAAGTGAGTGCCGTCAAGTGATCGAGAGGAGCTTTAATACTTGTAATGAAAAAACTCGTTTTAGTGGAAAACTTTTCCTTTCTTGGTGATTAAAGATGTTTTAATACATCGACTACACGCGGTTGAAAATTATTAATAATTATTGATGAATTATTCACCCAAAGTGTATGATAGAAAGCATTAATTTCAGCTATTTTTAAAACATTGAATTGACCCACAATTTTGTGCGCAGTTCAACGTCAGTGGAGAATTTTTTCACAAAAATTCGCGTTATTGATATCGACTTTCTTTGATTTTTCAATATTTGACATAGTTTTGTTGTTTCAAAATTCTAAACCTTGTTTGCAGGAACAAGAATACAAGTGAAAAACAGATTTCAAAAATGAAAAAACAGTAATGAAGGTATGATCTAATTCATCGAACGATTATTATTAAATTTTTGGATGAAAACGACAATTCGATATAATTAATATCAACGTGTAAGTCAAGATCTGTTGCATTGGAAATTAAAAGTGATTTGTCATGGAAAATGAAAATTTGGACCCAAAATATTATTCAACATAGCATTTATATTTTCTTATATTAATAATTATTTTCAGTGTAATTTAATACGTCAACCCTATATGGATGATGCTTGATTTTCCATAGCAAATTATAATTAAACATTTTCTAATTTATCTATTTGAAATGATAAATAATAATTGGAAAAAATTTGTTGGAACTAAAACTACTATCTAATGAAATTTTCAATAGCTCTAACTCTCCAGTCAAGGTGTTAATTTAAATGGTAATGCTATTGGAATACCTAGGTCTAAAAAAAGATAATCGAATACAAATGGACAGAAACATCCACGAATCCCCTTAGAACACTCCATATATACCTTTCCAGTCTAAAATAAAGTCACAGAAGGTCTTTGTCCTCGATTCAATTACCAAGTGTCGCTAACAATACAACTCAGCAACAATGTCCGCTTCCTCAAAGAGGGACGAGCGAATCGATGAGTTCTATCGTTCTTCGGTAACAAAAAAAAAAAAAGAAAGGAAAAGGAGAACACAACAACAACAAAAAAATGGAGAAGTCAAAAGTGCCAATAAAGCTTCGGTGAATGAAAAACGTACCCTCTCCCTGTGGACACGCAATAATCCACGGCATATTAACCGAGTCTCGGTTTAAAATCGTACCTCCATTCTGGTTGGACGTTAACTTTTTCTTTTTTTTTTTTTTTCACTTCTTTCGGGAAAAGCACGTCCGTCGTGAAGGACGTGATGTACAGAGGAGGACACATGCATATTGCGTAGTTCTCGAACGGCACCCCCTTGATGATGGTGTGCGTACAACGTGTACCATTCGGCGGAGGCGCGCTATGGGGGTTGCAACGCCTGCGCAGGATGGAATGATTGGTATATAAAGATGTGGACGCGGTTGAAAACGGTATTCAGGTTTGGAGACACTTAGCGGAAGGACACTGTGATTACGTTCGCGAAAATGGGACTGATCAGAAGCCAACTCGTCACCCTTTTACTCTATGTACTCGTCGTCAATGAGATTCGTCTTCCTCTGGTGAGTTTTTGCAATGTTTATTTATTAATCTTTTTTTTTTTAAATAAATAAGTAAATTTGTAGTTCATTTTACTTAGGTCTTCATGTTCACAATTATTATATTTATAAAATTTTTGGAGTTAGTTTCTTTTTTTTTCAATAATGAAGTAGATTTTACAGTTCAGTTTATTCAGGTTTGCTAAAGCAATTTATTTTTCATAATAGTTCTTAATTTTATAAAATTTAATTAATATACTGTAATTAGTATTTCGCAAGGAAAGGAATTTTTAATTTTGTTCCTAATATTGTCCATTAAGAAATGGTAATTATCATCCAGAGTGCATCAGCTTTCCAAACGATGGAAATAATTTTTGAAAGCCCACCGCTAGCGATTAAAAACTCTAAAGATTTAGTATTTGACCGTTCGGCTAGCTTAGCTTTTAAAAAACGTTCCGATTTTCGGAACAAAGGGAATCGTTTAATCAATCGGATTAATGCTAGCGACGGGAGAGAGAGAGAGAGAGAGAGAGACATCGAACCGTGCATTCTGGTAATAATTAAACCTCATCGTTGAAAATTCGACAATTTTATCTTCTATCATCTGCACCAAATGCTACGAATTTCATGAATAATTCATCAGAAATTTCATGCTATTTGCGAACGTATTCCAATATTTTGAACAATCAAACAGGATTATGGTTATCATTTTTATAATATATTATAGTTAGATGATGAGATATCCTGTATTTTACATTAGAAGTTTTTTGACGATATATTACACGAGTTGATGTAAAAATGATAGATGAAAGATATAAAGCTTATTTATGAAATTATGTCAGACAAATATGTTGCGGAGTACACCTGTACCCAGCACGGTCCATATTTATCGTATGTCTGACTATAGGTCGACTACTACTACTGCGGCGGTCAGCGGCAGTGATAATGCACGTAAATAGTCCGACATACTCTCATATCTTCGAAAGATTTGTTGAATTTTTTAATTTATGCGTTCAGTTTGGTATCTTATACAATAATAATGCTATTTTAAATTATTATTATTATTTTAATTATTTGAGTATAATTATAAGGGTTAATTTATGGATTTAATTTCAATTCTAATTTAATATCTGATTAATATAATATTAATGCTATTATAAATTTATCTTTCTTTTTCTGTTATTATGATAATTAGTTTTTATCATTTGGCGTGACAAAAAAATTTTGTTATGAAAAGAGATTTACCTTGACACTGTCACATTGTTGAATCAGAATAAAAAGATTTCAGGAAATTGATTAATTGATATTGAATGGAGAAGAGACTACTTAATAACACGTTTCAGAATACTTAATAAGTCTTTTGATATTCAGAACAGCGTTTTCTTAAAAAACTAGAGCAATTAGAGGATTTGCTTACCAAAGGATTTAATCAGGATATTTTTGCTCGCGATCCACTCAAACTGATACTAGGCACGTGTTGATTTGCATAAAATAGATGAAAGCGTCAAAAAGAAATTGTGGAACAATTCTGTGTTAAACTCTTTTGCTAACACAGTATTTTTAATAGCTAATTAAATACAAGACTTGCATTTAGTATTGCCATTAGGTTACATTTTTCAAAATTATTTTTATTATTAAACAATTTTTACATCAATTAATTAGTAATTTGACAAATAAAAAAGAAATTGAAATAGATTTTTAAATTACTATTCTATAATTTTGCAATATAGAAATTGGCAGATCTTTAATAATTTATTATTTTGGGAACAATTTGTTAAAAGCAGCCTGTGTTGCACTTGACTATATAAAATTTTGGCCTAAAAATTCTTTCAATACGTCTTTGTTCTTGCAAATCCTCTTTTTTTTGCTGTACAATATCATGAGTATTGTACAGTTTTGTGAAAAGATATTCGATTGACACAGTTCATGAAGAGATAACGAAAAGCGTGCAAGGTGCATCGCGTAAGATCCGTGTTGAAAAGGTTCGTTTTTCTAACGCGATTAACAGATAGAAGCGACTAAAAAGGTAATCGATCC